GGGGGGCAGGGAGGGTCAAAAGAGGCGGCAAGGGAGCGGGCACGCGGAGGGTAGGGGGGGGGAGCGGATGGCATGAGGGGGCAGGGGGTGTGACTGTGAAGGGGGGACCGGGCAAGGGGTGTGTACCGGTCGGGGCACGGGGTTGACGTGGTACGATCATACCTCGGCTACTACGCCGGATCCCATCAGAACTCCGAAGCTAAGCGCGGTGGGGGGCGAGAGCAGTACTGGGCTGGGTGACCTCCCGGAAGTCCTCGTGTTGTACCCATTTATGCCCCTTGCTCGGCACGTGCCGGGGGAGGGGCAAGCGGGAAAAAGAAAGGACGATTTCAGCGCGTCCGATTTTTTCATTTTCGTTTTTTTGCCCGAACAACGACCCAGCGGGGTGGGGGGCCCCCGGGGAGGCTTGCCCGTGCGAAGAAACGCCCCGTGCGCACCACCGTTGGGCGGTTGGAAGCCGCACATGGTCGCGGGGGTGGAGAGCGGAAACGGGCAGCCGGGGGAGGGTGGGGGCGGTTGGATGGGAACTGGGGGTGTACGGGGGGCAGGGGAGTTTGAGGGGGCAAGGGGAGGGGCAGCAACGGGCAGGGGCTGGGCCAGCTGAGGGCACGGAAAAGGGGCGGGCAAGAGGGTGAGCAGAGGGGCGAGCGATGCAAGGGAGGCACCATAGGGGGGGGGAAAACCAGTTGCAACGGAGGTGGGAGGTGAGGGGCGTGCGAGGGGGTGGGAAAGGGGCATGGAGGGGCAGAATGGGAGGATGTGGGTGGGGGGTGGTGGGAGGGGAGTGTGCGTGTGTGTGTGTGAGAAAGAGAGAGAGGGAAAGGGAGGGGGGGAGAGAAGGGTGGGAGGGGGGGCTGGTGGTGGGGATGGGCTGATGGTGGTAAGAGGGCAGCAGGGATGGGGAGAAGGGAGCGTAACGAGGGGAGAGCAAAGGGCATGGGGGGGAGGAAGGGAGGGGCAGGGAGGGAAGAGGCTGAACGTAACAAAGGGGGGGAAACGAGGGGCATGGATGGTAGGAAACAAGGGCAGGGGTGCGGGAAATCAAGGGCAGGGAGGGGAGAAGCAATGGGTGAGGGGAAAACAAGGGAGGGGCAGAGGGGGTGGGCAGGGAGGGAAGAAACGTGGGGCAGGGAGGGGAGAAGCCAAAGACAGGGGCATGGGCAGGCGGGGGCAGGGATGGGAGCAGAGGAGAGGCACGGAGAAAGAAAGGGAGGCGCGGGGAGGGGAGAAACCGGGCGTGGTGGGGGCGGAAAACGAGGGGCAGGGCGGGGAGGAGGGAGGGGCAGGGAGGGGAGAAGCTGAGCACACAGAGGGGGGAAAGGTGGGGCAGGGAGGTAGGAAGCCAAGGGCAAGGGTGGGAGAGTGGGGGGGCAGGGAGAGGGGGGAGGTGGGGGGGCGGAGAAAGGCGGCGAGGGGCAGGGAGGGGAGAAACCAAGCATAGGGGGGGCGAGATACGAGGGGCAGGGTGCGGATTGAGGAGGGGCAGGGAGTGGAGTGGGTCGGCGAGGGGAAGGAAGAGGCGTGCAGCAGAGGAGGGGAGGGGGGAGGAGAAGGTAAACGAGGGGAGCGCACGGGGCGGGGAGGAGCGAATGGCGGGCGGTGGGAAACGGCGAGGGGGGCAGGGAGGGTCAAAAGAGGCGGCAAGGGAGCGGGCACGCGAGAGGTAGGGGCGGGGGGAGCGGATTGGCATGAGGGGGCAGGGGGTGTGACTGTGAAGGGGGGACCCGGGCAAGGGGTGTGTACCGGTCGGGCACGGGGTTGACGTGGTACGATCATACCTCGGCTACTACGCCGGATCCCATCAGAACTCCGAAGCTAAGCGCCGGTGGGCTGAGAGCAAGTTATTCATTAATAAGGGGAAGAGCATATACAAGCCGAATATAATGGTTTTTCCAAGACAAGGAAATTTCGACATAGCCTAAGCGCTATGAGGACGATATATATATTTTGTAGGAAAAGGGGGGAAAGAAAGGAAAGGAAGGAAAGATGAAGGAGTAAGAAGAAGTGGTAGGGAAAGGAAGAGGGTGGTAGGAAGAGAAGGGAAGGATAGAAGAAGGGAACAGAAAGAGGGAGGTGGGAAGAGAAGAGGAGAGAGAGAGAGAGACTAAGGAGGAGGAAGCACCAAAGGACCAAACACGGCAGCAACCCGCACGACCGCACGGGCACAGCGTTTCAAGCACAGCCACTATTGTTTTTTACACATATGCATCATATATATACTGCATATCAGCCACACTCTCGAAGCACCCTGTGACGTGGTGCCAAGTTCCCTGCCCCGCACCCAGTGGGACTGGTGCGGGCATCCACCCGTCGTCGGACCTCCCTAACTGCCGCACCGCATGCTGGATCATGCATTGAGCCTGCGCGCGCTGCAGTGCAACGGAGAGGCGTGTAGTGAGTCTGCCTCAAATATCCGTGCCGATCCGTCATCCCCCCCACCTCTATCCCTCCTCCGCTGTGCTATCCTCTTTGCGCAGAGCCCAGAAACTGACGCAGCGGCTCACTCAGAAGGCCAAAGGTCTCCGCCACGCACGCGTAAAAGTGTGGTGCCGGCTGCAGCCCCTCTAAGTGCGGCCCCTAGTGACGCAGCTTCTCCTGCACCCGCCTAGCTGCTGCCACTCCAATCTGTGTGGGGGTCGCCCGTCTCAGCTGCACGTTCCCCTCCCGCTGTGGATCCGCTATGGAGACATCCACAAGAACCATCAGACCCTGGCCAACGTCGCGGCAGGTGAGGGTCTGGAATGCGGGAGGCGGTGCCTACACGGCCTGTGCGTCCGACTGGTCCCTGCTGTTGCGCTGGCTGCTGCCCTGTCTGGTCCCTTGGTGCCCCCTCTCCGATCGTCTCTCTGCCCCTCTCCTCTCCTCCATCCACCTGTCCTCTCCCCTCCCCCTCTCTACCCTCCCCCAAACCTCCCGACCCCCCTGCTCCATCCCCTGCTGCCTCTCTCACTCCCTGGCCCTCCCCTCCCAATCCCGCTGCCCCTCCTGTACCTCCGTCCGCTCTCTGCTGCTCCCGCCCCTGCCCCGCCCCCAGGCCGAACCTGGAGGCGCGGCGCCCTGGGCCCGCGGCCTCCACTTGGCTCTCATGCTGCGGCCTGTGCCGTCCCCCCTCCCTGTCCTGGCCTGTCTGCTCCCCCTGCCGTCCCCTCTGCCCACCTGTCCCTCGCTCCACACCTGACCCCGCAGCTGGTGCCGTCCCCACTGTCCCCCGCCACCCCGGCTGTCCCGCCACGCCTCTCCGCTCCCCCGGTCCCTCAGCCCGTGTCCCATCTCCTCAACCACTGGCTGTCCCAGTAGTCTCGCTCGAGCCGCCTCCAACTGTGTGAACAGCGTAGAGCAGTACTGGGCTGGTGACCTCCCGGGAAGTCCTCGTGTTGTACCCATTTATGCCCCTTGCTCGGCACGTGCCGGGGGAGGGGCAAGCGGGAAAAAGAAAGGACCGATTTCAGCGCGTCCGATTTTTTCATTTTCGTTTTTGCCCGAACAACGACCCAGCGGGGTGGGGGGCCCCCGGGGAGGCTTGCCCGTGCGAAGAAACGCCCCGTGCGCACCACCGTTGGGCGGTTGGAAGCCGCACATGGTCGCGGGGGTGGAGAGCGGAAACGGGCAGCCGGGGGAGGGTGGGGGCGGTTGGATGGGACTGGGGTGTACGGGGGGCAGGGGAGTTGAGGGGGCAAGGGGAGGGGCAGCAACGGGCAGGGGCTGGGCCAGCTGAGGGCACGGAAAAGGGGCGGGCAAGAGGGTGAGCAGAGGGGCGAGCGATGCAAGGGAGGCACCATAGGGGGGGGAAACCAGTTGCACGGAGGTGGGAGGTGAGGGGCGTGCGAGGGGGTGGGAAAGGGGCAGGGAGGGGCAGAATGGGAGGATGTGGGTGGGGGGTGGGGGAGGGGAGTGTGCGTGTGTGTGTGTGAGAAAGAGAGAGAGGGAAAGGGAGGGGGGGAGAGAAGGGTGGGAGGGGGGCTGGTGGTGGGGATGGGCTGATGGTGGTAAGAGGGCAGCAGGGATGGGGAGAAGGGAGCGTAACGAGGGGAGAGCAAAGGGCAGGGGGGGAGGAAGGGAGGGGCAGGGAGGGAAGAGGCTGAACGTACAAAGGGGGGGAAACGAGGGGCATGGATGGTAGGAAACAAGGGCAGGGGTGCGGGAAATCAAGGGCAGGGAGGGGAGAAGCAATGGGTGAGGGGAAAACAAGGGAGGGGCAGAGGGGGTGGGCAGGGAGGGAAGAAACGTGGGGCAGGGAGGGGAGAAGCCAAAGACAGGGGCATGGGCAGGCGGGGCAGGGAGGGAGCAGAGGAGAGGCACGGAGAAAGAAAGGGAGGCGCGGGGAGGGGAGAAACCGGGCGTGGGGGGGGCGGAAAACGAGGGGCAGGGCGGGGAGGAGGGAGGGGCAGGGAGGGGAGAAGCTGAGCACACAGAGGGGGGAAAGGTGGGGCAGGGAGGTAGGAAGCCAAGGGCAAGGGTGGGAGAGTGGGGGGGCAGGGAGAGGGGGGAGGTGGGGGGCGGAGAAAGGCGGGCGAGGGGCAGGGAGGGGAGAAACCAAGCATAGGGGGGCGAGATACGAGGGGCAGGGTGCGGATTGAGGAGGGGCAGGGAGTGGAGTGGGTCGGCGAGGGGAAGGAAGAGGCGTGCAGCAGAGGAGGGGAGGGGGGGAGGAGAAGGTAAACGAGGGGAGCGCACGGGCGGGGAGGAGCGAATGGCGGGCGGTGGGAAACGGCGAAGGGGGCAGGGAGGGTCAAAAGAGGCGGCAAGGGAGCGGGCACGCGGAGGGTAGGGGCGGGGGGGAGCGGATGGCATGAGGGGGCAGGGGGTGTGACTGTGAAGGGGGGACCCGGGCAAGGGGTGTGTACCGGTCGGGGCACGGGGTTGACGTGGTACGATCATACCTCGGCTACTACGCCGGATCCCATCAGAACTCCGAAGCTAAGCGCCGGTGGGCGAGAGCAGTTATTCATTAATAAGGGAAGAGCAAATACAAGCCGAATATAATGGTTTTTCCAAGACTAGGAAATTTCGACATAGCCTAAGCGCTATGAGGACGATTTATATATTTTGTAGGAAAAGGGGGAAAGAAAGGAAAGGAAGGAAAGATGAAGGAGTAAGAAGAAGTGGTAGGGAAAGGAAGAGGGTGGTAGGAAGAGAAGGGAAGGATAGAAGAAGGGAACAGAAAGAGGGAGGTGGGAAGAGAAGAGGAGAGAGAGAGAGAGACTAAGGAGAAGGAAGCACCAAAGGACCAAACACGGCAGCAACCCGCACGACCGCACGGGCACAGCGTTTCAAGCACAGCCACTATTGTTTTTTACACATATGCATCATATATATACTGCATATCAGCCACACTCTCGAAGCACCCTGTGACGTGGTGCCAAGTTCCCTGCCCCGCACCCAGTGGGACTGGTGCGGGCATCCACCCGTCGTCGGACCTCCCTAACTGCCGCACCGCATGCTGGATCATGCATTGAGCCTGCGCGCGCTGCAGTGCAACGGAGAGGCGTGTAGTGAGTCCTGCCTCAAATATCCGTGCCGATCCGTCATCCCCCCCACCTCTATCCCTCCTCCGCTGTGCTATCCTCTTTGCGCAGAGCCCCAGAAACTGACGCAGCGGCTCACTCAGAAGGCCAAAGGTCTCCGCCACGCACGCGTAAAAGTGTGGTGCCGGCTGCAGCCCCTCTAAGTGCGGCCCCCAGTGACGCAGCTTCTCCTGCACCCGCCTAGCTGCTGCCACTCCAATCTGTGTGGGGGTCGCCCGTCTCAGCTGCACGTTCCCCTCCCGCTGTGGATCCGCTATGGAGACATCCACAAGAACCATCAGACCCTGGCCAACGTCGCGGCAGGTGAGGTCTGGAATGCGGGAGGCGGTGCCTACACGGCCTGTGCATCCGACTGGTCCCTGCTGTTGCGCTGGCTGCTGCCCTGTCTGGTCCCTTGGTGCCCCCTCTCCGATCGTCTCTCTCCCCCTCTCCTCTCCTCCATCCACCTGTCCTCTCCCCTCCCCCTCCCTACCCTCCCCCAAACCTCCCGACCCCCCCTGCTCCATCCCCTGCTGCCTCTCTCACTCCCTGGCCCTCCCCTCCCAATCCCGCTGCCCCTCCTGTACCTCCGTCCGCTCTCTGCTGCTCCCGCCCCTGCCCCGCCCCCGAGGCCGAACCTGGAGGCGCGGCGCCCTGGGCCCGCGGCCTCCACTGGCTCTCCTGCTGCTGCCTGTGCCGTCCCCCCTCCCCGTCCTGGCCCGTCTGCTCCCCCTGCCGTCCCCTCTGCCCACCTGTCCCTCGCTCCACCTGACCCCGCAGCTGGTGCCGTCCCCACTGTCCCCCGCCACCCGGCTGTCCCGCCTCGCCTCTCCGCTCCCCCGGTCCCTCAGCCCGTGTCCCCTCTCCCACCACTGGCTGTCCCAGTAGTCTCGCTCGAGCCGCCTCCAACTGTGTGAACAGCGTAGAGTCCTCCACCTTTACCGCGAAGCCCGCCTCGACCGCAAAGTCTCGAAGCATGTACTTCACCGTGTCGTGGATGGTAGTGGCGACCCCGTAACGCGGGCACCGAACCGCGTGATGAGGCACCGTCATGTCGTCAATCGCCTGTCCGCAGGAGCACTGACCTGCAAGGGCTAACTGGGGATAGGGAGACCAAGACGAGAAGATGAAGCCGCCTGCCACAGCGCCTCCGGGATGCGCAGTGGGTCGGCGTACGGCACCGACGTCAACCACGCTCCTGCACCTCCGCCCTGAAGGGAAGTCAAACGGGCAAGGTGCAAGGGAGAGGTGTGACGGGCACGCACGGCCTCCAAGGCATGCGCCTCCAGAAGACGGCTCGCTCCTGCAAAAAGGGAATCGGGGAGGCAGAAGCGCAAGAGGGCCAGGGGGGGGAAGGAGAGAGAGAACGTCAGGAGGGAGACCCTCTAGCGCCGTCTGCAGAGCCCGGTCGATCTGCTCTGGCTCACCTGAAGCGAAGCTCTGCCGAAACACCTCGCCACACGCAGGGAGAGAACAGAGAATGGGTGCACACTGCACCCAGGAGCACACGAAACTCACCGGGGCCATGCGCGCCATGCGACGAATGCCGAAACCCCCGAGACGGATGGGGAGGAAGATCTGGTCTAGGGCGGCCTCTCGGACGTCCTCGCGACAAGCCCAGGTCCCTGAAGCTAAAAGCTGCTGAAAAGTCTCTCCCAGGCGTGCGTCCCACCGTGTAAAACTGGAGATCACTGCGGGCGAAGGAGGGACGGTCCTCGACAGGTACTGCGGACGAGTGCTGACACACGCCGAAAGAAGGCGGGCAGCTGTCTGGGGCTGGCGCAACCTCGGAAGCCAAGGTAGCACCCGCCCCATCCTCTCGAGACGATCCGGGAGACTCTGCTCCACGAACGAAACGGTGCCTACCGGTACGCCTGTCACGGTGAGCCCTCGGCGTGCGACCTCGATCCCTAGGCCCGTGAAAGCCTCCAGATCCCTGGACAGAAAGGACTCTGTCTGGTAGACGAGGCACTTGTGCGGCTGGGCTGCAAGGCCCATCTCGCCCAAGCGCCTCACGATCTCGGCAAAATGGTGCAGCACCCTGTCTGGGGGACCTAGCACGTACGTGTCATCGGCGTACGACCAGAGCTGGACATCCCCCTCCGCCAGAACCGGCTCCAAAGCAAGACGCTGTGTCAGAGCGTACAAGAAGGGGCTGAGAGGGTCTCCCTGGCGAGTGCCCCGCTCCGAGTGCATCGTGACCACTCCCGTGCCTGACCTGTAGTGGAGATCCGAGGGCGTCCCGTAGAAGAGGCCGATGAAGGGGATCAGACACTGAAACTCCGGACTGGCCTGCAGCGCCTGAAACATCCTGTCTCGGTGGAAAGAGTTAAAGGCATTCGCCACGTCTAGCTGCAGGACCACCCAGTCTGGGTGGTCAGCCAGAGCGCGGCGGACGCCTCTAACTACGACCTCTGTCCCGCACGTAACCCCCACCCCAAACTGCTGTGATGCCAAGAAGACCCTCGCCATCTGGTCACGTAGCTGGAGACAAACTGCCCGAGAAAGAATGCGGACCAAAACCTCGCCGATGGCAATCGGCCGAACATCCATGTTCGACTTCGCCAGAGCCACGAGGGTGGAGGACGCTAGCAAGGAGCGCGCAGCTGGAGCGCAACGGCCTCGGAGCCACTGCTGGTACACGGCCAGGAGGAAATGGAGACTCTGAGGGAAAGCTAGGAAAGTGTCTCGCAGGTGCTCAGCGACCCCAACCGGACGGTCCTCCCGAAGAGCCCCGCGGAGCTGTGAAAATCGCGCGGCGTAAGTGATCCACCGAGAGCACGAGAGGGGACCCCTGGAAGCCAGACAGCCAAGCTGGGGTCGGCCTCTCCGCGTTGGGGTGCTTCGACTGCAGGCGCTGTATCGTCCCCTGTGTATCTGGGGCTGCCTCCGCGGACTCGAGAGCCGCGCACGCCCGTGAGGTCTCATTGCACGCTGCCAGACGAAGGCAACGTGCAATGCGGCGCTCATCTGCTGCAGAGGGATCGGTGGCGGTGCGTGACCGGTGACCTGTGCGGCGAGGAAGGGGTGTGCGACGGCCTAGTGCATCTGAGACTAGCTCAGCCCACTCACCTCGACCAAAGCGAGAGATGCGCGTTGCAATGGCAGCCGTGTGCGAGCGGTCGGGTGGCGTCGCTGGAACAAGGAAAAGAGTCGGCGCTGCAGCGAGGAGGAAGGTAGGGCCAGCAGCCTCCGGGTCCTGGGCAATGCGGACTAGGATCGCACTGAGGACGTCAAGATATCCTCCGCGGACCCTCTCCGGGACACGTCGGAGAGGGCGTGTATGGATACGCTCGGGCGAGAAGTACTCTGTCCAGTCCACCGAGTCGAGCGTCTGCCACTGTGCGTCGGTGAACTGCATCCCGGTCGCACGGGGCTGTGAGAGGGAAGGGATGATCGAGGCGGTATCATGGGCAGCCTGCGCCCTGCGAGCCGCGTCCGCAGGATGGCAGAAGGGAATGTGGTGCTGGAGCGCGCGTCGGTTCGCGAGAGAGCTCCTGCAGGTGGGGCAACTCACGACCTGGTCGGGTGATGTCGCCGTGTCGGCGGGGTCAATCGGGGCCGTGGCGTCGGAACTGGCTGTAGAGGGGACCCCGTGGGCGGCCTGAGCTCCGACAGGATCGCCTGGGATGAGGGGAGGAGACGACTCACCAGCCCCGCGCGGGGGGGGTGTCAGCGAAGATAGAGGTGGTGTCGCACAGGATAGGGCCGGGCCTCGTGCCGGCACCGGTGTTGAAGCTGGGGAGGGGGGACGTGGAGGTGAGCCTGAAGTGTGTGCCGTGGTGTGCTCCTGCCCCTCGGCGGGGTGCGGTTCAAGTGACGGCTCTGCTACCCCAGGCGGAGGGGTCTCGGTAGGGGCGGATGCCTCATCCCTACTGCTGGTGACCTCCTGCGCCACGGGCTGAACGGGGGGAGGCGCCACCCCGTCTAGGTGCGAGTGACACGGCCTCAGACCCCGGTCCGTCTCCATTGGGGTCGGGAGTGACGCGCCTGGCTGAGTGGCGGGGGGGATAAAAGAAGGGACAGACCGGGTGACCTCCGCATACGTCCGGGTCCGGTCCTGTGGGACTGGAAGGGTGGGGGCAGCCGGAGAGCTGCTCAGGCGGTGTATCGCCAGCAAATCTGAAATGCCAGCCCTCACCTCCTCTGGGGTCTCGAAGACCTGCCTGCCTGTAGGTGAGAGTAGGAGGGCTGGCAGGGTAGAGGGTGGAGTGGGGCGTGCTGGCTGAGCGGAGCTCGGGTGTGGACCCTGCCCTAGAAGGCCCCCTTGGCCCTCCCCAATCACCATGGGTTGCGGTAGGGGGTCGTCGACATGGAAGGGGTGGGAGGGATGGGAGGGGGAGTCGGTGGCGTCTGCCATGGGCGCATCCCTCAACCCGACGGCCCCCCTCCCAGTAGCGATCGCGGCCGCCGCCACCTGGGAGGGGGACACAGCACGGGAGGGGCAGAATGGGGGTGAGTGGGCTGGTCCGCTCCCATGGCCCTGTGGAGGTGCAGGAGCGGGGCGGGAGTGTAGGTTTGGTGGACGGGCTGTAGAGGTAGGGCCTGGTAATTGTTCAACGGGATGTGAGGTGGGGAGGGGCTCTTGGTGGGGGAGGGAGGGAGGGGGGAGTACGTGGGCTGACCCTCTGCCTCCTCTGCCCCTGTTCTTCCGCCGGCGGCCAACCTGGTTGTCCGCGCCTGTTTGTGAAGGAAGGGGGGGCTGTGGGGCCAAAGGGGTGGGTGGAGGGAGGATGGGTGGTTCGCCAGGCAGGGGGTGCTCTGTGTGCATCCCCACTCTCCTCGAAACATCCCCCTCCGTGGGAACAGATCGGGCAAGCTGTGTGTGGGGGGTGATGGCTGCCCAACGGGGCCACTCGTGGGGAACCCGGCCGGGAGAGGGGGTTGGAGGTGGGGGTCGAGGGGCTGGGCCAGTGTGGAGGTTAGAGCGAGGTACAAACGGTGGGGGGAGAGAGATTTGTGTGGGCTCTGTGGTGGCCTCTCCTGTGGGCCCCTCTACCCGGGTGCCGCCGCTCCCATGAGCCTGGGGCGCAAGCCCTTGCGGGTGGGTCTCGGCTGCCTGGGGGGGGTGGTGTGGGGAGGGCAGCCTGTTGGGTGGGCGTGTTGGGGCTGTGCGGCGACTCGGGTGGTTTGGGTGCCTGTAGCGTGTGGGAGAGGGATTTGGCCGCAGAGATGCTTCAACCTCCGAGATGTGTGTACTACCGGGTGGGGGGGGGCCTGGTGGAGGAGGGGGTAGTGGGCCGGTAAGGGGTGGCTGGGTGTTGGTAGGAGTCGGGGAGCATGGCTCCTCTAGGAAGACCAGAGCCCTGGCTGCTCCACGTGGTGCTCTAAGGAGCCCCTGAGGGTGGGGGCAGAGGTGTGCTGCCCTTGGGGGTGAAGGAAGGAGTGAGGGAAGGGGCGGGGAGGGGTGAGAGGTGAGAGAAGGGGTGCCCTCGGGTGACTCTGCTCTTGTCGCACCCGCGTGCTCTCCCGGTGGACCGCCTGCAACCGTGGGGTCAGGCGTTGGGGACGGAGAGGGGGGCTGGCCATGGAGCAGCGTGGGGGTCGGGGAGCACGGCTCCGCCAAGAAGGCCAGGGCCTTGGCTGCCCCCCTGGACACTACCGGGACCTGAGGGTGGGGGTGGGGAAGTGGTGCTCCTGGGGGCTGGTGGGCTGGAGGACGGGAGGTGAGGATGGGGGCTCCCTCGCGCGGCTCTGTCCTCAAGGTCTCCCCCAGCCCCTCCATCGGTCCTTCTGCTAGCATGGGGACGGGCATGGGGGGTAGAGGGGGAACCTCGACGTGAGGCTGCAGGGGGGCCGGGTCGGCCTCACCGTCAAGCGTGAGGTATTGGGCCAGTGGCCCGTCAATGTGCATCACATCCTCTCCCTCATCCTCCTCTATCGCTATCACATCCCCCTCTTCAGTGCCCACCCCGGTCGGGACCACCCTCCCCTCTCCTTCCCCTGTTGCCCCTATGTCCCCCAAGCCCACCCCGCCTGCTGCCGCTTTACTGCTAGCCCCTTTTGCAGTCTCTGCCGGCCCTGCCGGCCCTGCTGTGTGTTTCCCCGAGTTTGCTGCGGCCCCTGCCGCCCCTACTGGCCGTGCTATGGCCCTCCCTGCTGCTTCAGCTGCAGCCTCACCTTCTGCCTTTGAGGCCCCTGCCGTACCCTCTCTTGCTACAGCCGGGGCGGCACTCTCCCTCGCACCAGTCCCCGTTACCCCCTTCCCCGCTGCACCCGTAGCACCTCCCCCCTATACCAGCCCCCGCTGTGGCCTCTGTCGCTCCTGCTGCAGTCCTTGCAGCCTCGACTGCTGCAGTCTGTAAAACCTCGCCTACCGTAATCTGCTCAGCCTCACCAGCCGCGATCCCTGTAGCCTCACGTGCTGCAGTCCCTGCAGCCTCACGTGCTGCAGTCCCTGCAGCCTCACCCGCTGCAGTCCCTGCGGCCTCACCTGCTGCAGTCTGTGCAGCCTCACCTGCTAGAATCTGCTCAACCTCACATGCTGCGGCCTCTGCAGCCTCACCTGCTGCGGCTATTTCAGCCTCACCTGCTGCGCTCCCTGCGGCCTCACCTGCCATGGTCCCGCCTGCAGCCTCATCCGCTGTGGTCCCTGCCGCCTCACCTGCTGCAGTCCCTGCGGCCTCACCTGTTGCAGTCCATGCGACCTCACCAGCTGTAGACTGTGCAGCCTCACCTGCTAGAGTCTGCCCAACCTTACATGATGCAGCCCTCGCAGCCTCACCTGCTGCGTCCGCCGCAGCCTCACCTGCTGTGGCCCCTGCAGTCCCGCCTGCTGCGCTCCCTGCAGCCTCGCCTGCTGCGCTCCCTGCAGCCTCGCTTGCTGCGCTCCCTGCGGCCTCACCTGCTGCGCTCTCTGCAGCCTCACCTGCTGCGCCCCCTACAGCCTCACCTGCTGCGCTCCCCGCAGCCTCACCTACTGCGCTCCCTGCGGCCTCACCTGCCATGGTCCCTCCTGCAGCCTCACCCGTTGTGATCCCTGCAGCCACACCTGCTGTGGTCTGTGCGGCCTCACCTGGTGCGGTCCCTATAGCCTCCTCTGCTGCGGTTCCCCCAGCCGACACAGCAGCAGGTTCCGTGGCCCCTACTCCTGCAAAACCTGTCTCCATGGCCTCTGCCCTTTGCCTGGCCAGAGTCACGGTCCCTGCCGCCCCTTCCCGTGCAGCCCCTGCCGCCCTTTCCCGTGCAGCCGCTGCTGCCCCTTCCCTTGCAGCCTCTGCTGCCCTTTCCTCTGCAGCCTCTGCTGCCCCTTCCCCCACAACCCCCATTGCCCCTTCCCGTGCAGCCTTTGCTGCCCCATCCTCTGTAGCCTCTGCTGCTCCTTCACACACAAACTCACTTACCCCTTCCCGTGCAGTGTCAGCTGCAAGTTCCCCCCTGGCTCTGCCCTCTCCCGCTTCTATGTGCTTGGGGGTGCGGGTAGGATTAAGTGTTTTCACAAGTAATCTGGTTTGCGAATGGGAGGTAGCGAGTGAGTTGGAGGATCTCTCTACTGAGCATGCATGGGTGCCGCCCCCGCTGTCACCTGAAGGGGGGGTAGACTGGGATGGGGCAGCGGGGGTAGGGCGCGGTTTTGAGCGTGCTGGCTCCTCCTCGTGTATTTCCTCCAGTGGGGCTTGGCGTTCCTCTGTTCCATCCTCTTCAAAGGTACGCTTCTGGCCCCTAGGGTCAGATTGTGTGAGTGTTTTCGCTTGGTCAGGTGTGTGTTGTTTCTTCCTGACTGTTGAAGTGGGGGGAGTGGGAGAGTAGGGGGTGGCTCGGCTGCGGGACCTCCCAGATCGCCGAGGGGCTCCCGGGCCTGCCTTTCCCCCACTCGCGGGGTGCTGGGGCATTGTTACAGAGGCAGCATGCCTGGCGGTGGCGGTGTGAGTTGCTGGGGTTGGCTCAAGAGGGCGTCAAAGGGGGAAGGAACTCCCTGGCAGAGGCCGGGGTGCGGGGGGTTAGCTTGGGGAAAGGGGAAAAGGGTGGGGAAAGCGGTGCGCAGTGGGTGGAAGAGAGGGTAGAGGGGGCCTGACAGTTGGAGGGGATTGGGGCCCAAGGGGGGGGCGGGCTGGGGGCCGATTGAGAGGGGAAGTGTTGGCGGGCTGTAGTGGAGGTGGGGGGGCGGGGGTGGTGTAGCGGTGGGTGAGCAGGGTGTGGGGACAGGTGGTGGGCCAGAGGTGGGGAGGGCAGGGCAGAATTCCACGGGAGGTGGGGGTGGGCAGGTGGAGCCAGGTGGGAAAGGAAGGGTGGGGAACAGAGAGGAAGGGGCAAAGGGTAGTGGGTAGTCGAGTTGGCGTGAGCCTGGTAGCGGGTAATGAGAAGGTTGGGAGGCGGGGGGTGAGAACGTGGGAGGGCAGAGAGGGCACCGAAAGGAGGTGCTGTGGTAAATGCAGGATAGGATGCGGGGCCGGGAAACAGGGGACAGAGGGAATTGGGGAATCGATGAAGGGTGATAGCTGCGGATGGGCGAGCCCCAGGGGGGAGGAAATATGGAGGGTGTTGGAGAAGGGGGAGACTGGGGGGGGTTGAGGTAGGGTGTTGGAGGGCACAAGGGGCAGGAACAGGGGGTGCAAAAGTTGGCTGGGGGAGGGAGAGGCGGTCTGGTGCCGCGGAAAGGCGGAGGGAGGTTGGGGACGGCACAGCCCAGGGAGCAAAAGCAAGGGGTGTAGACCTTGGCTGGGGGTAGGAACGGCGGTGTGGAGTTAGGGAGAGGTAGAGGGAGGCTGGGGTAGGTGGCTGGATTGCGCAGGGAGCAGGGGCAGGGGGTGTAGAGATTGGATGGGGGTGGGAAAGGCGGCGTGGTGCCAGGTGGCGGCAGTTGGGTCACCGAAGGGCCTGGCAGGGCGGGATGCAGAGGTGCAGCCCACGCTGGATGCGGAAGTAGCTGGGGGGGAAAGGGAGGCTGGAGGGGGAAGTACGGCTCGTAGAGGTGTGGGGGGCAGAGTGGGAGTGGGGAAAGCAGGAAGGGGGGTGGAGGGACGTTGTGGACAGGGGAGTGGGGGAACATGCGGGTGATGATAGGGAGAAGCCGGGGGGGGGGGGGAGAAGGGGGAGGTGGTATGAAGTGGGCAAGGGTGACGCACGGGCAGAGCGCGGCGGTACTAAGGGCAGGGAGACGGGAGGCTGGGGGGAGAAAGGCCTGCTTGGGGGCGTGGTGGGGGATAAGGGGAGAGGGGCGGTAATGCTGGTGGGCAAAAGGGGAGGGTGTGGTGTAGTATGATGAAACAGAATGGGGGGGTGGCGGACTGGGTGGGGCCCTGGAGGGTTGGGAGAACAAGGTGTAAGCTGCCTTTCTGATTTTTCCTGGTTTTTTTCGGATTTATATGAATTTCTTTTTCTTTTCTTTTTTCCTTGAAGTTGTTTCCTCTTATTTCCTACGGTTTCCAGAAACAGGGCGGCCTCTGCTAGCTAAGCGCCGTTAGGGAAAGAGGTTAGGTGGCGGGGTGGCTAAAGCGCGCGTGTGAGGGGGAAAGGGGCGGTGTGAGCAGGGAGGTGACTATGTGGGTGGCGACGGGGTAAAATTACGACGTGTGGGTGGCATGCACGAGTGCGCGACGAGGCACGGCAGGGTGGGAGTGAGCAAAAGGGGAGTGGGGCGGCTTGTGTGCCAAACGTGGGCGGCTAAAACGCTCTAGGCAGAAAACGCGCTTCGGGAGGCGCGCAAGGGGAGGGCTGCTTAATCGCTACGAACGTAGCAATTTCGCCTCCCTCCGCGCTGCCTTTCCCTGGCGGTAAGCGCCCCGTGCGCGGTTCCGTCTACGTCGCGGCTAGATTGAACAGGCGGGGAAAACGAGTGCATGACTAAACATGATAGGCGACGAGAAAGCGTGCTTGGAAACGCGCGGCTCTTCGAATTAGGGTTACGATAAAGAAGGGCGCACCGAAAGGGAAGGAAGAGTGCTAACTACGGGCGGAAGCTAAGCTCAGTGACTTCGAGAGAGGGAAACCGCGGGAAAAAACTCGGTAGCAGCTAATCGCTTCGAATAGAAAAGCCGTGAGCAGAAAAGAGCGGGGGGATAAGGGAGAGTGTCGAGAGAGGGGATGGGCGGGAACACCGTGTCTGGCGGAGTTGTGGTTGTGAGTCGCGCGCGCTGTTACACTCCGCGGGCGAACTTCGCGTCAGCGCCCCACCTCCCGTTACACCGGCTGCAGCGCGTCCGCAGCGATCCCGCGATGGCGGGGTCGAACAAACGGTTCCGTAACACCCCGCGAGTTCCGTTTCCGAGACTCCTGAGGGTCGCGCGCGAAACTCGCGACCCCCGTCCCGTCGAACTCGACAGTCGAAACTAAAAAACTAACCGTTGGAAACGCTTATAACTATAACATAAACAACTATCACAATCACTTTGTCCTTAAGCAACTCGAAATAGTAGGTTTAGGAGGCTCCTTAGTAGGCAGCCATGGCTAGGTAAGCTAGGTCAAGGTAAGAGCGCCGGTGGGCGAGAGCAGTACTGGGCTGGGTGACCTCCCGGGAAGTCCTCGTGTTGTACCCATTTATGCCCCTTGCTCGGCACGTGCCGGGGGAGGGGCAAGCGGGAAAAAGAAAGGACGATTTCAGCGCGTCCGATTTTTTCATTTTCGTTTTTTTTTGCCCGAACAACGACCCAGCGGGGTGGGGGGCCCCCGGGGAGGCTTGCCCGTGCGAAGAAACGCCCCGTGCGCACCACCGTTGGGCGGTTGGAAGCCGCACACGGTCGCGGGGGTGGAGAGCGGAAACGGGCAGCCGGGGGAGGGTGGGGGCGGTTGGATGGGACTGGGGTGTACGGGGGGCAGGGGAGTTGAGGGGGCAAGGGGAGGGGCAGCAACGGGCAGGGGCTGGGCCAGCTGAGGGCACGGAAAAGGGGCGGGCAGAGGGTGAGCAGAGGGGCGAGCGATGCAAGGGAGGCACCATAGGGGGGGGAAACCAGTTGCACGGAGGTGGGAGGTGAGGGGCGTGCGAGGGGGTGGGAAAGGGGCAGGGAGGGGCAGAATGGGAGGATGTGGGTGGGGGGTGGGGGAGGGGAGTGTGCGTGTGTGTGTGTGAGAAAGAGAGAGAGGGAAAGGGAGGGGGGGAGAGAAGGGTGGGAGGGGGGCTGGTGGTGGGGATGGGCTGATGGTGGTAAGAGGGCAGCAGGGATGGGGAGAAGGGAGCGTAACGAGGGGAGAGCAAAGGGCAGGGGGGGAGGAAGGGAGGGGCAGGGAGGGAAGAGGCTGAACGTACAAAGGGGGGGAAACGAGGGGCATGGATGGTAGGAAACAAGGGCAGGGGTGCGGGAAATCAAGGGCAGGGAGGGGAGAAGCAATGGGTGAGGGGAAAACAAGGGAGGGGCAGAGGGGGTGGGCAGGGAGGGAAGAAACGTGGGGCAGGGAGGGGAGAAGCCAAAGACAGGGGCATGGGCAGGCGGGGGCAGGGAGGGAGCAGAGGAGAGGCACGGAGAAAGAAAGGGAGGCGCGGGGAGGGGAGAAACCGGGCGTGGGGGGGCGGAAAACGAGGGGCAGGGCGGGGAGGAGGGAGGGGCAGGGAGGGGAGAAGCTGAGCACACAGAGGGGGGAAAGGTGGGGCAGGGAGGTAGGAAGCCAAGGGCAAGGGTGGGAGAGTGGGGGGGCAGGGAGAGGGGGGAGGTGGGGGGCGGAGAAAGGCGGCGAGGGGCAGGGAGGGGAGAAACCAAGCATAGGGGGGCGAGATACGAGGGGCAGGGTGCGGATTGAGGAGGGGCAGGGAGTGGAGTGGGTCGGCGAGGGGAAGGAAGAGGCGTGCAGCAGAGGAGGGGAGGGGGGAGGAGAAGGTAAACGAGGGGAGCGCACGGGCGGGGAGGAGCGAATGGCGGGCGGTGGGAAACGGCGAGGGGGGCAGGGAGGGTCAAAAGAGGCGGCAAGGGAGCGGGCACGCGGAGGGTAGGGGCGGGGGGAGCGGATGGCATGAGGGGGCAGGGGGTGTGACTGTGAAGGGGGGACCCGGGCAAGGGGTGTGTACCGGTCGGGGCACGGGGTTGACGTGGTACGATCATACCTCGGCTACTACGCCGGATCCCATCAGAACTCCGAAGCTAAGCGCCGGTGGGCGAGAGCAGTACTGGGCTGGGTGCCCATGATACCGCCTCGATCATCCCTTCCCTCTCACAGCCCCGTGCGACCGGGATGCAGTTCACCGACGCACAGTGGCAGACGCTCGACTCGGTGGACTGGACAGAGTACTTCTCGCCCGAGCGTATCCATACACGCCCTCTCCGACGTGTCCCGGAGAGGGTCCGCGGAGGATATCTTGACGTCCTCAGTGCGATCCTAGTCCGCATTGCCCAGGACCCGGAGGCTGCTGGCCCTACCTTCCTCCTCGCTGCAGCGCCGACTCTTTTCCTTGTTCCAGCGACGCCACCCGACCGCTCGCACACGGCTGCCATTGCAACGCGCATCTCTCGCTTTGGTCGAGGTGAGTGGGCTGAGCTAGTCTCAGATGCACTAGGCCGTCGCACACCCCTTCCTCGCCGCACAGGTCACCGGTCACGCACCGCCACCGATCCCTCTGCAGCAGATGAGCGCCGCATTGCACGTTGCCTTCGTCTGGCAGCGTGCAATGAGACCTCACGGGCGTGCGCGGCTCTCGAGTCCGCGGAGGCAGCCCCAGATACACAGGGGACGATACAGCGCCTGCAGTCGAAGCACCCCAACGCGGAGAGGCCGACCCCAGCTTGGCTGTCTGGCTTCCAGGGGTCCCCTCTCGTGCTCTCGGTGGATCACTTACGCCGCGCGATTTTCACAGCTCCGCGGGGCTCTTCGGGAGGACCGTCCGGTTGGGTCGCTGAGCACCTGCGAGACACTTTCCTAGCTTTCCCTCAGAGTCTCCATTTCCTCCTGGCCGTGTACCAGCAGTGGCTCCGAGGCCGTTGCGCTCCAGCTGCGCGCTCCTTGCTAGCGTCCTCCACCCTCGTGGCTCTGGCGAAGTCGAACATGGATGTTCGGCCGATTGCCATCGGCGAGGTTTTGGTCCGCATTCTTTCTCGGGCAGTTTGTCTCCAGCTACGTGACCAGATGGCGAGGGTCTTCTTGGCATCACAGCAGTTTGGGGTGGGGGTTACGTGCGGGACAGAGGTCGTAGTTAGAGGCGTCCGCCGCGCTCTGGCTGACCACCCAGACTGGGTGGTCCTGCAGCTAGACGTGGCGAATGCCTTTAACTCTTTCCACCGAGACAGGATGTTTCAGGCGCTGCAGGCCAGTCCGGAGTTTCAGTGTCTGATCCCCTTCATCGGCCTCTTCTACGGGACGCCCTCGGATCTCCACTACAGGTCAGGCACGGGAGTGGTCACGATGCACTCGGAGCGGGGCACTCGCCAGGGAGACCCTCTCAGCCCCTTCTTGTACGCTCTGACACAGCGTCTTGCTTTGGAGCCGGTTCTGGCGGAGGGGGATGTCCAGCTCTGGTCGTACGCCGATGACACGTACGTGCTAGGTCCCCCAGACAGGGTGCTGCACCATTTTGCCGAGATCGTGAGGCGCTTGGGCGAGATGGGCCTTGCAGCCCAGCCGCACAAGTGCCTCGTCTACCAGACAGAGTCCTTTCTGTCCAGGGATCTGGAGGCTTTCACGGGCCTAGGGATCGAGGTCGCACGCCGAGGGCTCACCGTGACAGGCGTACCGGTAGGCACCGTTTCGTTCGTGGAGCAGAGTCTCCCGGATCGTCTCGAGAGGATGGGGCGGGTGCTACCTTGGCTTCCGAGGTTGCGCCAGCCCCAGACAGCTGCCCGCCTTCTTTCGGCGTGTGTCAGCACTCGTCCGCAGTACCTGTCGAGGACCGTCCCTCCTTCGCCCGCAGTGATCTCCAGTTTTACACGGTGGGACGCACGCCTGGGAGAGACTTTTCAGCAGCTTTTAGCTTCAGGGACCTGGGCTTGTCGCGAGGACGTCCGAGAGGCCGCCCTAGACCAGATCTTCCTCCCCATCCGTCTCGGGGGTTTCGGCATTCGTCGCATGGCGCGCATGGCCCCGGTGAGTTTCGTGTGCTCCTGGGTGCAGTGTGCACCCATTCTCTGTTCTCTCCCTGCGTGTGGCGAGGTGTTTCGGCAGAGCTTCGCTTCAGGTGAGCCAGAGCAGATCGACCGGGCTCTGCAGACGGCGCTAGAGGGTCTCCCTCCTGACGTTCTCTCTCTCCTTCCCCCCTGGCCCTCTTGCGCTTCTGCCTCCCCCGATTCCCTTTTTGCAGGAGCGAGCCGTCTTCTGGAGGCGCATGCCTTGGAGGCCGTGCGTGCCCGTCACACCTCTCCCTTGCACCTTGCCCGTTTGACTTCCCTTCAGGGCGGAGGTGCAGGAGCGTGGTTGACGTCGGTGCCGTACGCCGACCCACTGCGCATCCCGGAGGCGCTGTGGCAGGCGGCTTCATCTTCTCGTCTTGGTCTCCCTATCCCCCAGTTAGCCCTTGCAGGTCAGTGCTCCTGCGGACAGGCGATTGACGACATGACGGTGCCTCATCACGCGGTTCGGTGCCCGCGTTACGGGGTCGCCACTACCATCCACGACACGGTGAAGTACATGCTTCGAGACTTTGCGGTCGAGGCGGGCTTCGCGGTAAAGGTGGAGGACTCTACGCTGTTCACACAGTTGGAGGCGGCTCGAGCGAGACTACTGGGACAGCCAGTGGTGGGAGAGGGGACACGGGCTGAGGGACCGGGGGAGCGGAGAGGCGAGGCGGGACAGCCGGGTGGCGGGGGACAGTGGGGACGGCACCAGCTGCGGGGTCAGGTGGAGCGAGGGACAGGTGGGCAGAGGGGACGGCAGGGGGAGCAGACGGGCCAGGACGGGGAGGGGGGACGGCACAGGCAGCAGCAGGAGAGCCAGTGGAGGCCGCGGGCCCAGGGCGCCGCGCCTCCAGGTTCGGCCTCGGGGGCGGGGCAGGGGCGGGAGCAGCAGAGAGCGGACGGAGGTACAGGAGGGGCAGCGGGATTGGGAGGGGAGGGCCAGGGAGTGAGAGAGGCAGCAGGGGATGGAGCAGGGGGGTCGGGAGGTTTGGGGGAGGGTAGGGAGGGGGAGGGGAGAGGACAGGTGGATGGAGGAGAGGAGAGGGGGAGAGAGACGATCGGAGAGGGGGCACCAAGGGACCAGACAGGGCAGCAGCCAGCGCAACAGCAGGGACCAGTCGGACGCACAGGCCGTGTAGGCACCGCCTCCCGCATTCCAGACCTCACCTGCCGCGACGTTGGCCAGGGTCTGATGGTTCTTGTGGATGTCTCCATAGCGGATCCACAGCGGGAGGGGAACGTGCAGCTGAGACGGGCGACCCCCACACAGATTGGAGTGGCAGCAGCTAGGCGGGTGCAGGAGAAGCTGCGTCACTGGGGGCCGCACTTAGAGGGGCTGCAGCCGGCACCACACTTTTACGCGTGCGTGGCGGAGACCTTTGGCCTTCTGAGTGAGCCGCTGCGTCAGTTTCTGGGGCTCTGCGCAAAGAGGATAGCACAGCGGAGGAGGGATAGAGGTGGGGGGGATGACGGATCGGCACGGATATTTGAGGCAGGACTCACTACACGCCTCTCCGTTGCACTGCAGCGCGCGCAGGCTCAATGCATGATCCAGCATGCGGTGCGGCAGTTAGGGAGGTCCGACGACGGGTGGATGCCCGCACCAGTCCCACTGGGTGCGGGGCAGGGAACTTGGCACCACGTCACAGGGTGCTTCGAGAGTGTGGCTGATATGCAGTATATATATGATGCATATGTGTAAAAAACAATAGTGGCTGTGCTTGAAACGCTGTGCCCGTGCGGTCGTGCGGGTTGCTGCCGTGTTTGGTCCTTTGGTGCTTCCTTCTCCTTAGTCTCTCTCTCTCTCTCCTCTTCTCTTCCCACCTCCCTCTTTCTGTTCCCTTCTTCTATCCTTCCCTTCTCTTCCTACCACCCTCTTCCTTTCCCTACCACTTCTTCTTACTCCTTCATCTTTCCTTCCTTTCCTTTCTTTCCCCCTTTTCCTACAAAATATATAAATCGTCCTCATAGCGCTTAGGCTATGTCGAAATTTCCTAGTCTTGGAAAAACCATTATATTCGGCTTGTATTTGCTCTTCCCTTATTAATGAATAACTGCTCTCGCCCACCGGCGCTTAGCTTCGGAGTTCTGATGGGATCCGGCGTAGTAGCCGAGGTATGATCGTACCACGTCAACCCCGTGCCCCGACCGGTACACACCCCTTGCCCGGGTCCCCCCTTCACAGTCACACCCCCTGCCCCCTCATGCCATCCGCTCCCCCCGCCCCTACCCTCCGCGTGCCCGCTCCCTTGCCGCCTCTTTTGACCCTCCCTGCCCCCCTCGCCGTTTCCCACCGCCCGCCATTCGCTCCTCCCCGCCCGTGCGCTCCCCTCGTTTACCTTCTCCTCCCCCCTCCCCTCCTCTGCTGCACGCCTCTTCCTTCCCCTCGCCGACCCACTCCACTCCCTGCCCCTCCTCAATCCGCACCCTGCCCCTCGTATCTCGCCCCCCTATGCTTGGTTTCTCCCCTCCCTGCCCCTCGCCGCCTTTCTCCGCCCCCCACCTCCCCCCTCTCCCTGCCCCCCCACTCTCCCACCCTTGCCCTTGGCTTCCTACCTCCCTGCCCCACCTTTCCCCCCTCTGTGTGCTCAGCTTCTCCCCTCCCTGCCCCTCCCTCCTCCCCGCCCTGCCCCTCGTTTTCCGCCCCCCCACGCCCGGTTTCTCCCCTCCCCGCGCCTCCCTTTCTTTCTCCGTGCCTCTCCTCTGCTCCCTCCCTGCCCCCGCCTGCCCATGCCCCTGTCTCTGGCTTCTCCCCTCCCTGCCCCACGTTTCTTCCCTCCCTGCCCACCCCCTCTGCCCCTCCCTTGTTTTCCCCTCACCCATTGCTTCTCCCCTCCCTGCCCTTGATTTCCCGCACCCCTGCCCTTGTTTCCTACCATCCATGCCCCTCGTTTCCCCCCCTTTGTACGTTCAGCCTCTTCCCTCCCTGCCCCTCCCTTCCTCCCCCCCTGCCCTTTGCTCTCCCCTCGTTACGCTCCCTTCTCCCCATCCCTGCTGCCCTCTTACCACCATCAGCCCATCCCCACCACCAGCCCCCCTCCCACCCTTCTCTCCCCCCCTCCCTTTCCCTCTCTCTCTTTCTCACACACACACACGCACACTCCCCTCCCCCACCCCCCCACCCACATCCTCCCATTCTGCCCCTCCCTGCCCCTTTCCCACCCCCTCGCACGCCCCTCACCTCCCACCTCCGTGCAACTGGTTTCCCCCCCCTATGGTGCCTCCCTTGCATCGCTCGCCCCTCTGCTCACCCTCTGCCCGCCCCTTTTCCGTGCCCTCAGCTGGCCCAGCCCCTGCCCGTTGCTGCCCCTCCCCTTGCCCCCTCAACTCCCCTGCCCCCCGTACACCCCAGTCCCATCCAACCGCCCCCACCCTCCCCCGGCTGCCCGTTTCCGCTCTCCACCCCCGCGACCGTGTGCGGCTTCCAACCGCCCAACGGTGGTGCGCACGGGGCGTTTCTTCGCACGGGCAAGCCTCCCCGGGGGCCCCCCACCCCGCTGGGTCGTTGTTCGGGCAAAAAAACGAAAATGAAAAAATCGGACGCGCTGAAATCGTCCTTTCTTTTTCCCGCTTGCCCCTCCCCCGGCACGTGCCGAGCAAGGGGCATAAATGGGTACAACACGAGGACTTCCCGGGAGGTCACCCAGCCCAGTACTGCTCTACGCTGTTCACACAGTTGGAGGCGGCTCGAGCGAGACTACTGGGACAGCCAGTGGTGGGAGAGGGGACACGGGCTGAGGGACCGGGGGAGCGGAGAGGCGTGGCGGGACAGCCGGGTGGCGGGGGACAGTGGGGACGGCACCAGCTGCGGGGTCAGGTGGAGCGAGGGACAGGTGGGCAGAGGGGACGGCAGGGGGAGCAGACAGGCCAGGACAGGGAGGGGGGACGGCACAGGCAGCAGCAGGAGAGCCAGTGGAGGCCGCGGGCCCAGGGCGCCGCGCCTCCAGGTTCGGCCTTGGGGGCGGGGCAGGGGCGGGAGCAGCAGAGAGCGGACGGAGGTACAGGAGGGGCAGCGGGATTGGGAGGGGAGGGCCAGGGAGTGAGAGAGGCAGCAGGGGATGGAGCAGGGGGGTCGGGAGGTTTGGGGGAGGGTAGAGAGGGGGAGGGGAGAGGACAGGTGGATGGAGGAGAGGAGAGGGGCAGAGAGACGATCGGAGAGGGGGCACCAAGGGACCAGACAGGGCAGCAGCCAGCGCAACAGCAGGGACCAGTCGGACGCACAGGCCGTGTAGGCACCGCCTCCCGCATTCCAGACCCCACCTGCCGCGACGTTGGCCAGGGTCTGATGGTTCTTGTGGATGTCTCCATAGCGGATCCACAGCGGGAGGGGAACGTGCAGCTGAGACGGGCGACCCCCACACAGATTGGAGTGGCAGCAGCTAGGCGGGTGCAGGAGAAGCTGCGTCACTGGGGGCCGCACTTAGAGGGGCTGCAGCCGGCACCACACTTTTACGCGTGCGTGGCGGAGACCTTTGGCCTTCTGAGTGAGCCGCTGCGTCAGTTTCTGGGGCTCTGCGCAAAGAGGATAGCACAGCGGAGGAGGGATAGAGGTGGGGGGGATGACGGATCGGCACGGATATTTGAGGCAGGACTCACTACACGCCTCTCCGTTGCACTGCAGCGCGCGCAGGCTCAATGCATGATCCAGCATGCGGTGCGGCAGTTAGGGAGGTCCGACGACGGGTGGATGCCCGCACCAGTCCCACTGGGTGCGGGGCAGGGAACTTGGCACCACGTCACAGGGTGCTTCGAGAGTGTGGCTGATATGCAGTATATATATGATGCATATGTGTAAAAAACAATAGTGGCTGTGCTTGAAACGCTGTGCCCGTGCGGTCGTGCGGGTTGCTGCCGTGTTTGGTCCTTTGGTGCTTCCTCCTCCTTAGTCTCTCTCTCTCTCTCCTCTTCTCTTCCCACCTCCCTCTTTCTGTTCCCTTCTTCTATCCTTCCCTTCTCTTCCTACCACCCTCTTCCTTTCCCTACCACTTCTTCTTACTCCTTCATCTTTCCTTCCTTTCCTTTCTTTCCCCCTTTTCCTACAAAATATATATATCGTCCTCATAGCGCTTAGGCTATGTCGAAATTTCCTTGTCTTGGAAAAACCATTATATTCGGCTTGTATATGCTCTTCCCTTATTAATGAATAACTGCTCTCGCCCACCGGCGCTTAGCTTCGGAGTTCTGATGGGATCCGGCGTAGTAGCCGAGGTATGATCGTACCACGTCAACCCCGTGCCCCGACCGGTACACACCCCTTGCCCGGGTCCCCCCTTCACAGTCACACCCCCTGCCCCCTCATGCCATCCGCTCCCCCCGCCCCTACCCTCCGCGTGCCCGCTCCCTTGCCGCCTCTTTTGACCCTCCCTGCCCCCCTCGCCGTTTCCCACCGCCCGCCATTCGCTCCTCCCCGCCCGTGCGCTCCCCTCGTTTACCTTCTCCTCCCCCCTCCCCTCCTCTGCTGCACGCCTCTTCCTTCCCCTCGCCGACCCACTCCACTCCCTGCCCCTCCTCAATCCGCACCCTGCCCCTCGTATCTCGCCCCCCTATGCTTGGTTTCTCCCCTCCCTGCCCCTCGCCGCCTTTCTCCGCCCCCCACCTCCCCCCTCTCCCTGCCCCCCCCACTCTCCCACCCTTGCCCTTGGCTTCCTACCTCCCTGCCCCACCTTTCCCCCCTCTGTGTGCTCAGCTTCTCCCCTCCCTGCCCCTCCCTCCTCCCCGCCCTGCCCCTCGTTTTCCGCCCCCCCACGCCCGGTTTCTCCCCTCCCCGCGCCTCCCTTTCTTTCTCCGTGCCTCTCCTCTGCTCCCTCCCTGCCCCCGCCTGCCCATGCCCCTGTCTTTGGCTTCTCCCCTCCCTGCCCCACGTTTCTTCCCTCCCTGCCCACCCCCTCTGCCCCTCCCTTGTTTTCCCCTCACCCATTGCTTCTCCCCTCCCTGCCCTTGATTTCCCGCACCCCTGCCCTTGTTTCCTACCATCCATGCCCCTCGTTTCCCCCCCTTTGTACGTTCAGCCTCTTCCCTCCCTGCCCCTCCCTTCCTCCCCCCCTGCCCTTTGCTCTCCCCTCGTTACGCTCCCTTCTCCCCATCCCTGCTGCCCTCTTACCACCATCAGCCCATCCCCACCACCAGCCCCCCTCCCACCCTTCTCTCCCCCCCTCCCTTTCCCTCTCTCTCTTTCTCACACACACACACGCACACTCCCCTCCCCCACCCCCCACCCACATCCTCCCATTCTGCCCCTCCCTGCCCCTTTCCCACCCCCTCGCACGCCCCTCACCTCCCACCTCCGTGCAACTGGTTTCCCCCCCCTATGGTGCCTCCCTTGCATCGCTCGCCCCTCTGCTCACCCTCTGCCCGCCCCTTTTCCGTGCCCTCAGCTGGCCCAGCCCCTGCCCGTTGCTGCCCCTCCCCTTGCCCCCTCAACTCCCCTGCCCCCCGTACACCCCAGTCCCATCCAACCGCCCCCACCCTCCCCCGGCTGCCCGTTTCCGCTCTCCACCCCCGCGACCGTGTGCGGCTTCCAACCGCCCAACGGTGGTGCGCACGGGGCGTTTCTTCGCACGGGCAAGCCTCCCCGGGGGCCCCCCACCCCGCTGGGTCGTTGTTCGGGCAAAAAAACGAAAATAAAAAAATCGGACGCGCTGAAATCGTCCTTTCTTTTTCCCGCTTGCCCCTCCCCCGGCACGTGCCGAGCAAGGGGCATAAATGGGTACAACACGAGGACTTCCCGGGAGGTCACCCAGCCCAGTACTGCTCTCGCCCACGGAGTTTTTTCCCGCGGTTTCCCTCTCTCGAAGTCACTGAGCTTAGCTTCCGCCCGTAGTTAGCACTCTTCCTTCCCTTTCGGTGCGCCCTTCTTTATCGTAACCCTAATTCGAAGAGCCGCGCGTTTCCAAGCACGCTTTCTCGTCGCCTATCATGTTTAGTCATGCACTCGTTTTCCCCGCCTGTTCAATCTAGCCGCGACGTAGACGGAACCGCGCACGGGGCGCTTACCGCCAGGGAAAGGCAGCGCGGAGGGAGGCGAAATTGCTACGTTCGTAGCGATTAAGCAGCCCTCCCCTTGCGCGCCTCCCGAAGCGCGTTTTCTGCCTAGAGCGTTTTAGCCGCCCACGTTTGGCACACAAGCCGCCCCACTCCCCTTTTGCTCACTCCCACCCTGCCGTGCCTCGTCGCGCACTCGTGCATGCCACCCACACGTCGTAATTTTACCCCGTCGCCACCCACATAGTCACCTCCCTGCTCACACCGCCCCTTTCCCCCTCACACGCGCGCTTTAGCCACCCCGCCACCTAACCTCTTTCCCTAACGGCGCTTAGCTAGCAGAGGCCGCCCTGTTTCTGGAAACCGTAGGAAATAAGAGGAAACAACTTCAAGGAAAAAAGAAAAGAAAAAGAAATTCATATAAATCCGAAAAAACCAGGAAAAATCAGAAAGGCAGCTTACACCTTGTTCTCCCAACCCTCCAGGGCCCCACCCAGTCCGCCACCCCCCCATTCTGTTTCATCATACTACACCACACCCTCCCCTTTTGCCCACCAGCATTACCGCCCCTCTCCCCTTATCCCCCACCACGCCCCCAAGCAGGCCTTTCTCCCCCCAGCCTCCCGTCTCCCTGCCCTTAGTACCGCCGCGCTCTGCCCGTGCGTCACCCTTGCCCACTTCATACCACCTCCCCCTTCTCCCCCCCCCCCGGCTTCTCCCTATCATCACCCGCATGTTCCCCCACTCCCCTGTCCACAACGTCCCTCCACCCCCCTTCCTGCTTTCCCCACTCCCACTCTGCCCCCCACACCTCTACGAGCCGTACTTCCCCCTCCAGCCTCCCTTTCCCCCCCAGCTACTTCCGCATCCAGCGTGGGCTGCACCTCTGCATCCCGCCCTGCCAGGCCCTTCGGTGACCCAACTGCCGCCACCTGGCACCACGCCGCCTTTCCCACCCCCATCCAATCTCTACACCCCCTGCCCCTGCTCCCTGCGCAATCCAGCCACCTACCCCAGCCTCCCTCTACCTCTCCCTAACTCCACACCGCCGTTCCTACCCCCAGCCAAGGTCTACACCCCTTGCTTTTGCTCCCTGGGCTGTGCCGTCCCCAACCTCCCTCCGCCTTTCCGCGGCACCAGACCGCCTCTCCCTCCCCCAGCCAACTTTTGCACCCCCTGTTCCTGCCCCTTGTGCCCTCCAACACCCTACCTCAACCCCCCCCAGTCTCCCCCTTCTCCAACACCCTCCATATTTCCTCCCCCCTGGGGCTCGCCCATCCGCAGCTATCACCCTTCATCGATTCCCCAATTCCCTCTGTCCCCTGTTTCCCGGCCCCGCATCCTATCCTGCATTTACCACAGCACCTCCTTTCGGTGCCCTCTCTGCCCTCCCACGTTCTCACCCCCCGCCTCCCAACCTTCTCATTACCCGCTACCAGGCTCACGCCAACTCGACTACCCACTACCCTTTGCCCCTTCCTCTCTGTTCCCCACCCTTCCTTTCCCACCTGGCTCCACCTGCCCACCCCCACCTCCCGTGGAATTCTGCCCTGCCCTCCCCACCTCTGGCCCACCACCTGTCCCCACACCCTGCTCACCCACCGCTACACCACCCCCGCCCCCCCACCTCCACTACAGCCCGCCAACACTTCCCCTCTCAATCGGCCCCCAGCCCGCCCCCCCCTTGGGCCCCAATCCCCTCCAACTGTCAGGCCCCCTCTACCCTCTCTTCCACCCACTGCGCACCGCTTTCCCCACCCTTTTCCCCTTTCCCCAAGCTAACCCCCCGCACCCCGGCCTCTGCCAGGGAGTTCCTTCCCCCTTTGACGCCCTCTTGAGCCAACCCCAGCAACTCACACCGCCACCGCCAGGCATGCTGCCTCTGTAACAATGCCCCAGCACCCCGCGAGTGGGGGAAAGGCAGGCCCGGGAGCCCCTCGGCGATCTGGGAGGTCCCGCAGCCGAGCCACCCCCTACTCTCCCACTCCCCCCACTTCAACAGTCAGGAAGAAACAACACACACCTGACCAAGCGAAAACACTCACACAATCTGACCCTAGGGGCCAGAAGCGTACCTTTGAAGAGGATGGAACAGAGGAACGCCAAGCCCCACTGGAGGAAATACACGAGGAGGAGCCAGCACGCTCAAAACCGCGCCCTACCCCCGCTGCCCCATCCCAGTCTACCCCCCCTTCAGGTGACAGCGGGGGCGGCACCCATGCATGCTCAGTAGAGAGATCCTCCAACTCACTCGCTACCTCCCATTCGCAAACCAGATTACTTGTGAAAACACTTAATCCTACCCGCACCCCCAAGCACATAGAAGCGGGAGAGGGCAGAGCCAGGGGGGAACTTGCAGCTGACACTGCACGGGAAGGGGTAAGTGAGTTTGTGTGTGAAGGAGCAGCAGAGGCTACAGAGGATGGGGCAGCAAAGGCTGCACGGGAAGGGGCAATGGGGGTTGTGGGGGAAGGGGCAGCAGAGGCTGCAGAGGAAAGGGCAGCAGAGGCTGCAAGGGAAGGGGCAGCAGCGGCTGCACGGGAAAGGGCGGCAGGGGCTGCACGGGAAGGGGCGGCAGGGACCGTGACTCTGGCCAGGCAAAGGGCAGAGGCCATGGAGACAGGTTTTGCAGGAGTAGGGGCCACGGAACCTGCTGCTGCGTCGGCTGGGGGAACCGCAGCAGAGGAGGCTATAGGGACCGCACCAGGTGAGGCCGCACAGACCACAGCAGGTGTGGCTGCAGGGATCACAACGGGTGAGGCTGCAGGAGGGACCATGGCAGGTGAGGCCGCAGGGAGCGCAGTAGGTGAGGCTGCGGGGAGCGCAGCAGGTGAGGCTGTAGGGGGCGCAGCAGGTGAGGCTGCAGAGAGCGCAGCAGGTGAGGCCGCAGGGAGCGCAGCAAGCGAGGCTGCAGGGAGCGCAGCAGGCGAGGCTGCAGGGAGCGCAGCAGGCGGGACTGCAGGGGCCACAGCAGGTGAGGCTGCGGCGGACGCAGCAGGTGAGGCTGCGAGGGCTGCATCATGTAAGGTTGGGCAGACTCTAGCAGGTGAGGCTGCACAGTCTACAGCTGGTGAGGTCGCATGGACTGCAACAGGTGAGGCCGCAGGGACTGCAGCAGGTGAGGCGGCAGGGACCACAGCGGATGAGGCTGCAGGCGGGACCATGGCAGGTGAGGCCGCAGGGAGCGCAGCAGGTGAGGCTGAAATAGCCGCAGCAGGTGAGGCTGCAGAGGCCGCAGCATGTGAGGTTGAGCAGATTCTAGCAGGTGAGGCTGCACAGACTGCAGCAGGTGAGGCCGCAGGGACTGCAGCGGGTGAGGCTGCAGGGACTGCAGCACGTGAGGCTGCAGGGACTGCAGCACGTGAGGCTACAGGGATCGCGGCTGGTGAGGCTGAGCAGATTACGGTAGGCGAGGTTTTACAGACTGCAGCAGTCGAGGCTGCAAGGACTGCAGCAGGAGCGACAGAGGCCACAGCGGGGGCTGGTATAGGGGGAGGTGCTACGGGTGCAGCGGGGAAGGGGGTAACGGGGACTGGTGCGAGGGAGAGTGCCGCCCCGGCTGTAGCAAGAGAGGGTACGGCAGGGGCCTCAAAGGCAGAAGGTGAGGCTGCAGCTGAAGCAGCAGGGAGGGCCATAGCACGGCCAGTAGGGGCGGCAGGGGCCGCAGCAAACTCGGGGAAACACACAGCAGGGCCGGCAGGGCCGGCAGAGACTGCAAAAGGGGCTAGCAGTAAAGCGGCAGCAGGCGGGGTGGGCTTGGGGGACATAGGGGCAACAGGGGAAGGAGAGGGGAGGGTGGTCCCGACCGGGGTGGGCACTGAAGAGGGGGATGTGATAGCGATAGAGGAGGATGAGGGAGAGGATGTGATGCACATTGACGGGCCACTGGCCCAATACCTCACGCTTGACGGTGAGGCCGACCCGGCCCCCCTGCAGCCTCACGTCGAGGTTCCCCCTCTACCCCCCATGCCCGTCCCCATGCTAGCAGAAGGACCGATGGAGGGGCTGGGGGAGACCTTGAGGACAGAGCCGCGCGAGGGAGCCCCCATCCTCACCTCCCGTCCTCCAGCCCACCAGCCCCCAGGAGCACCACTTCCCCACCCCCACCCTCAGGTCCCGGTAGTGTCCAGGGGGGCAGCCAAGGCCCTGGCCTTCTTGGCGGAGCCGTGCTCCCCGACCCCCACGCTGCTCCATGGCCAGCCCCCCTCTCCGTCCCCAACGCCTGACCCCACGGTTGCAGGCGGTCCACCGGGAGAGCACGCGGGTGCGACAAGAGCAGAGTCACCCGAGGGCACCCCTTCTCTCACCTCTCACCCCTCCCCGCCCCTTCCCTCACTCCTTCCTTCACCCCCAAGGGCAGCACACCTCTGCCCCCACCCTCAGGGGCTCCTTAGAGCACCACGTGGAGCAGCCAGGGCTCTGGTCTTCCTAGAGGAGCCATGCTCCCCGACTCCTACCAACACCCAGCCACCCCTTACCGGCCCACTACCCCCTCCTCCACCAGGCCCCCCCCCACCCGGTAGTACACACATCTCGGAGGTTGAAGCATCTCTGCGGCCAAATCCCTCTCCCACACGCTACAGGCACCCAAACCACCCGAGTCGCCGCACAGCCCCAACACGCCCACCCAACAGGCTGCCCTCCCCACACCACCCCCCCCAGGCAGCCGAGACCCACCCGCAAGGGCTTGCGCCCCAGGCTCATGGGAGCGGCGGCACCCGGGTAGAGGGGCCCACAGGAGAGGCCACCACAGAGCCCACACAAATCTCTCTCCCCCCACCGTTTGTACCTCGCTCTAACCTCCACACTGGCCCAGCCCCTCGACCCCCACCTCCAACCCCCTCTCCCGGCCGGGTTCCCCACGAGTGGCCCCGTTGGGCAGCCATCACCCCCCACACACAGCTTGCCCGATCTGTTCCCACGGAGGGGGATGTTTCGAGGAGAGTGGGGATGCACACAGAGCACCCCCTGCCTGGCGAACCACCCATCCTCCCTCCACCCACCCCTTTGGCCCCACAGCCCCCCCTTCCTTCACAAACAGGCGCGGACAACCAGGTTGGCCGCCGGCGGAAGAACAGGGGCAGAGGAGGCAGAGGGTCAGCCCACGTACTCCCCCCTCCCTCCCTCCCCCACCAAGAGCCCCTCCCCACCTCACATCCCGTTGAACAATTACCAGGCCCTACCTCTACAGCCCGTCCACCAAACCTACACTCCCGCCCCGCTCCTGCACCTCCACAGGGCCATGGGAGCGGACCAGCCCACTCACCCCCATTCTGCCCCTCCCGTGCTGTGTCCCCCTCCCAGGTGGCGGCGGCCGCGATCGCTACTGGGAGGGGGGCCGTCGGGTTGAGGGATGCGCCCATGGCAGACGCCACCGACTCCCCCTCCCATCCCTCCCACCCCTTCCATGTCGACGACCCCCTACCGCAACCCATGGTGATTGGGGAGGGCCAAGGGGGCCTTCTAGGGCAGGGTCCACACCCGAGCTCCGCTCAGCCAGCACGCCCCACTCCACCCTCTACCCTGCCAGCCCTCCTACTCTCACCTACAGGCAGGCAGGTCTTCGAGACCCCAGAGGAGGTGAGGGCTGGCATTTCAGATTTGCTGGCGATACACCGCCTGAGCAGCTCTCCGGCTGCCCCCACCCTTCCAGTCCCACAGGACCGGACCCGGACGTATGCGGAGGTCACCCGGTCTGTCCCTTCTTTTATCCCCCCCGCCACTCAGCCAGGCGCGTCACTCCCGACCCCAATGGAGACGGACCGGGGTCTGAGGCCGTGTCACTCGCACCTAGACGGGGTGGCGCCTCCCCCCGTTCAGCCCGTGGCGCAGGAGGTCACCAGCAGTAGGGATGAGGCATCCGCCCCTACCGAGACCCCTCCGCCTGGGGTAGCAGAGCCGTCACTTGAACCGCACCCCGCCGAGGGGCAGGAGCACACCACGGCACACACTTCAGGCTCACCTCCACGTCCCCCCTCCCCAGCTTCAACACCGGTGCCGGCACGAGGCCCGGCCCTATCCTGTGCGACACCACCTCTATCTTCGCTGACACCCCCCCCGCGCGGGGCTGGTGAGTCGTCTCCTCCCCTCATCCCAGGCGATCCTGTCGGAGCTCAGGCCGCCCACGGGGTCCCCTCTACAGCCAGTTCCGACGCCACGGCCCCGATTGACCCCGCCGACACGGCGACATCACCCGACCAGGTCGTGAGTTGCCCCACCTGCAGGAGCTCTCTCGCGAACCGACGCGCGCTCCAGCACCACATTCCCTTCTGCCATCCTGCGGACGCGGCTCGCAGGGCGCAGGCTGCCCATGATACCGCCTCGATCATCCCTTCCCTCTCACAGCCCCGTGCGACCGGGATGCAGTTCACCGACGCACAGTGGCAGACGCTCGACTCGGTGGACTGGACAGAGTACTTCTCGCCCGAGCGTATCCATACACGCCCTCTCCGACGTGTCCCGGAGAGGGTCCGCGGAGGATATCTTGACGTCCTCAGTGCGATCCTAGTCCGCATTGCCCAGGACCCGGAGGCTGCTGGCCCTACCTTCCTCCTCGCTGCAGCGCCGACTCTTTTCCTTGTTCCAGCGACGCCACCCGACCGCTCGCACACGGCTGCCATTGCAACGCGCATCTCTCGCTTTGGTCGAGGTGAGTGGGCTGAGCTAGTCTCAGATGCACTAGGCCGTCGCACACCCCTTCCTCGCCGCACAGGTCACCGGTCACGCACCGCCACCGATCCCTCTGCAGCAGATGAGCGCCGCATTGCACGTTGCCTTCGTCTGGCAGCGTGCAATGAGACCTCACGGGCGTGCGCGGCTCTCGAGTCCGCGGAGGCAGCCCCAGATACACAGGGGACGATACAGCGCCTGCAGTCGAAGCACCCCAACGCGGAGAGGCCGACCCCAGCTTGGCTGTCTGGCTTCCAGGGGTCCCCTCTCGTGCTCTCGGTGGATCACTTACGCCGCGCGATTTTCACAGCTCCGCGGGGCTCTTCGGGAGGACCGTCCGGTTGGGTCGCTGAGCACCTGCGAGACACTTTCCTAGCTTTCCCTCAGAGTCTCCATTTCCTCCTGGCCGTGTACCAGCAGTGGCTCCGAGGCCGTTGCGCTCCAGCTGCGCGCTCCTTGCTAGCGTCCTCCACCCTCGTGGCTCTGGCGAAGTCGAACATGGATGTTCGGCCGATTGCCATCGGCGAGGTTTTGGTCCGCATTCTTTCTCGGGCAGTTTGTCTCCAGCTACGTGACCAGATGGCGAGGGTCTTCTTGGCATCACAGCAGTTTGGGGTGGGGGTTACGTGCGGGACAGAGGTCGTAGTTAGAGGCGTCCGCCGCGCTCTGGCTGACCACCCAGACTGGGTGGTCCTGCAGCTAGACGTGGCGAATGCCTTTAACTCTTTCCACCGAGACAGGATGTTTCAGGCGCTGCAGGCCAGTCCGGAGTTTCAGTGTCTGATCCCCTTCATCGGCCTCTTCTACGGGACGCCCTCGGATCTCCACTACAGGTCAGGCACGGGAGTGGTCACGATGCACTCGGAGCGGGGCACTCGCCAGGGAGACCCTCTCAGCCCCTTCTTGTACGCTCTGACACAGCGTCTTGCTTTGGAGCCGGTTCTGGCGGAGGGGGATGTCCAGCTCTGGTCGTACGCCGATGACACGTACGTGCTAGGTCCCCCAGACAGGGTGCTGCACCATTTTGCCGAGATCGTGAGGCGCTTGGGCGAGATGGGCCTTGCAGCCCAGCCGCACAAGTGCCTCGTCTACCAGACAGAGTCCTTTCTGTCCAGGGATCTGGAGGCTTTCACGGGCCTAGGGATCGAGGTCGCACGCCGAGGGCTCACCGTGACAGGCGTACCGGTAGGCACCGTTTCGTTCGTGGAGCAGAGTCTCCCGGATCGTCTCGAGAGGATGGGGCGGGTGCTACCTTGGCTTCCGAGGTTGCGCCAGCCCCAGACAGCTGCCCGCCTTCTTTCGGCGTGTGTCAGCACTCGTCCGCAGTACCTGTCGAGGACCGTCCCTCCTTCGCCCGCAGTGATCTCCAGTTTTACACGGTGGGACGCACGCCTGGGAGAGACTTTTCAGCAGCTTTTAGCTTCAGGGACCTGGGCTTGTCGCGAGGACGTCCGAGAGGCCGCCCTAGACCAGATCTTCCTCCCCATCCGTCTCGGGGGTTTCGGCATTCGTCGCATGGCGCGCATGGCCCCGGTGAGTTTCGTGTGCTCCTGGGTGCAGTGTGCACCCATTCTCTGTTCTCTCCCTGCGTGTGGCGAGGTGTTTCGGCAGAGCTTCGCTTCAGGTGAGCCAGAGCAGATCGACCGGGCTCTGCAGACGGCGCTAGAGGGTCTCCCTCCTGACGTTCTCTCTCTCCTTCCCCCCTGGCCCTCTTGCGCTTCTGCCTCCCCCGATTCCCTTTTTGCAGGAGCGAGCCGTCTTCTGGAGGCGCATGCCTTGGAGGCCGTGCGTGCCCGTCACACCTCTCCCTTGCACCTTGCCCGTTTGACTTCCCTTCAGGGCGGAGGTGCAGGAGCGTGGTTGACGTCGGTGCCGTACGCCGACCCACTGCGCATCCCGGAGGCGCTGTGGCAGGCGGCTTCATCTTCTCGTCTTGGTCTCCCTATCCCCCAGTTAGCCCTTGCAGGTCAGTGCTCCTGCGGACAGGCGATTGACGACATGACGGTGCCTCATCACGCGGTTCGGTGCCCGCGTTACGGGGTCGCCACTACCATCCACGACACGGTGAAGTACATGCTTCGAGACTTTGCGGTCGAGGCGGGCTTCGCGGTAAAGGTGGAGGACTCTACGCTGTTCACACAGTTGGAGGCGGCTCGAGCGAGACTACTGGGACAGCCAGTGGTGGGAGAGGGGACACGGGCTGAGGGACCGGGGGAGCGGAGAGGCGAGGCGGGACAGCCGGGTGGCGGGGGACAGTGGGGACGGCACCAGCTGCGGGGTCAGGTGGAGCGAGGGACAGGTGGGCAGAGGGGACGGCAGGGGGAGCAGACGGGCCAGGACGGGGAGGGGGGACGGCACAGGCAGCAGCAGGAGAGCCAGTGGAGGCCGCGGGCCCAGGGCGCCGCGCCTCCAGGTTCGGCCTCGGGGGCGGGGCAGGGGCGGGAGCAGCAGAGAGCGGACGGAGGTACAGGAGGGGCAGCGGGATTGGGAGGGGAGGGCCAGGGAGTGAGAGAGGCAGCAGGGGATGGAGCAGGGGGGTCGGGAGGTTTGGGGGAGGGTAGGGAGGGGGAGGGGAGAGGACAGGTGGATGGAGGAGAGGAGAGGGGGAGAGAGACGATCGGAGAGGGGGCACCAAGGGACCAGACAGGGCAGCAGCCAGCGCAACAGCAGGGACCAGTCGGACGCACAGGCCGTGTAGGCACCGCCTCCCGCATTCCAGACCTCACCTGCCGCGACGTTGGCCAGGGTCTGATGGTTCTTGTGGATGTCTCCATAGCGGATCCACAGCGGGAGGGGAACGTGCAGCTGAGACGGGCGACCCCCACACAGATTGGAGTGGCAGCAGCTAGGCGGGTGCAGGAGAAGCTGCGTCACTGGGGGCCGCACTTAGAGGGGCTGCAGCCGGCACCACACTTTTACGCGTGCGTGGCGGAGACCTTTGGCCTTCTGAGTGAGCCGCTGCGTCAGTTTCTGGGGCTCTGCGCAAAGAGGATAGCACAGCGGAGGAGGGATAGAGGTGGGGGGGATGACGGATCGGCACGGATATTTGAGGCAGGACTCACTACACGCCTCTCCGTTGCACTGCAGCGCGCGCAGGCTCAATGCATGATCCAGCATGCGGTGCGGCAGTTAGGGAGGTCCGACGACGGGTGGATGCCCGCACCAGTCCCACTGGGTGCGGGGCAGGGAACTTGGCACCACGTCACAGGGTGCTTCGAGAGTGTGGCTGATATGCAGTATATATATGATGCATATGTGTAAAAAACAATAGTGGCTGTGCTTGAAACGCTGTGCCCGTGCGGTCGTGCGGGTTGCTGCCGTGTTTGGTCCTTTGGTGCTTCCTTCTCCTTAGTCTCTCTCTCTCTCTCCTCTTCTCTTCCCACCTCCCTCTTTCTGTTCCCTTCTTCTATCCTTCCCTTCTCTTCCTACCACCCTCTTCCTTTCCCTACCACTTCTTCTTACTCCTTCATCTTTCCTTCCTTTCCTTTCTTTCCCCCTTTTCCTACAAAATATATAAATCGTCCTCATAGCGCTTAGGCTATGTCGAAATTTCCTAGTCTTGGAAAAACCATTATATTCGGCTTGTATTTGCTCTTCCCTTATTAATGAATAACTGCTCTCGCCCACCGGCGCTTAGCTTCGGAGTTCTGATGGGATCCGGCGTAGTAGCCGAGGTATGATCGTACCACGTCAACCCCGTGCCCCGACCGGTACACACCCCTTGCCCGGGTCCCCCCTTCATAGTCACACCCCCTGCCCCCTCATGCCATCCGCTCCCCCCGCCCCTACCCTCCGCGTGCCCGCTCCCTTGCCGCCTCTTTTGACCCTCCCTGCCCCCCTCGCCGTTTCCCACCGCCCGCCATTCGCTCCTCCCCGCCCGTGCGCTCCCCTCGTTTACCTTCTCCTCCCCCCTCCCCTCCTCTGCTGCACGCCTCTTCCTTCCCCTCGCCGACCCACTCCACTCCCTGCCCCTCCTCAATCCGCACCCTGCCCCTCGTATCTCGCCCCCCTATGCTTGGTTTCTCCCCTCCCTGCCCCTCGCCGCCTTTCTCCGCCCCCCACCTCCCCCCTCTCCCTGCCCCCCCCACTCTCCCACCCCTTGCCCTTGGCTTCCTACCTCCCTGCCCCACCTTTCCCCCCTCTGTGTGCTCAGCTTCTCCCCTCCCTGCCCCTCCCTCCTCCCCGCCCTGCCCCTCGTTTTCCGCCCCCCCCACGCCCGGTTTCTCCCCTCCCCGCGCCTCCCTTTCTTTCTCCGTGCCTCTCCTCTGCTCCCTCCCTGCCCCCGCCTGCCCATGCCCCTGTCTTTGGCTTCTCCCCTCCCTGCCCCACGTTTCTTCCCTCCCTGCCCACCCCCTCTGCCCCTCCCTTGTTTTCCCCTCACCCATTGCTTCTCCCCTCCCTGCCCTTGATTTCCCGCACCCCTGCCCTTGTTTCCTACCATCCATGCCCCTCGTTTCCCCCCCTTTGTACGTTCAGCCTCTTCCCTCCCTGCCCCTCCCTTCCTCCCCCCCTGCCCTTTGCTCTCCCCTCGTTACGCTCCCTTCTCCCCATCCCTGCTGCCCTCTTACCACCATCAGCCCATCCCCACCACCAGCCCCCCTCCCACCCTTCTCTCCCCCCCTCCCTTTCCCTCTCTCTCTTTCTCACACACACACACACGCACACTCCCCTCCCCCACCCCCCCACCCACATCCTCCCATTCTGCCCCTCCCTGCCCCTTTCCCACCCCCTCGCACGCCCCTCACCTCCCACCTCCGTGCAACTGGTTTCCCCCCCTATGGTGCCTCCCTTGCATCGCTCGCCCCTCTGCTCACCCTCTGCCCGCCCCTTTTCCGTGCCCTCAGCTGGCCCAGCCCCTGCCCGTTGCTGCCCCTCCCCTTGCCCCCTCAACTCCCCTGCCCCCCGTACACCCCAGTCCCATCCAACCGCCCCCACCCTCCCCCGGCTGCCCGTTTCCGCTCTCCACCCCCGCGACCGTGTGCGGCTTCCAACCGCCCAACGGTGGTGTGCACGGGGCGTTTCTTCGCACGGGCAAGCCTCCCCGGGGGCCCCCCACCCCGCTGGGTCGTTGTTTCGGGCAAAAAAACGAAAATGAAAAAATCGGACGCGCTGAAATCGTCCTTTCTTTTTCCCGCTTGCCCCTCCCCCGGCACGTGCCGAGCAAGGGGCATAAATGGGTACAACACGAGGACTTCCCGGGAGGTCACCCAGCCCAGTACTGCTCTCGCCCACCGATTTAGCTATTAGCTACTACCGATTTTCTTCCCACGGTTTCCCTCTCTCGAAGTCACTGAGCTTAGCTTCCACACGTAGTTAGCATTCTTCCTTCCCTTTCAGTGCGCCCTTCTTTATCGAAACCCTAATTCGAAGAGCCGCGCGTTTTCAAGCACGCTTTCTCGTCGCCTGTCATGTTTAGTCACGCACTCATTTTCCCCGCCTGTTCAATCTAGCCGCGACGTAGACGGAACCGCGCACGGGGCGCTTACCGCCAGGGAAAGGCAGCGCGGAGGGAGGCGAAATTGCTACGTTCGTAGCGATTAAGCAGCCCTCCCCTTGCGCGCCTCCCGAAGCGCGTTTTCTGCCTAGAGCGTTTTAGCCGCCCACGTTTGGCACACAAGCCGCCCCACTCCCCCTTTTGCTCACTCCCACCCTGCCATGCCTCGTCGCGCACTCGTGCATGCCACCCACACGTCGTAATCTTACCCCGTCGCCACCCACATAGTCACCTTCCCTGCTCACACCGCCCCTTTCCCCCTCACACGCGCGCTTTAGCCACCCCGCCACCTAACCTCTTTCCCTAACGGCGCTTAGCTAGCAGAGGCCGCCCTGTCTCTGGAAACCGTAGGAAATAAGAGGAAACAACTTCAAGGAAAAAGAAAGAAAAATAATTCATATAAATCCGGAAAAAAACCAGGAAAAAATCAGAAAGGCAGCTTACACCTTGTTCTCCCAACCCTCCAGGGCCCCATCCAGTCCGCCACCCCCCCATTCTGTTTCATCATACTACACCACACCCTCCCCTTTTGCCCACCAGCATTACCGCCCCTCTCCCCTTATCCCCCACCACGCCCCCAAGCAGGCCTTTCTCCCCCCAGCCTCCCGTCTCCCTGCCCTTAGTACCGCCGCGCTCTGCCCGTGCGTCACCCTTGCCCACTTCATACCACCTCCCCCTTCTCCCCCCCCCCCGGCTTCTCCCTATCATCACCCGCATGTTCCCCCACTCCCCTGTCCACAACGTCCCTCCTCCCCCCCTTCCTGCTTTCCCCACTCCCACTCTGCCCCCCACACCTCTACGAGCCGTACTTCCCCCTCCAGCCTCCCTTTCCCCCCCAGCTACTTCCGCATCCAGCGTGGGCTGCACCTCTGCATCCCGCCCTGCCAGGCCCTTCGGTGACCCAACTGCCGCCACCTGGCACCACGCCGCCTTTCCCACCCCCATCCAATCTCTACACCCCCTGCCCCTGCTCCCTGCGCAATCCAGCCACCTACCCCAGCCTCCCTCTACCTCTCCCTAACTCCACACCGCCGTTCCTACCCCCAGCCAAGGTCTACACCCCTTGCTTTTGCTCCCTGGGCTGTGCCGTCCCCAACCTCCCTCCGCCTTTCCGCGGCACCAGACCGCCTCTCCCTCCCCCAGCCAACTTTTGCACCCCCTGTTCCTGCCCCTTGTGCCCTCCAACACCCTACCTCAACCCCCCCCAGTCTCCCCCTTCTCCAACACCCTCCATATTTCCTCCCCCCTGGGGCTCGCCCATCCGCAGCTATCACCCTTCATCGATTCCCCAATTCCCTCTGTCCCCTGTTTCCCGGCCCCGCATCCTATTCTGCATTTACCACAGCACCTCCTTTCGGTGCCCTCTCTGCCCTCCCACGTTCTCACCCCCCGCCTCCCAACCTTCTCATTACCCGCTACCAGGCTCACGCCAACTCGACTACCCACTACCCTTTGCCCCTTCCTCTCTGTTCCCCACCCTTCCTTTCCCACCTTGGCTCCACCTGCCCACCCCCACCTCCCGTGGAATTCTGCCCTGCCCTCCCCACCTCTGGCCCACCACCTGTCCCCACACCCTGCTCACCCACCGCTACATCACCCCCGCCCCCCCACCTCCACTACAGCCCGCCAACACTTCCCCTCTCAATCGGCCCCCAGCCCGCCCCCCCCTTGGGCCCCAATCCCCTCCAACTGTCAGGCCCCCTCTACCCTCTCTTCCACCCACTGCGCACCGCTTTCCCCACCCTTTTCCCCTTTCCCCAAGCTAACCCCCCGCACCCCGGCCTCTGCCAGGGAGTTCCTTCCCCCTTTGACGCCCTCTTGAGCCAACTCCAGCAACTCACACCGCCACCGCCAGGCATGCTGCCTCTGTAACAATGCCCCAGCACCCCGCGAGTGGGGGAAAGGCAGACCCGGGAGCCCCTCGGCGATCTGGGAGGTCCCGCAGCCGAGCCACCCCCTACTCTCCCACTCCCCCCACTTCAACAGTCAGGAAGAAACAACACACACCTGACCAAGCGAAAACACTCACACAATCTGACCCTAGGGGCCAGAAGCGTACCTTTGAAGAGGATGGAACAGAGGAACGCCAAGCCCCACTGGAGGAAATACACGAGGAGGAGCCAGCACGCTCAAAACCGCGCCCTACCCCCGCTGCCCCATCCCAGCCTACCCCCCCTTCAGGTGACAGCGGGGGCGGCACCCATGCATGCTCAGTAGAGAGATCCTCCAACTCACTCGCTACCTCCCATTCGCAAACCAGATTACTTGTGAAAACACTTAATCCTACCCGCACCCCCAAGCACATAGAAGCGGGAGAGGGCAGAGCCAGGGGGGAACTTGCAGCTGACACTGCACGGGAAGGGGTAAGTGAGTTTGTGTGTGAAGGAGCAGCAGAGGCTAGCAGAGGATGGGGCAGCAAAGGCTGCACGGGAAGGGGCAATGGGGGTTGTGGGGGAAGGGGCAGCAGAGGCTGCAGAGGAAAGGGCAGCAGAGGCTGCAAGGGAAGGGGCAGCAGCGGCTGCACGGGAAAGGGCGGCAGGGGCTGCACGGGAAGGGGCGGCAGGGACCGTGACTCTGGCCAGGCAAAGGGCAGAGGCCATGGAGACAGGTTTTGCAGGAGTAGGGGCCACGGAACCTGCTGCTGTGTCGGCTGGGGGAACCGCAGCAGAGGAGGCTATAGGGACCGCACCAGGTGAGGCCGCACAGACCACAGCAGGTGTGGCTGCAGGGATCACAACGGGTGAGGCTGCAGGAGGGACCATGGCAGGTGAGGCCGCAGGGAGCGCAGTAGGTGAGGCTGCGGGGAGCGCAGCAGGTGAGGCTGTAGGGGGCGCAGCAGGTGAGGCTGCAGAGAGCGCAGCAGGTGAGGCCGCAGGGAGCGCAGCAAGCGAGGCTGCAGGGAGCGCAGCAGGCGAGGCTGCAGGGAGCGCAGCAGGCGGGACTGCAGGGGCCACAGCAGGTGAGGCTGCGGCGGACGCAGCAGGTGAGGCTGCGAGGGCTGCATCATGTAAGGTTGGGCAGACTCTAGCAGGTGAGGCTGCACAGTCTACAGCTGGTGAGGTCGCATGGACTGCAACAGGTGAGGCCGCAGGGACTGCAGCAGGTGAGGCGGCAGGGACCACAGCGGATGAGGCTGCAGGCGGGACCATGGCAGGTGAGGCCGCAGGGAGCGCAGCAGGTGAGGCTGAAATAGCCGCAGCAGGTGAGGCTGCAGAGGCCGCAGCATGTGAGGTTGAGCAGATTCTAGCAGGTGAGGCTGCACAGACTGCAGCAGGTGAGGCCGCAGGGACTGCAGCGGGTGAGGCTGCAGGGACTGCAGCACGTGAGGCTGCAGGGACTGCAGCACGTGCAGGCTAGCAGGGATCGCGGCTGGTGAGGCTGAGCAGATTACGGTAGGCGAGGTTTTACAGACTGCAGCAGTCGAGGCTGCAAGGACTGCAGCAGGAGCGACAGAGGCCACAGTGGGGGCTGGTATAGGGGGAGGTGCTACGGGTGCAGCGGGGAAGGGGGTAACGGGGACTGGTGCGAGGGAGAGTGCCGCCCCGGCTGTAGCAAGAGAGGGTACGGCAGGGGCTAGAGTGGGAGAGGGGACAGCAGTGGCCTCAAAGGCAGAAGGTGAGGCTGCAGCTGAAGCAGCAGGGAGGGCCATAGCACGGCCAGTAGGGGCGGCAGGGGCCGCAGCAAACTCGGGGAAACACACAGCAGGGCCGGCAGGGCCGGCAGAGACTGCAAAAGGGGCTAGCAGTAAAGCGGCAGCAGGCGGGGTGGGCTCGGGGGACATAGGGGCAACAGGGGAAGGAGAGGGGAGTGTGGTCCCGACCGGGGTGGGCACTGAAGAGGGGGATGTGATAGCGATAGAGGAGGATGAGGGAGAGGATGTGATGCACATTGACGGGCCACTGGCCCAATACCTCACGCTTGACGGTGAGGCCGACCCGGCCCCCCTGCAGCCTCACGTCGAGGTTCCCCCTCTACCCCCCATGCCCGTCCCCATGCTAGCAGAAGGACCGATGGAGGGGCTGGGGGAGACCTTGAGGACAGAGCCGCGCGAGGGAGCCCCCATCCTCACCTCCCGTCCTCCAGCCCACCAGCCCCCAGGAGCACCACTTCCCCACCCCCACCCTCAGGTCCCGGTAGTGTCCAGGGGGGCAGCCAAGGCCCTGGCCTTCTTGGCGGAGCCGTGCTCCCCGACCCCCACGCTGCTCCATGGCCAGCCCCCCTCTCCGTCCCCAACGCCTGACCCCACGGTTGCAGGCGGTCCACCGGGAGAGCACGCGGGTGCGACAAGAGCAGAGTCACCCGAGGGCACCCCTTCTCTCACCTCTCACCCCTCCCCGCCCCTTCCCTCACTCCTTCCTTCACCCCCAAGGGCAGCACACCTCTGCCCCCACCCTCAGGGGCTCCTTAGAGCACCACGTGGAGCAGCCAGGGCTCTGGTCTTCCTAGAGGAGCCATGCTCCCCGACTCCTACCAACACCCAGCCACCCCTTACCGGCCCACTACCCCCTCCTCCACCAGGCCCCCCCCCACCCGGTAGTACACACATCTCGGAGGTTGAAGCATCTCTGCGGCCAAATCCCTCTCCCACACGCTACAGGCACCCAAACCACCCGAGTCGCCGCACAGCCCCAACACGCCCACCCAACAGGCTGCCCTCCCCACACCACCCCCCCCAGGCAGCCGAGACCCACCCGCAAGGGCTTGCGCCCCAGGCTCATGGGAGCGGCGGCACCCGGGTAGAGGGGCCCACAGGAGAGGCCACCACAGAGCCCACACAAATCTCTCTCCCCCCACCGTTTGTACCTCGCTCTAACCTCCACACTGGCCCAGCCCCTCGACCCCCACCTCCAACCCCCTCTCCCGGCCGGGTTCCCCACGAGTGGCCCCGTTGGGCAGCCATCACCCCCCACACACAGCTTGCCCGATCTGTTCCCACGGAGGGGGATGTTTCGAGGAGAGTGGGGATGCACACAGAGCACCCCCTGCCTGGCGAACCACCCATCCTCCCTCCACCCACCCCTTTGGCCCCACAGCCCCCCCTTCCTTCACAAACAGGCGCGGACAACCAGGTTGGCCGCCGGCGGAAGAACAGGGGCAGAGGAGGCAGAGGGTCAGCCCACGTACTCCCCCCTCCCTCCCTCCCCCACCAAGAGCCCCTCCCCACCTCACATCCCGTTGAACAATTACCAGGCCCTACCTCTACAGCCCGTACCACCAAACCTACACTCCCGCCCCGCTCCTGCACCTCCACAGGGCCATGGGAGCGGACCAGCCCACTCACCCCCATTCTGCCCCTCCCGTGCTGTGTCCCCCTCCCAGGTGGCGGCGGCCGCGATCGCTACTGGGAGGGAGGCCGTCGGGTTGAGGGATGCGCCCATGGCAGACGCCACCGACTCCCCCTCCCATCCCTCCCACCCCTTCCATGTCGACGACCCCCTACCGCAACCCATGGTGATTGGGGAGGGCCAAGGGGGCCTTCTAGGGCAGGGTCCACACCCGAGCTCCGCTCAGCCAGCACGCCCCACTCCACCCTCTACCCTGCCAGCCCTCCTACTCTCACCTACAGGCAGGCAGGTCTTCGAGACCCCAGAGGAGGTGAGGGCTGGCATTTCAGATTTGCTGGCGATACACCGCCTGAGCAGCTCTCCGGCTGCCCCCACCCTTCCAGTCCCACAGGACCGGACCCGGACGTATGCGGAGGTCACCCGGTCTGTCCCTTCTTTTATCCCCCCCGCCACTCAGCCAGGCGCGTCACTCCCGACCCCAATGGAGACGGACCGGGGTCTGAGGCCGTGTCACTCGCACCTAGACGGGGTGGCGCCTCCCCCCGTTCAGCCCGTGGCGCAGGAGGTCACCAGCAGTAGGGATGAGGCATCCGCCCCTACCGAGACCCCTCCGCCTGGGGTAGCAGAGCCGTCACTTGAACCGCACCCCGCCGAGGGGCAGGAGCACACCACGGCACACACTTCAGGCTCACCTCCACGTCCCCCCTCCCCAGCTTCAACACCGGTGCCGGCACGAGGCCCGGCCCTATCCTGTGCGACACCACCTCTATCTTCGCTGACACCCCCCCCGCGCGGGGCTGGTGAGTCGTCTCCTCCCCTCATCCCAGGCGATCCTGTCGGAGCTCAGGCCGCCCACGGGGTCCCCTCTACAGCCAGTTCCGACGCCACGGCCCCGATTGACCCCGCCGACACGGCGACATCACCCGACCAGGTCGTGAGTTGCCCCACCTGCAGGAGCTCTCTCGCGAACCGACGCGCGCTCCAGCACCACATTCCCTTCTGCCATCCTGCGGACGCGGCTCGCAGGGCGCAGGCTGCCCATGATACCGCCTCGATCATCCCTTCCCTCTCACAGCCCCGTGCGACCGGGATGCAGTTCACCGACGCACAGTGGCAGACGCTCGACTCGGTGGACTGGACAGAGTACTTCTCGCCCGAGCGTATCCATACACGCCCTCTCCGACGTGTCCCGGAGAGGGTCCGCGGAGGATATCTTGACGTCCTCAGTGCGATCCTAGTCCGCATTGCCCAGGACCCGGAGGCTGCTGGCCCTACCTTCCTCCTCGCTGCAGCGCCGACTCTTTTCCTTGTTCCAGCGACGCCACCCGACCGCTCGCACACGGCTGCCATTGCAACGCGCATCTCTCGCTTTGGTCGAGGTGAGTGGGCTGAGCTAGTCTCAGATGCACTAGGCCGTCGCACACCCCTTCCTCGCCGCACAGGTCACCGGTCACGCACCGCCACCGATCCCTCTGCAGCAGATGAGCGCCGCATTGCACGTTGCCTTCGTCTGGCAGCGTGCAATGAGACCTCACGGGCGTGCGCGGCTCTCGAGTCCGCGGAGGCAGCCCCAGATACACAGGGGACGATACAGCGCCTGCAGTCGAAGCACCCCAACGCGGAGAGGCCGACCCCAGCTTGGCTGTCTGGCTTCCAGGGGTCCCCTCTCGTGCTCTCGGTGGATCACTTACGCCGCGCGATTTTCACAGCTCCGCGGGGCTCTTCGGGAGGACCGTCCGGTTGGGTCGCTGAGCACCTGCGAGACACTTTCCTAGCTTTCCCTCAGAGTCTCCATTTCCTCCTGGCCGTGTACCAGCAGTGGCTCCGAGGCCGTTGCGCTCCAGCTGCGCGCTCCTTGCTAGCGTCCTCCACCCTCGTGGCTCTGGCGAAGTCGAACATGGATGTTCGGCCGATTGCCATCGGCGAGGTTTTGGTCCGCATTCTTTCTCGGGCAGTTTGTCTCCAGCTACGTGACCAGATGGCGAGGGTCTTCTTGGCATCACAGCAGTTTGGGGTGGGGGTTACGTGCGGGACAGAGGTCGTAGTTAGAGGCGTCCGCCGCGCTCTGGCTGACCACCCAGACTGGGTGGTCCTGCAGCTAGACGTGGCGAATGCCTTTAACTCTTTCCACCGAGACAGGATGTTTCAGGCGCTGCAGGCCAGTCCGGAGTTTCAGTGTCTGATCCCCTTCATCGGCCTCTTCTACGGGACGCCCTCGGATCTCCACTACAGGTCAGGCACGGGAGTGGTCACGATGCACTCGGAGCGGGGCACTCGCCAGGGAGACCCTCTCAGCCCCTTCTTGTACGCTCTGACACAGCGTCTTGCTTTGGAGCCGGTTCTGGCGGAGGGGGATGTCCAGCTCTGGTCGTACGCCGATGACACGTACGTGCTAGGTCCCCCAGACAGGGTGCTGCACCATTTTGCCGAGATCGTGAGGCGCTTGGGCGAGATGGGCCTTGCAGCCCAGCCGCACAAGTGCCTCGTCTACCAGACAGAGTCCTTTCTGTCCAGGGATCTGGAGGCTTTCACGGGCCTAGGGATCGAGGTCGCACGCCGAGGGCTCACCGTGACAGGCGTACCGGTAGGCACCGTTTCGTTCGTGGAGCAGAGTCTCCCGGATCGTCTCGAGAGGATGGGGCGGGTGCTACCTTGGCTTCCGAGGTTGCGCCAGCCCCAGACAGCTGCCCGCCTTCTTTCGGCGTGTGTCAGCACTCGTCCGCAGTACCTGTCGAGGACCGTCCCTCCTTCGCCCGCAGTGATCTCCAGTTTTACACGGTGGGACGCACGCCTGGGAGAGACTTTTCAGCAGCTTTTAGCTTCAGGGACCTGGGCTTGTCGCGAGGACGTCCGAGAGGCCGCCCTAGACCAGATCTTCCTCCCCATCCGTCTCGGGGGTTTCGGCATTCGTCGCATGGCGCGCATGGCCCCGGTGAGTTTCGTGTGCTCCTGGGTGCAGTGTGCACCCATTCTCTGTTCTCTCCCTGCGTGTGGCGAGGTGTTTCGGCAGAGCTTCGCTTCAGGTGAGCCAGAGCAGATCGACCGGGCTCTGCAGACGGCGCTAGAGGGTCTCCCTCCTGACGTTCTCTCTCTCCTTCCCCCCTGGCCCTCTTGCGCTTCTGCCTCCCCCGATTCCCTTTTTGCAGGAGCGAGCCGTCTTCTGGAGGCGCATGCCTTGGAGGCCGTGCGTGCCCGTCACACCTCTCCCTTGCACCTTGCCCGTTTGACTTCCCTTCAGGGCGGAGGTGCAGGAGCGTGGTTGACGTCGGTGCCGTACGCCGACCCACTGCGCATCCCGGAGGCGCTGTGGCAGGCGGCTTCATCTTCTCGTCTTGGTCTCCCTATCCCCCAGTTAGCCCTTGCAGGTCAGTGCTCCTGCGGACAGGCGATTGACGACATGACGGTGCCTCATCACGCGGTTCGGTGCCCGCGTTACGGGGTCGCCACTACCATCCACGACACGGTGAAGTACATGCTTCGAGACTTTGCGGTCGAGGCGGGCTTCGCGGTAAAGGTGGAGGACTCTACGCTGTTCACACAGTTGGAGGCGGCTCGAGCGAGACTACTGGGACAGCCAGTGGTGGGAGAGGGGACACGGGCTGAGGGACCGGGGGAGCGGAGAGGCGAGGCGGGACAGCCGGGTGGCGGGGGACAGTGGGGACGGCACCAGCTGCGGGGTCAGGTGGAGCGAGGGACAGGTGGGCAGAGGGGACGGCAGGGGGAGCAGACGGGCCAGGACGGGGAGGGGGGACGGCACAGGCAGCAGCAGGAGAGCCAGTGGAGGCCGCGGGCCCAGGGCGCCGCGCCTCCAGGTTCGGCCTCGGGGGCGGGGCAGGGGCGGGAGCAGCAGAGAGCGGACGGAGGTACAGGAGGGGCAGCGGGATTGGGAGGGGAGGGCCAGGGAGTGAGAGAGGCAGCAGGGGATGGAGCAGGGGGGTCGGGAGGTTTGGGGGAGGGTAGGGAGGGGGAGGGGAGAGGACAGGTGGATGGAGGAGAGGAGAGGGGGAGAGAGACGATCGGAGAGGGGGCACCAAGGGACCAGACAGGGCAGCAGCCAGCGCAACAGCAGGGACCAGTCGGACGCACAGGCCGTGTAGGCACCGCCTCCCGCATTCCAGACCTCACCTGCCGCGACGTTGGCCAGGGTCTGATGGTTCTTGTGGATGTCTCCATAGCGGATCCACAGCGGGAGGGGAACGTGCAGCTGAGACGGGCGACCCCCACACAGATTGGAGTGGCAGCAGCTAGGCGGGTGCAGGAGAAGCTGCGTCACTGGGGGCCGCACTTAGAGGGGCTGCAGCCGGCACCACACTTTTACGCGTGCGTGGCGGAGACCTTTGGCCTTCTGAGTGAGCCGCTGCGTCAGTTTCTGGGGCTCTGCGCAAAGAGGATAGCACAGCGGAGGAGGGATAGAGGTGGGGGGGATGACGGATCGGCACGGATATTTGAGGCAGGACTCACTACACGCCTCTCCGTTGCACTGCAGCGCGCGCAGGCTCAATGCATGATCCAGCATGCGGTGCGGCAGTTAGGGAGGTCCGACGACGGGTGGATGCCCGCACCAGTCCCACTGGGTGCGGGGCAGGGAACTTGGCACCACGTCACAGGGTGCTTCGAGAGTGTGGCTGATATGCAGTATATATATGATGCATATGTGTAAAAAACAATAGTGGCTGTGCTTGAAACGCTGTGCCCGTGCGGTCGTGCGGGTTGCTGCCGTGTTTGGTCCTTTGGTGCTTCCTTCTCCTTAGTCTCTCTCTCTCTCTCCTCTTCTCTTCCCACCTCCCTCTTTCTGTTCCCTTCTTCTATCCTTCCCTTCTCTTCCTACCACCCTCTTCCTTTCCCTACCACTTCTTCTTACTCCTTCATCTTTCCTTCCTTTCCTTTCTTTCCCCCTTTTCCTACAAAATATATAATCGTCCTCATAGCGCTTAGGCTATGTCGAAATTTCCTAGTCTTGGAAAAACCATTATATTCGGCTTGTATTTGCTCTTCCCTTATTAATGAATAACTGCTCTCGCCCACCGGCGCTTAGCTTCGGAGTTCTGATGGGATCCGGCGTAGTAGCCGAGGTATGATCGTACCACGTCAACCTCGTGCCCCGACCGCTACACACCCCTTGCCCGGGTCCCCCCCTTCATAGTCACACCCCCTGCCCCCTCATGCCATCCGCTCCCCCCGCCCCTACCCTCCGCGTGCCCGCTCCCTTGCCGCCTCTTTTGACCCTCCCTGCCCCCCCTCGCCGTTTCCCACCGCCCGCCATTCGCTCCTCCCCGCCCGTGCGCTCCCCTCCTTTACCTTCTCCTCCCCCCTCCCCTCCTCTGCTGCACGCCTCTTCCTTCCCCTCGCCGACCCACTCCACTCCCTGCCCCTCCTCAATCCGCACCCTGCCCCTCGTATCTCGCCCCCCTATGCTTGGTTTCTCCCCTCCCTGCCCCTCGCCGCCTTTCCCCGCTCCCCACCTCCCCCCTCTCCCTGCCCCCCCCACTCTCCCCCCCCCTTGTCCTTGGCTTCCTACCTCCCTGCCTCACCTTTCCCCCCTCCGTGTGCTCAGCTTCTCCCCTCCCTGCCCCTCCCTCCTCCCCGCCCTGCCCCTCATTTTCCGCCCCCCCCCCCCACGCCCGGTTTCTCCCCTCCCCGCGCCTCCCTTTCTTTCTCCGTGCCTCTCCTTTGCTCCCTCCCTGCCCCCGCCTGCCCATGCCCCTGTCTTTGGCTTCTCCCCTCCCTGCCCCACGTTTCTTCCCTCCCTGCCCCCCGTCTGCCCCTCCCTTGTTTTCCCCTCACCCATTGCTTCTCTCCTCCCTGCCCTTGATTTCCCACACCCCTGCCCTCGTTTCCTATCATCCATGCCCCTCGTTTCCCCCCTTTGTACGTTCAGCCTCTTCCCTCCCTGCCCCTCCCTTCCTCCCCCCCTGCCCTTTGCTCTCCCCTCGTTACGCTCCCTTCTCCCCATCCCTGCTGCCCTCTTACCACCATCAGCCCATCCCCACGACCAGCCCCCCTCCCACCCTTCAATCCCCCCTCCCTCTCTCTCTCTCTCTCTCTCTCTCTCTCTCTCTCTTTCTCACACACACACACACGCACACTCCCCTCCCCCACCCCCCCCCACCTACATCCTCCCATTCTGCCCCTCCCTGCCCCTTTCCCACCCCCTCGCACGCCCCTCACCTCCCACCTCCGTGCAACTGGTTTCCCCCCTATGGTGCCACCCTTGCATCGCTCGCCCCTCTGCTCACCCTCTGCCCGCCCCTTTTCCGTGCCCTCAGTTGGCCCAGCCCCTGCCCGTTGCTGCCCCTCCCCTTGCCCCCTCAACTCCCCTGCCCCCCGTACACCCCAAGTCCCATCCAACCGCCCCCACCCTCCCCCGGCTGCCCGTTTCCGCTCTCCACCCCCGCGACCGTGTGCGGCTTCCAACCGCCCAACGGTGGTGCGCACGGGGCGTTTCTTCGCATGGGCAAGCCTCCCCGGGGGCCCCCCACCCCGCTGGGTCGTTGTTTGGGCAAAAAAAACGAAAAGAAAAGAATCGGACGCGCTAAAATCGTCCTTTCTTTTTCCCGCTTGCCCCTCCCCCGGCACGTGCCGAGCAAGGGGCATAAATGGGTACAACACGAGGACTTCCCGGGAGGTCACCCAGCCCAGTACTGCTCTCGCCCACCGATAGTGGCTGTGCTTGAAACGCTGTGCCCGTGCGGTCGTGCGGGTTGCTGCCGTGTTTTGGTCCTTTGGTGCTTCCTCCTCCTTAGTCTCTCTCCCTCTCTCCTCTTTTCTTCCCACCTCCCTCTTTCTGTTCCCTTCTTCTATCCTTCCCTTCTCTTCCTACCGCCCTCTTCTTTTCCCTACCACTTCTTCTTACTCCTTCATCCTTCCTTCCTTTCCTTTCTTTCCCCCTTTTCCTACAAAATATATATACCGTCCTCATAGCGATTAGGCTATGTCGAAATTTCCTAGTCTTGGAAAAACCATTATATTCGGCTTGTATTTGCTCTTCCCCTATTAATGAATAACTGCTCTCGCCCACCGGCGCTTAGCTTCGGAGTTCTGATGGGATCCGGCGTAGTAGCCGAGGTATGATCGTACCACGTCAACCTCGTGCCCCGACCGCTACACACCCCTTGCCCGGGTCCCCCCCTTCATAGTCACACCCCCTGCCCCCTCATGCCATCCGCTCCCCCCGCCCCTACCCTCCGCGTGCCCGCTCCCTTGCCGCCTCTTTTGACCCTCCCTGCCCCCCCTCGCCGTTTCCCACCGCCCGCCATTCGCTCCTCCCCGCCCGTGCGCTCCCCTCCTTTACCTTCTCCTCCCCCCTCCCCTCCTCTGCTGCACGCCTCTTCCTTCCCCTCGCCGACCCACTCCACTCCCTGCCCCTCCTCAATCCGCACCCTGCCCCTCGTATCTCGCCCCCCTATGCTTGGTTTCTCCCCTCCCTGCCCCTCGCCGCCTTTCCCCGCTCCCCACCTCCCCCCTCTCCCTGCCCCCCCCACTCTCCCCCCCCCCTTGTCCTTGGCTTCCTACCTCCCTGCCTCACCTTTCCCCCCTCCGTGTGCTCAGCTTCTCCCCTCCCTGCCCCTCCCTCCTCCCCGCCCTGCCCCTCATTTTCCGCCCCCCCCCCCCCACGCCCGGTTTCTCCCCTCCCCGCGCCTCCCTTTCTTTCTCCGTGCCTCTCCTTTGCTCCCTCCCTGCCCCCGCCTGCCCATGCCCCTGTCTTTGGCTTCTCCCCTCCCTGCCCCACGTTTCTTCCCTCCCTGCCCCCCGTCTGCCCCTCCCTTGTTTTCCCCTCACCCATTGCTTCTCTCCTCCCTGCCCTTGATTTCCCACACCCCTGCCCTCGTTTCCTATCATCCATGCCCCTCGTTTCCCCCCTTTGTACGTTCAGCCTCTTCCCTCCCTGCCCCTCCCTTCCTCCCCCCCTGCCCTTTGCTCTCCCCTCGTTACGCTCCCTTCTCCCCATCCCTGCTGCCCTCTTACCACCATCAGCCCATCCCCACGACCAGCCCCCCTCCCACCCTTCAATCCCCCCCTCCCTCTCTCTCTCTCTCTCTCTCTCTCTCTCTCTCTCTTTCTCACACACACACACACACGCACACTCCCCTCCCCCACCCCCCCCCACCTACATCCTCCCATTCTGCCCCTCCCTGCCCCTTTCCCACCCCCTCGCACGCCCCTCACCTCCCACCTCCGTGCAACTGGTTTCCCCCCTATGGTGCCACCCTTGCATCGCTCGCCCCTCTGCTCACCCTCTGCCCGCCCCTTTTCCGTGCCCTCAGTTGGCCCAGCCCCTGCCCGTTGCTGCCCCTCCCCTTGCCCCCTCAACTCCCCTGCCCCCCGTACACCCCAAGTCCCATCCAACCGCCCCCACCCTCCCCCGGCTGCCCGTTTCCGCTCTCCACCCCCGCGACCGTGTGCGGCTTCCAACCGCCCAACGGTGGTGCGCACGGGGCGTTTCTTCGCATGGGCAAGCCTCCCCGGGGGCCCCCCACCCCGCTGGGTCGTTGTTTGGGCAAAAAAAACGAAAAGAAAAGAATCGGACGCGCTAAAATCGTCCTTTCTTTTTCCCGCTTGCCCCTCCCCCGGCACGTGCCGAGCAAGGGGCATAAATGGGTACAACACGAGGACTTCCCGGGAGGTCACCCAGCCCAGTACTGCTCTCGCCCACCGATAGTGGCTGTGCTTGAAACGCTGTGCCCGTGCGGTCGTGCGGGTTGCTGCCGTGTTTTGGTCCTTTGGTGCTTCCTCCTCCTTAGTCTCTCTCCCTCTCTCCTCTTTTCTTCCCACCTCCCTCTTTCTGTTCCCTTCTTCTATCCTTCCCTTCTCTTCCTACCGCCCTCTTCTTTCCCTACCACTTCTTCTTACTCCTTCATCCTTCCTTCCTTTCCTTTCTTTCCCCCTTTTCCTACAAAATATATATACCGTCCTCATAGCGATTAGGCTATGTCGAAATTTCCTAGTCTTGGAAAAACCATTATATTCGGCTTGTATTTGCTCTTCCCCTATTAATGAATAACTGCTCTCGCCCACCGGCGCTTAGCTTCGGAGTTCTGATGGGATCCGGCGTAGTAGCCGAGGTATGATCGTACCACGTCAACCTCGTGCCCCGACCGCTACACACCCCTTGCCCGGGTCCCCCCCTTCATAGTCACACCCCCTGCCCCCTCATGCCATCCGCTCCCCCCGCCCCTACCCTCCGCGTGCCCGCTCCCTTGCCGCCTCTTTTGACCCTCCCTGCCCCCCCTCGCCGTTTCCCACCGCCCGCCATTCGCTCCTCCCCGCCCGTGCGCTCCCCTCCTTTACCTTCTCCTCCCCCCTCCCCTCCTCTGCTGCACGCCTCTTCCTTCCCCTCGCCGACCCACTCCACTCCCTGCCCCTCCTCAATCCGCACCCTGCCCCTCGTATCTCGCCCCCCTATGCTTGGTTTCTCCCCTCCCTGCCCCTCGCCGCCTTTCCCCGCTCCCCACCTCCCCCCTCTCCCTGCCCCCCCCACTCTCCCCCCCCCTTGTCCTTGGCTTCCTACCTCCCTGCCTCACCTTTCCCCCCTCCGTGTGCTCAGCTTCTCCCCTCCCTGCCCCTCCCTCCTCCCCGCCCTGCCCCTCATTTTCCGCCCCCCCCCCCCCACGCCCGGTTTCTCCCCTCCCCGCGCCTCCCTTTCTTTCTCCGTGCCTCTCCTTTGCTCCCTCCCTGCCCCCGCCTGCCCATGCCCCTGTCTTTGGCTTCTCCCCTCCCTGCCCCACGTTTCTTCCCTCCCTGCCCCCCGTCTGCCCCTCCCTTGTTTTCCCCTCACCCATTGCTTCTCTCCTCCCTGCCCTTGATTTCCCACACCCCTGCCCTCGTTTCCTATCATCCATGCCCCTCGTTTCCCCCCTTTGTACGTTCAGCCTCTTCCCTCCCTGCCCCTCCCTTCCTCCCCCCCTGCCCTTTGCTCTCCCCTCGTTACGCTCCCTTCTCCCCATCCCTGCTGCCCTCTTACCACCATCAGCCCATCCCCACGACCAGCCCCCCTCCCACCCTTCAATCCCCCCCTCCCTCTCTCTCTCTCTCTCTCTCTCTCTCTCTTTCTCACACACACACACACACGCACACTCCCCTCCCCCACCCCCCCCCACCTACATCCTCCCATTCTGCCCCTCCCTGCCCCTTTCCCACCCCCTCGCACGCCCCTCACCTCCCACCTCCGTGCAACTGGTTTCCCCCCTATGGTGCCACCCTTGCATCGCTCGCCCCTCTGCTCACCCTCTGCCCGCCCCTTTTCCGTGCCCTCAGTTGGCCCAGCCCCTGCCCGTTGCTGCCCCTCCCCTTGCCCCCTCAACTCCCCTGCCCCCCGTACACCCCAAGTCCCATCCAACCGCCCCCACCCTCCCCCGGCTGCCCGTTTCCGCTCTCCACCCCCGCGACCGTGTGCGGCTTCCAACCGCCCAACGGTGGTGCGCACGGGGCGTTTCTTCGCATGGGCAAGCCTCCCCGGGGGCCCCCCACCCCGCTGGGTCGTTGTTTGGGCAAAAAAACGAAAAGAAAAGAATCGGACGCGCTAAAATCGTCCTTTCTTTTTCCCGCTTGCCCCTCCCCCGGCACGTGCCGAGCAAGGGGCATAAATGGGTACAACACGAGGACTTCCCGGGAGGTCACCCAGCCCAGTACTGCTCTCGCCCACCGATAGTGGCTGTGCTTGAAACGCTGTGCCCGTGCGGTCGTGCGGGTTGCTGCCGTGTTTTGGTCCTTTGGTGCTTCCTCCTCCTTAGTCTCTCTCCCTCTCTCCTCTTTTCTTCCCACCTCCCTCTTTCTGTTCCCTTCTTCTATCCTTCCCTTCTCTTCCTACCGCCCTCTTCTTTTCCCTACCACTTCTTCTTACTCCTTCATCCTTCCTTCCTTTCCTTTCTTTCCCCCTTTTCCTACAAAATATATATACCGTCCTCATAGCGATTAGGCTATGTCGAAATTTCCTAGTCTTGGAAAAACCATTATATTCGGCTTGTATTTGCTCTTCCCCTATTAATGAATAACTGCTCTCGCCCACCGGCGCTTAGCTTCGGAGTTCTGATGGGATCCGGCGTAGTAGCCGAGGTATGATCGTACCACGTCAACCTCGTGCCCCGACCGCTACACACCCCTTGCCCGGGTCCCCCCCTTCATAGTCACACCCCCTGCCCCCTCATGCCATCCGCTCCCCCCGCCCCTACCCTCCGCGTGCCCGCTCCCTTGCCGCCTCTTTTGACCCTCCCTGCCCCCCCTCGCCGTTTCCCACCGCCCGCCATTCGCTCCTCCCCGCCCGTGCGCTCCCCTCCTTTACCTTCTCCTCCCCCCTCCCCTCCTCTGCTGCACGCCTCTTCCTTCCCCTCGCCGACCCACTCCACTCCCTGCCCCTCCTCAATCCGCACCCTGCCCCTCGTATCTCGCCCCCCTATGCTTGGTTTCTCCCCTCCCTGCCCCTCGCCGCCTTTCCCCGCTCCCCACCTCCCCCCTCTCCCTGCCCCCCCCACTCTCCCCCCCCCTTGTCCTTGGCTTCCTACCTCCCTGCCTCACCTTTCCCCCCTCCGTGTGCTCAGCTTCTCCCCTCCCTGCCCCTCCCTCCTCCCCGCCCTGCCCCTCATTTTCCGCCCCCCCCCCCCCACGCCCGGTTTCTCCCCTCCCCGCGCCTCCCTTTCTTTCTCCGTGCCTCTCCTTTGCTCCCTCCCTGCCCCCGCCTGCCCATGCCCCTGTCTTTGGCTTCTCCCCTCCCTGCCCCACGTTTCTTCCCTCCCTGCCCCCCGTCTGCCCCTCCCTTGTTTTCCCCTCACCCATTGCTTCTCTCCTCCCTGCCCTTGATTTCCCACACCCCTGCCCTCGTTTCCTATCATCCATGCCCCTCGTTTCCCCCCTTTGTACGTTCAGCCTCTTCCCTCCCTGCCCCTCCCTTCCTCCCCCCCTGCCCTTTGCTCTCCCCTCGTTACGCTCCCTTCTCCCCATCCCTGCTGCCCTCTTACCACCATCAGCCCATCCCCACGACCAGCCCCCCTCCCACCCTTCAATCCCCCCCTCCCTCTCTCTCTCTCTCTCTCTCTCTCTCTCTCTCTTTCTCACACACACACACACACGCACACTCCCCTCCCCCACCCCCCCCCACCTACATCCTCCCATTCTGCCCCTCCCTGCCCCTTTCCCACCCCCTCGCACGCCCCTCACCTCCCACCTCCGTGCAACTGGTTTCCCCCCTATGGTGCCACCCTTGCATCGCTCGCCCCTCTGCTCACCCTCTGCCCGCCCCTTTTCCGTGCCCTCAGTTGGCCCAGCCCCTGCCCGTTGCTGCCCCTCCCCTTGCCCCCTCAACTCCCCTGCCCCCCGTACACCCCAAGTCCCATCCAACCGCCCCCACCCTCCCCCGGCTGCCCGTTTCCGCTCTCCACCCCCGCGACCGTGTGCGGCTTCCAACCGCCCAACGGTGGTGCGCACGGGGCGTTTCTTCGCATGGGCAAGCCTCCCCGGGGGCCCCCCACCCCGCTGGGTCGTTGTTTGGGCAAAAAAACGAAAAGAAAAGAATCGGACGCGCTAAAATCGTCCTTTCTTTTTCCCGCTTGCCCCTCCCCCGGCACGTGCCGAGCAAGGGGCATAAATGGGTACAACACGAGGACTTCCCGGGAGGTCACCCAGCCCAGTACTGCTCTCGCCCACCGGCGCTTAGCTTCGGAGTTCTGATGGGATCCGGCTAATAGCTGAGGTATGATCGTACCACGTCAACCTCGTGCCCCGACCGCTACACACCCCTTGCCCGGGTCCCCCCCTTCATAGTCACACCCCCTGCCCCCTCATGCCATCCGCTCCCCCCGCCCCTACCCTCCGCGTGCCCGCTCCCTTGCCGCCTCTTTTGACCCTCCCTGCCCCCCCTCGCCGTTTCCCACCGCCCGCCATTCGCTCCTCCCCGCCCGTGCGCTCCCCTCCTTTACCTTCTCCTCCCCCCTCCCCTCCTCTGCTGCACGCCTCTTCCTTCCCCTCGCCGACCCACTCCACTCCCTGCCCCTCCTCAATCCGCACCCTGCCCCTCGTATCTCGCCCCCCTATGCTTGGTTTCTCCCCTCCCTGCCCCTCGCCGCCTTTCCCCGCTCCCCACCTCCCCCCTCTCCCTGCCCCCCCCACTCTCCCCCCCCCTTGTCCTTGGCTTCCTACCTCCCTGCCTCACCTTTCCCCCCTCCGTGTGCTCAGCTTCTCCCCTCCCTGCCCCTCCCTCCTCCCCGCCCTGCCCCTCATTTTCCGCCCCCCCCCCCCCACGCCCGGTTTCTCCCCTCCCCGCGCCTCCCTTTCTTTCTCCGTGCCTCTCCTTTGCTCCCTCCCTGCCCCCGCCTGCCCATGCCCCTGTCTTTGGCTTCTCCCCTCCCTGCCCCACGTTTCTTCCCTCCCTGCCCCCCGTCTGCCCCTCCCTTGTTTTCCCCTCACCCATTGCTTCTCTCCTCCCTGCCCTTGATTTCCCACACCCCTGCCCTCGTTTCCTATCATCCATGCCCCTCGTTTCCCCCCTTTGTACGTTCAGCCTCTTCCCTCCCTGCCCCTCCCTTCCTCCCCCCCTGCCCTTTGCTCTCCCCTCGTTACGCTCCCTTCTCCCCATCCCTGCTGCCCTCTTACCACCATCAGCCCATCCCCACGACCAGCCCCCCTCCCACCCTTCAATCCCCCCCTCCCTCTCTCTCTCTCTCTCTCTCTCTCTCTCTCTTTCTCACACACACACACACACGCACACTCCCCTCCCCCACCCCCCCCCACCTACATCCTCCCATTCTGCCCCTCCCTGCCCCTTTCCCACCCCCTCGCACGCCCCTCACCTCCCACCTCCGTGCAACTGGTTTCCCCCCTATGGTGCCACCCTTGCATCGCTCGCCCCTCTGCTCACCCTCTGCCCGCCCCTTTTCCGTGCCCTCAGTTGGCCCAGCCCCTGCCCGTTGCTGCCCCTCCCCTTGCCCCCTCAACTCCCCTGCCCCCCGTACACCCCAAGTCCCATCCAACCGCCCCCACCCTCCCCCGGCTGCCCGTTTCCGCTCTCCACCCCCGCGACCGTGTGCGGCTTCCAACCGCCCAACGGTGGTGCGCACGGGGCGTTTCTTCGCATGGGCAAGCCTCCCCGGGGGCCCCCCACCCCGCTGGGTCGTTGTTTGGGCAAAAAAAACGAAAAGAAAAGAATCGGACGCGCTAAAATCGTCCTTTCTTTTTCCCGCTTGCCCCTCCCCCGGCACGTGCCGAGCAAGGGGCATAAATGGGTACAACACGAGGACTTCCCGGGAGGTCACCCAGCCCAGTACTGCTCTCGCCCACCGGCGCTTAGCTTCGGAGTTCTGATGGGATCCGGCTAATAGCTGAGGTATGATCGTACCACGTCAACCTCGTGCCCCGACCGCCGGGTCCCCCCCTTCATAGTCACACCCCCTGCCCCCTCATGCCATCCGCTCCCCCCGCCCCTACCCTCCGCGTGCCCGCTCCCTTGCCGCCTCTTTTGACCCTCCCTGCCCCCCCTCGCCGTTTCCCACCGCCCGCCATTCGCTCCTCCCCGCCCGTGCGCTCCCCTCCTTTACCTTCTCCTCCCCCCTCCCCTCCTCTGCTGCACGCCTCTTCCTTCCCCTCGCCGACCCACTCCACTCCCTGCCCCTCCTCAATCCGCACCCTGCCCCTCGTATCTCGCCCCCCTATGCTTGGTTTCTCCCCTCCCTGCCCCTCGCCGCCTTTCCCCGCTCCCCACCTCCCCCCTCTCCCTGCCCCCCCCACTCTCCCCCCCCCTTGTCCTTGGCTTCCTACCTCCCTGCCTCACCTTTCCCCCCTCCGTGTGCTCAGCTTCTCCCCTCCCTGCCCCTCCCTCCTCCCCGCCCTGCCCCTCATTTTCCGCCCCCCCCCCCCCACGCCCGGTTTCTCCCCTCCCCGCGCCTCCCTTTCTTTCTCCGTGCCTCTCCTTTGCTCCCTCCCTGCCCCCGCCTGCCCATGCCCCTGTCTTTGGCTTCTCCCCTCCCTGCCCCACGTTTCTTCCCTCCCTGCCCCCCGTCTGCCCCTCCCTTGTTTTCCCCTCACCCATTGCTTCTCTCCTCCCTGCCCTTGATTTCCCACACCCCTGCCCTCGTTTCCTATCATCCATGCCCCTCGTTTCCCCCCTTTGTACGTTCAGCCTCTTCCCTCCCTGCCCCTCCCTTCCTCCCCCCCTGCCCTTTGCTCTCCCCTCGTTACGCTCCCTTCTCCCCATCCCTGCTGCCCTCTTACCACCATCAGCCCATCCCCACGACCAGCCCCCCTCCCACCCTTCAATCCCCCCCTCCCTCTCTCTCTCTCTCTCTCTCTCTCTCTCTCTCTTTCTCACACACACACACACACGCACACTCCCCTCCCCCACCCCCCCCCACCTACATCCTCCCATTCTGCCCCTCCCTGCCCCTTTCCCACCCCCTCGCACGCCCCTCACCTCCCACCTCCGTGCAACTGGTTTCCCCCCTATGGTGCCACCCTTGCATCGCTCGCCCCTCTGCTCACCCTCTGCCCGCCCCTTTTCCGTGCCCTCAGTTGGCCCAGCCCCTGCCCGTTGCTGCCCCTCCCCTTGCCCCCTCAACTCCCCTGCCCCCCGTACACCCCAAGTCCCATCCAACCGCCCCCACCCTCCCCCGGCTGCCCGTTTCCGCTCTCCACCCCCGCGACCGTGTGCGGCTTCCAACCGCCCAACGGTGGTGCGCACGGGGCGTTTCTTCGCATGGGCAAGCCTCCCCGGGGGCCCCCCACCCCGCTGGGTCGTTGTTTGGGCAAAAAAAACGAAAAGAAAAGAATCGGACGCGCTAAAATCGTCCTTTCTTTTTCCCGCTTGCCCCTCCCCCGGCACGTGCCGAGCAAGGGGCATAAATGGGTACAACACGAGGACTTCCCGGGAGGTCACCCAGCCCAGTACTGCTCTCGCCCACCGATAGTGGCTGTGCTTGAAACGCTGTGCCCGTGCGGTCGTGCGGGTTGCTGCCGTGTTTTGGTCCTTTGGTGCTTCCTCCTCCTTAGTCTCTCTCCCTCTCTCCTCTTTTCTTCCCACCTCCCTCTTTCTGTTCCCTTCTTCTATCCTTCCCTTCTCTTCCTACCGCCCTCTTCTTTTCCCTACCACTTCTTCTTACTCCTTCATCCTTCCTTCCTTTCCTTTCTTTCCCCCTTTTCCTACAAAATATATATACCGTCCTCATAGCGATTAGGCTATGTCGAAATTTCCTAGTCTTGGAAAAACCATTATATTCGGCTTGTATTTGCTCTTCCCCTATTAATGAATAACTGCTCTCGCCCACCGGCGCTTAGCTTCGGAGTTCTGATGGGATCCGGCGTAGTAGCCGAGGTATGATCGTACCACGTCAACCTCGTGCCCCGACCGCTACACACCCCTTGCCCGGGTCCCCCCCTTCATAGTCACACCCCCTGCCCCCTCATGCCATCCGCTCCCCCCGCCCCTACCCTCCGCGTGCCCGCTCCCTTGCCGCCTCTTTTGACCCTCCCTGCCCCCCCTCGCCGTTTCCCACCGCCCGCCATTCGCTCCTCCCCGCCCGTGCGCTCCCCTCCTTTACCTTCTCCTCCCCCCTCCCCTCCTCTGCTGCACGCCTCTTCCTTCCCCTCGCCGACCCACTCCACTCCCTGCCCCTCCTCAATCCGCACCCTGCCCCTCGTATCTCGCCCCCCTATGCTTGGTTTCTCCCCTCCCTGCCCCTCGCCGCCTTTCCCCGCTCCCCACCTCCCCCCTCTCCCTGCCCCCCCCACTCTCCCCCCCCCTTGTCCTTGGCTTCCTACCTCCCTGCCTCACCTTTCCCCCCTCCGTGTGCTCAGCTTCTCCCCTCCCTGCCCCTCCCTCCTCCCCGCCCTGCCCCTCATTTTCCGCCCCCCCCCCCGCCCCCCCCCACGCCCGGTTTCTCCCCTCCCCGCGCCTCCCTTTCTTTCTCCGTGCCTCTCCTTTGCTCCCTCCCTGCCCCCGCCTGCCCATGCCCCTGTCTTTGGCTTCTCCCCTCCCTGCCCCACGTTTCTTCCCTCCCTGCCCCCCGTCTGCCCCTCCCTTGTTTTCCCCTCACCCATTGCTTCTCTCCTCCCTGCCCTTGATTTCCCACACCCCTGCCCTCGTTTCCTATCATCCATGCCCCTCGTTTCCCCCCTTTGTACGTTCAGCCTCTTCCCTCCCTGCCCCTCCCTTCCTCCCCCCCTGCCCTTTGCTCTCCCCTCGTTACGCTCCCTTCTCCCCATCCCTGCTGCCCTCTTACCACCATCAGCCCATCCCCACGACCAGCCCCCCTCCCACCCTTCAATCCCCCCCTCCCTCTCTCTCTCTCTCTCTCTCTCTCTCTCTCTCTTTCTCACACACACACACACACGCACACTCCCCTCCCCCACCCCCCCCCACCTACATCCTCCCATTCTGCCCCTCCCTGCCCCTTTCCCACCCCCTCGCACGCCCCTCACCTCCCACCTCCGTGCAACTGGTTTCCCCCCTATGGTGCCACCCTTGCATCGCTCGCCCCTCTGCTCACCCTCTGCCCGCCCCTTTTCCGTGCCCTCAGTTGGCCCAGCCCCTGCCCGTTGCTGCCCCTCCCCTTGCCCCCTCAACTCCCCTGCCCCCCGTACACCCCAAGTCCCATCCAACCGCCCCCACCCTCCCCCGGCTGCCCGTTTCCGCTCTCCACCCCCGCGACCGTGTGCGGCTTCCAACCGCCCAACGGTGGTGCGCACGGGGCGTTTCTTCGCATGGGCAAGCCTCCCCGGGGGCCCCCCACCCCGCTGGGTCGTTGTTTGGGCAAAAAAACGAAAAGAAAAGAATCGGACGCGCTAAAATCGTCCTTTCTTTTTCCCGCTTGCCCCTCCCCCGGCACGTGCCGAGCAAGGGGCATAAATGGGTACAACACGAGGACTTCCCGGGAGGTCACCCAGCCCAGTACTGCTCTCGCCCACCGGCGCTTAGCTTCGGAGTTCTGATGGGATCCGGCTAATAGCTGAGGTATGATCGTACCACGTCAACCTCGTGCCCCGACCGCCGGGTCCCCCCCTTCATAGTCACACCCCCTGCCCCCTCATGCCATCCGCTCCCCCCGCCCCTACCCTCCGCGTGCCCGCTCCCTTGCCGCCTCTTTTGACCCTCCCTGCCCCCCCTCGCCGTTTCCCACCGCCCGCCATTCGCTCCTCCCCGCCCGTGCGCTCCCCTCCTTTACCTTCTCCTCCCCCCTCCCCTCCTCTGCTGCACGCCTCTTCCTTCCCCTCGCCGACCCACTCCACTCCCTGCCCCTCCTCAATCCGCACCCTGCCCCTCGTATCTCGCCCCCCTATGCTTGGTTTCTCCCCTCCCTGCCCCTCGCCGCCTTTCCCCGCTCCCCACCTCCCCCCTCTCCCTGCCCCCCCCACTCTCCCCCCCCCTTGTCCTTGGCTTCCTACCTCCCTGCCTCACCTTTCCCCCCTCCGTGTGCTCAGCTTCTCCCCTCCCTGCCCCTCCCTCCTCCCCGCCCTGCCCCTCATTTTCCGCCCCCCCCCCCCCACGCCCGGTTTCTCCCCTCCCCGCGCCTCCCTTTCTTTCTCCGTGCCTCTCCTTTGCTCCCTCCCTGCCCCCGCCTGCCCATGCCCCTGTCTTTGGCTTCTCCCCTCCCTGCCCCACGTTTCTTCCCTCCCTGCCCCCCGTCTGCCCCTCCCTTGTTTTCCCCTCACCCATTGCTTCTCTCCTCCCTGCCCTTGATTTCCCACACCCCTGCCCTCGTTTCCTATCATCCATGCCCCTCGTTTCCCCCCTTTGTACGTTCAGCCTCTTCCCTCCCTGCCCCTCCCTTCCTCCCCCCCTGCCCTTTGCTCTCCCCTCGTTACGCTCCCTTCTCCCCATCCCTGCTGCCCTCTTACCACCATCAGCCCATCCCCACGACCAGCCCCCCTCCCACCCTTCAATCCCCCCCTCCCTCTCTCTCTCTCTCTCTCTCTCTCTCTTTCTCACACGCACACACACACGCACACTCCCCTCCCCCACCCCCCCCCACCTACATCCTCCCATTCTGCCCCTCCCTGCCCCTTTCCCACCCCCTCGCACGCCCCTCACCTCCCACCTCCGTGCAACTGGTTTCCCCCCTATGGTGCCACCCTTGCATCGCTCGCCCCTCTGCTCACCCTCTGCCCGCCCCTTTTCCGTGCCCTCAGTTGGCCCAGCCCCTGCCCGTTGCTGCCCCTCCCCTTGCCCCCTCAACTCCCCTGCCCCCCGTACACCCCAAGTCCCATCCAACCGCCCCCACCCTCCCCCGGCTGCCCGTTTCCGCTCTCCACCCCCGCGACCGTGTGCGGCTTCCAACCGCCCAACGGTGGTGCGCACGGGGCGTTTCTTCGCATGGGCAAGCCTCCCCGGGGGCCCCCCACCCCGCTGGGTCGTTGTTTGGGCAAAAAAAACGAAAAGAAAAGAATCGGACGCGCTAAAATCGTCCTTTCTTTTTCCCGCTTGCCCCTCCCCCGGCACGTGCCGAGCAAGGGGCATAAATGGGTACAACACGAGGACTTCCCGGGAGGTCACCCAGCCCAGTACTGCTCTCGCCCACCGATAGTGGCTGTGCTTGAAACGCTGTGCCCGTGCGGTCGTGCGGGTTGCTGCCGTGTTTTGGTCCTTTGGTGCTTCCTCCTCCTTAGTCTCTCTCCCTCTCTCCTCTTTTCTTCCCACCTCCCTCTTTCTGTTCCCTTCTTCTATCCTTCCCTTCTCTTCCTACCGCCCTCTTCTTTTCCCTACCACTTCTTCTTACTCCTTCATCCTTCCTTCCTTTCCTTTCTTTCCCCCTTTTCCTACAAAATATATATACCGTCCTCATAGCGATTAGGCTATGTCGAAATTTCCTAGTCTTGGAAAAACCATTATATTCGGCTTGTATTTGCTCTTCCCCTATTAATGAATAACTGCTCTCGCCCACCGGCGCTTAGCTTCGGAGTTCTGATGGGATCCGGCGTAGTAGCCGAGGTATGATCGTACCACGTCAACCTCGTGCCCCGACCGCTACACACCCCTTGCCCGGGTCCCCCCCTTCATAGTCACACCCCCTGCCCCCTCATGCCATCCGCTCCCCCCGCCCCTACCCTCCGCGTGCCCGCTCCCTTGCCGCCTCTTTTGACCCTCCCTGCCCCCCCTCGCCGTTTCCCACCGCCCGCCATTCGCTCCTCCCCGCCCGTGCGCTCCCCTCCTTTACCTTCTCCTCCCCCCTCCCCTCCTCTGCTGCACGCCTCTTCCTTCCCCTCGCCGACCCACTCCACTCCCTGCCCCTCCTCAATCCGCACCCTGCCCCTCGTATCTCGCCCCCCTATGCTTGGTTTCTCCCCTCCCTGCCCCTCGCCGCCTTTCCCCGCTCCCCACCTCCCCCCTCTCCCTGCCCCCCCCACTCTCCCCCCCCCCCCTTGTCCTTGGCTTCCTACCTCCCTGCCTCACCTTTCCCCCCTCCGTGTGCTCAGCTTCTCCCCTCCCTGCCCCTCCCTCCTCCCCGCCCTGCCCCTCATTTTCCGCCCCCCCCCCCCCACGCCCGGTTTCTCCCCTCCCCGCGCCTCCCTTTCTTTCTCCGTGCCTCTCCTTTGCTCCCTCCCTGCCCCCGCCTGCCCATGCCCCTGTCTTTGGCTTCTCCCCTCCCTGCCCCACGTTTCTTCCCTCCCTGCCCCCCGTCTGCCCCTCCCTTGTTTTCCCCTCACCCATTGCTTCTCTCCTCCCTGCCCTTGATTTCCCACACCCCTGCCCTCGTTTCCTATCATCCATGCCCCTCGTTTCCCCCCTTTGTACGTTCAGCCTCTTCCCTCCCTGCCCCTCCCTTCCTCCCCCCCTGCCCTTTGCTCTCCCCTCGTTACGCTCCCTTCTCCCCATCCCTGCTGCCCTCTTACCACCATCAGCCCATCCCCACGACCAGCCCCCCTCCCACCCTTCAATCCCCCCCTCCCTCTCTCTCTCTCTCTCTCTCTCTCTCTCTCTCTTTCTCACACACACACACACACGCACACTCCCCTCCCCCACCCCCCCCCACCTACATCCTCCCATTCTGCCCCTCCCTGCCCCTTTCCCACCCCCTCGCACGCCCCTCACCTCCCACCTCCGTGCAACTGGTTTCCCCCCTATGGTGCCACCCTTGCATCGCTCGCCCCTCTGCTCACCCTCTGCCCGCCCCTTTTCCGTGCCCTCAGTTGGCCCAGCCCCTGCCCGTTGCTGCCCCTCCCCTTGCCCCCTCAACTCCCCTGCCCCCCGTACACCCCAAGTCCCATCCAACCGCCCCCACCCTCCCCCGGCTGCCCGTTTCCGCTCTCCACCCCCGCGACCGTGTGCGGCTTCCAACCGCCCAACGGTGGTGCGCACGGGGCGTTTCTTCGCATGGGCAAGCCTCCCCGGGGGCCCCCCACCCCGCTGGGTCGTTGTTTGGGCAAAAAAAACGAAAAGAAAAGAATCGGACGCGCTAAAATCGTCCTTTCTTTTTCCCGCTTGCCCCTCCCCCGGCACGTGCCGAGCAAGGGGCATAAATGGGTACAACACGAGGACTTCCCGGGAGGTCACCCAGCCCAGTACTGCTCTCGCCCACCGGCGCTTAGCTTCGGAGTTCTGATGGGATCCGGCTAATAGCTGAGGTATGATCGTACCACGTCAACCTCGTGCCCGACCGCTACACACCCCTTGCCCGGGTCCCCCCCTTCATAGTCACACCCCCTGCCCCCTCATGCCATCCGCTCCCCCCGCCCCTACCCTCCGCGTGCCCGCTCCCTTGCCGCCTCTTTTGACCCTCCCTGCCCCCCCTCGCCGTTTCCCACCGCCCGCCATTCGCTCCTCCCCGCCCGTGCGCTCCCCTCCTTTACCTTCTCCTCCCCCCTCCCCTCCTCTGCTGCACGCCTCTTCCTTCCCCTCGCCGACCCACTCCACTCCCTGCCCCTCCTCAATCCGCACCCTGCCCCTCGTATCTCGCCCCCCTATGCTTGGTTTCTCCCCTCCCTGCCCCTCGCCGCCTTTCCCCGCTCCCCACCTCCCCCCTCTCCCTGCCCCCCCCACTCTCCCCCCCCCCTTGTCCTTGGCTTCCTACCTCCCTGCCTCACCTTTCCCCCCTCCGTGTGCTCAGCTTCTCCCCTCCCTGCCCCTCCCTCCTCCCCGCCCTGCCCCTCATTTTCCGCCCCCCCCCCCCCACGCCCGGTTTCTCCCCTCCCCGCGCCTCCCTTTCTTTCTCCGTGCCTCTCCTTTGCTCCCTCCCTGCCCCCGCCTGCCCATGCCCCTGTCTTTGGCTTCTCCCCTCCCTGCCCCACGTTTCTTCCCTCCCTGCCCCCCGTCTGCCCCTCCCTTGTTTTCCCCTCACCCATTGCTTCTCTCCTCCCTGCCCTTGATTTCCCACACCCCTGCCCTCGTTTCCTATCATCCATGCCCCTCGTTTCCCCCCTTTGTACGTTCAGCCTCTTCCCTCCCTGCCCCTCCCTTCCTCCCCCCCTGCCCTTTGCTCTCCCCTCGTTACGCTCCCTTCTCCCCATCCCTGCTGCCCTCTTACCACCATCAGCCCATCCCCACGACCAGCCCCCCTCCCACCCTTCAATCCCCCCCTCCCTCTCTCTCTCTCTCTCTCTCTCTCTCTCTCTCTTTCTCACACACACACACACACGCACACTCCCCTCCCCCACCCCCCCCCACCTACATCCTCCCATTCTGCCCCTCCCTGCCCCTTTCCCACCCCCTCGCACGCCCCTCACCTCCCACCTCCGTGCAACTGGTTTCCCCCCTATGGTGCCACCCTTGCATCGCTCGCCCCTCTGCTCACCCTCTGCCCGCCCCTTTTCCGTGCCCTCAGTTGGCCCAGCCCCTGCCCGTTGCTGCCCCTCCCCTTGCCCCCTCAACTCCCCTGCCCCCCGTACACCCCAAGTCCCATCCAACCGCCCCCACCCTCCCCCGGCTGCCCGTTTCCGCTCTCCACCCCCGCGACCGTGTGCGGCTTCCAACCGCCCAACGGTGGTGCGCACGGGGCGTTTCTTCGCATGGGCAAGCCTCCCCGGGGGCCCCCCACCCCGCTGGGTCGTTGTTTGGGCAAAAAAAACGAAAAGAAAAGAATCGGACGCGCTAAAATCGTCCTTTCTTTTTCCCGCTTGCCCCTCCCCCGGCACGTGCCGAGCAAGGGGCATAAATGGGTACAACACGAGGACTTCCCGGGAGGTCACCCAGCCCAGTACTGCTCTCGCCCACCGATAGTGGCTGTGCTTGAAACGCTGTGCCCGTGCGGTCGTGCGGGTTGCTGCCGTGTTTTGGTCCTTTGGTGCTTCCTCCTCCTTAGTCTCTCTCCCTCTCTCCTCTTTTCTTCCCACCTCCCTCTTTCTGTTCCCTTCTTCTATCCTTCCCTTCTCTTCCTACCGCCCTCTTCTTTTCCCTACCACTTCTTCTTACTCCTTCATCCTTCCTTCCTTTCCTTTCTTTCCCCCTTTTCCTACAAAATATATATACCGTCCTCATAGCGATTAGGCTATGTCGAAATTTCCTAGTCTTGGAAAAACCATTATATTCGGCTTGTATTTGCTCTTCCCCTATTAATGAATAACTGCTCTCGCCCACCGGCGCTTAGCTTCGGAGTTCTGATGGGATCCGGCGTAGTAGCCGAGGTATGATCGTACCACGTCAACCTCGTGCCCCGACCGCTACACACCCCTTGCCCGGGTCCCCCCCTTCATAGTCACACCCCCTGCCCCCTCATGCCATCCGCTCCCCCCGCCCCTACCCTCCGCGTGCCCGCTCCCTTGCCGCCTCTTTTGACCCTCCCTGCCCCCCCTCGCCGTTTCCCACCGCCCGCCATTCGCTCCTCCCCGCCCGTGCGCTCCCCTCCTTTACCTTCTCCTCCCCCCTCCCCTCCTCTGCTGCACGCCTCTTCCTTCCCCTCGCCGACCCACTCCACTCCCTGCCCCTCCTCAATCCGCACCCTGCCCCTCGTATCTCGCCCCCCTATGCTTGGTTTCTCCCCTCCCTGCCCCTCGCCGCCTTTCCCCGCTCCCCACCTCCCCCCTCTCCCTGCCCCCCCCCACTCTCCCCCCCCCTTGTCCTTGGCTTCCTACCTCCCTGCCTCACCTTTCCCCCCTCCGTGTGCTCAGCTTCTCCCCTCCCTGCCCCTCCCTCCTCCCCGCCCTGCCCCTCATTTTCCGCCCCCCCCCCCCCACGCCCGGTTTCTCCCCTCCCCGCGCCTCCCTTTCTTTCTCCGTGCCTCTCCTTTGCTCCCTCCCTGCCCCCGCCTGCCCATGCCCCTGTCTTTGGCTTCTCCCCTCCCTGCCCCACGTTTCTTCCCTCCCTGCCCCCCGTCTGCCCCTCCCTTGTTTTCCCCTCACCCATTGCTTCTCTCCTCCCTGCCCTTGATTTCCCACACCCCTGCCCTCGTTTCCTATCATCCATGCCCCTCGTTTCCCCCCTTTGTACGTTCAGCCTCTTCCCTCCCTGCCCCTCCCTTCCTCCCCCCCTGCCCTTTGCTCTCCCCTCGTTACGCTCCCTTCTCCCCATCCCTGCTGCCCTCTTACCACCATCAGCCCATCCCCACGACCAGCCCCCCTCCCACCCTTCAATCCCCCCCTCCCTCTCTCTCTCTCTCTCTCTCTCTCTCTCTCTCTTTCTCACACACACACACACACACGCACACTCCCCTCCCCCACCCCCCCCCACCTACATCCTCCCATTCTGCCCCTCCCTGCCCCTTTCCCACCCCCTCGCACGCCCCTCACCTCCCACCTCCGTGCAACTGGTTTCCCCCCTATGGTGCCACCCTTGCATCGCTCGCCCCTCTGCTCACCCTCTGCCCGCCCCTTTTCCGTGCCCTCAGTTGGCCCAGCCCCTGCCCGTTGCTGCCCCTCCCCTTGCCCCCTCAACTCCCCTGCCCCCCGTACACCCCAAGTCCCATCCAACCGCCCCCACCCTCCCCCGGCTGCCCGTTTCCGCTCTCCACCCCCGCGACCGTGTGCGGCTTCCAACCGCCCAACGGTGGTGCGCACGGGGCGTTTCTTCGCATGGGCAAGCCTCCCCGGGGGCCCCCCACCCCGCTGGGTCGTTGTTTGGGCAAAAAAAACGAAAAGAAAAGAATCGGACGCGCTAAAATCGTCCTTTCTTTTTCCCGCTTGCCCCTCCCCCGGCACGTGCCGAGCAAGGGGCATAAATGGGTACAACACGAGGACTTCCCGGGAGGTCACCCAGCCCAGTACTGCTCTCGCCCACCGATAGTGGCTGTGCTTGAAACGCTGTGCCCGTGCGGTCGTGCGGGTTGCTGCCGTGTTTTGGTCCTTTGGTGCTTCCTCCTCCTTAGTCTCTCTCCCTCTCTCCTCTTTTCTTCCCACCTCCCTCTTTCTGTTCCCTTCTTCTATCCTTCCCTTCTCTTCCTACCGCCCTCTTCTTTTCCCTACCACTTCTTCTTACTCCTTCATCCTTCCTTCCTTTCCTTTCTTTCCCCCTTTTCCTACAAAATATATATACCGTCCTCATAGCGATTAGGCTATGTCGAAATTTCCTAGTCTTGGAAAAACCATTATATTCGGCTTGTATTTGCTCTTCCCCTATTAATGAATAACTGCTCTCGCCCACCGGCGCTTAGCTTCGGAGTTCTGATGGGATCCGGCGTAGTAGCCGAGGTATGATCGTACCACGTCAACCTCGTGCCCCGACCGCTACACACCCCTTGCCCGGGTCCCCCCCTTCATAGTCACACCCCCTGCCCCCTCATGCCATCCGCTCCCCCCGCCCCTACCCTCCGCGTGCCCGCTCCCTTGCCGCCTCTTTTGACCCTCCCTGCCCCCCCTCGCCGTTTCCCACCGCCCGCCATTCGCTCCTCCCCGCCCGTGCGCTCCCCTCCTTTACCTTCTCCTCCCCCCTCCCCTCCTCTGCTGCACGCCTCTTCCTTCCCCTCGCCGACCCACTCCACTCCCTGCCCCTCCTCAATCCGCACCCTGCCCCTCGTATCTCGCCCCCCTATGCTTGGTTTCTCCCCTCCCTGCCCCTCGCCGCCTTTCCCCGCTCCCCACCTCCCCCCTCTCCCTGCCCCCCCCACTCTCCCCCCCCCCTTGTCCTTGGCTTCCTACCTCCCTGCCTCACCTTTCCCCCCTCCGTGTGCTCAGCTTCTCCCCTCCCTGCCCCTCCCTCCTCCCCGCCCTGCCCCTCATTTTCCGCCCCCCCCCCCCCACGCCCGGTTTCTCCCCTCCCCGCGCCTCCCTTTCTTTCTCCGTGCCTCTCCTTTGCTCCCTCCCTGCCCCCGCCTGCCCATGCCCCTGTCTTTGGCTTCTCCCCTCCCTGCCCCACGTTTCTTCCCTCCCTGCCCCCCGTCTGCCCCTCCCTTGTTTTCCCCTCACCCATTGCTTCTCTCCTCCCTGCCCTTGATTTCCCACACCCCTGCCCTCGTTTCCTATCATCCATGCCCCTCGTTTCCCCCCTTTGTACGTTCAGCCTCTTCCCTCCCTGCCCCTCCCTTCCTCCCCCCCTGCCCTTTGCTCTCCCCTCGTTACGCTCCCTTCTCCCCATCCCTGCTGCCCTCTTACCACCATCAGCCCATCCCCACGACCAGCCCCCCTCCCACCCTTCAATCCCCCCCTCCCTCTCTCTCTCTCTCTCTCTCTCTCTCTCTCTCTTTCTCACACACACACACACACGCACACTCCCCTCCCCCACCCCCCCCCACCTACATCCTCCCATTCTGCCCCTCCCTGCCCCTTTCCCACCCCCTCGCACGCCCCTCACCTCCCACCTCCGTGCAACTGGTTTCCCCCCTATGGTGCCACCCTTGCATCGCTCGCCCCTCTGCTCACCCTCTGCCCGCCCCTTTTCCGTGCCCTCAGTTGGCCCAGCCCCTGCCCGTTGCTGCCCCTCCCCTTGCCCCCTCAACTCCCCTGCCCCCGTACACCCCAAGTCCCATCCAACCGCCCCCACCCTCCCCCGGCTGCCCGTTTCCGCTCTCCACCCCCGCGACCGTGTGCGGCTTCCAACCGCCCAACGGTGGTGCGCACGGGGCGTTTCTTCGCATGGGCAAGCCTCCCCGGGGGCCCCCCACCCCGCTGGGTCGTTGTTTGGGCAAAAAAAACGAAAAGAAAAGAATCGGACGCGCTAAAATCGTCCTTTCTTTTTCCCGCTTGCCCCTCCCCCGGCACGTGCCGAGCAAGGGGCATAAATGGGTACAACACGAGGACTTCCCGGGAGGTCACCCAGCCCAGTACTGCTCTCGCCCACCGGCGCTTAGCTTCGGAGTTCTGATGGGATCCGGCTAATAGCTGAGGTATGATCGTACCACGTCAACCTCGTGCCCCGACCGCTACCACCCCTTGCCCGGGTCCCCCCCTTCATAGTCACACCCCCTGCCCCCTCATGCCATCCGCTCCCCCCGCCCCTACCCTCCGCGTGCCCGCTCCCTTGCCGCCTCTTTTGACCCTCCCTGCCCCCCCTCGCCGTTTCCCACCGCCCGCCATTCGCTCCTCCCCGCCCGTGCGCTCCCCTCCTTTACCTTCTCCTCCCCCCTCCCCTCCTCTGCTGCACGCCTCTTCCTTCCCCTCGCCGACCCACTCCACTCCCTGCCCCTCCTCAATCCGCACCCTGCCCCTCGTATCTCGCCCCCCTATGCTTGGTTTCTCCCCTCCCTGCCCCTCGCCGCCTTTCCCCGCTCCCCACCTCCCCCCTCTCCCTGCCCCCCCCACTCTCCCCCCCCCCTTGTCCTTGGCTTCCTACCTCCCTGCCTCACCTTTCCCCCCTCCGTGTGCTCAGCTTCTCCCCTCCCTGCCCCTCCCTCCTCCCCGCCCTGCCCCTCATTTTCCGCCCCCCCCCCCCCACGCCCGGTTTCTCCCCTCCCCGCGCCTCCCTTTCTTTCTCCGTGCCTCTCCTTTGCTCCCTCCCTGCCCCCGCCTGCCCATGCCCCTGTCTTTGGCTTCTCCCCTCCCTGCCCCACGTTTCTTCCCTCCCTGCCCCCCGTCTGCCCCTCCCTTGTTTTCCCCTCACCCATTGCTTCTCTCCTCCCTGCCCTTGATTTCCCACACCCCTGCCCTCGTTTCCTATCATCCATGCCCCTCGTTTCCCCCCTTTGTACGTTCAGCCTCTTCCCTCCCTGCCCCTCCCTTCCTCCCCCCCTGCCCTTTGCTCTCCCCTCGTTACGCTCCCTTCTCCCCATCCCTGCTGCCCTCTTACCACCATCAGCCCATCCCCACGACCAGCCCCCCTCCCACCCTTCAATCCCCCCCTCCCTCTCTCTCTCTCTCTCTCTCTCTCTCTCTCTCTTTCTCACACACACACACACACGCACACTCCCCTCCCCCACCCCCCCCCACCTACATCCTCCCATTCTGCCCCTCCCTGCCCCTTTCCCACCCCCTCGCACGCCCCTCACCTCCCACCTCCGTGCAACTGGTTTCCCCCCTATGGTGCCACCCTTGCATCGCTCGCCCCTCTGCTCACCCTCTGCCCGCCCCTTTTCCGTGCCCTCAGTTGGCCCAGCCCCTGCCCGTTGCTGCCCCTCCCCTTGCCCCCTCAACTCCCCTGCCCCCCGTACACCCCAAGTCCCATCCAACCGCCCCCACCCTCCCCCGGCTGCCCGTTTCCGCTCTCCACCCCCGCGACCGTGTGCGGCTTCCAACCGCCCAACGGTGGTGCGCACGGGGCGTTTCTTCGCATGGGCAAGCCTCCCCGGGGGCCCCCCACCCCGCTGGGTCGTTGTTTGGGCAAAAAAAACGAAAAGAAAAGAATCGGACGCGCTAAAATCGTCCTTTCTTTTTCCCGCTTGCCCCTCCCCCGGCACGTGCCGAGCAAGGGGCATAAATGGGTACAACACGAGGACTTCCCGGGAGGTCACCCAGCCCAGTACTGCTCTCGCCCACCGATAGTGGCTGTGCTTGAAACGCTGTGCCCGTGCGGTCGTGCGGGTTGCTGCCGTGTTTTGGTCCTTTGGTGCTTCCTCCTCCTTAGTCTCTCTCCCTCTCTCCTCTTTTCTTCCCACCTCCCTCTTTCTGTTCCCTTCTTCTATCCTTCCCTTCTCTTCCTACCGCCCTCTTCTTTTCCCTACCACTTCTTCTTACTCCTTCATCCTTCCTTCCTTTCCTTTCTTTCCCCCTTTTCCTACAAAATATATATACCGTCCTCATAGCGATTAGGCTATGTCGAAATTTCCTAGTCTTGGAAAAACCATTATATTCGGCTTGTATTTGCTCTTCCCCTATTAATGAATAACTGCTCTCGCCCACCGGCGCTTAGCTTCGGAGTTCTGATGGGATCCGGCGTAGTAGCCGAGGTATGATCGTACCACGTCAACCTCGTGCCCCGACCGCTACACACCCCTTGCCCGGGTCCCCCCCTTCATAGTCACACCCCCTGCCCCCTCATGCCATCCGCTCCCCCCGCCCCTACCCTCCGCGTGCCCGCTCCCTTGCCGCCTCTTTTGACCCTCCCTGCCCCCCCTCGCCGTTTCCCACCGCCCGCCATTCGCTCCTCCCCGCCCGTGCGCTCCCCTCCTTTACCTTCTCCTCCCCCCTCCCCTCCTCTGCTGCACGCCTCTTCCTTCCCCTCGCCGACCCACTCCACTCCCTGCCCCTCCTCAATCCGCACCCTGCCCCTCGTATCTCGCCCCCCTATGCTTGGTTTCTCCCCTCCCTGCCCCTCGCCGCCTTTCCCCGCTCCCCACCTCCCCCCTCTCCCTGCCCCCCCCACTCTCCCCCCCCCTTGTCCTTGGCTTCCTACCTCCCTGCCTCACCTTTCCCCCCTCCGTGTGCTCAGCTTCTCCCCTCCCTGCCCCTCCCTCCTCCCCGCCCTGCCCCTCATTTTCCGCCCCCCCCCCCCCCACGCCCGGTTTCTCCCCTCCCCGCGCCTCCCTTTCTTTCTCCGTGCCTCTCCTTTGCTCCCTCCCTGCCCCCGCCTGCCCATGCCCCTGTCTTTGGCTTCTCCCCTCCCTGCCCCACGTTTCTTCCCTCCCTGCCCCCCGTCTGCCCCTCCCTTGTTTTCCCCTCACCCATTGCTTCTCTCCTCCCTGCCCTTGATTTCCCACACCCCTGCCCTCGTTTCCTATCATCCATGCCCCTCGTTTCCCCCCTTTGTACGTTCAGCCTCTTCCCTCCCTGCCCCTCCCTTCCTCCCCCCCTGCCCTTTGCTCTCCCCTCGTTACGCTCCCTTCTCCCCATCCCTGCTGCCCTCTTACCACCATCAGCCCATCCCCACGACCAGCCCCCCTCCCACCCTTCAATCCCCCCCTCCCTCTCTCTCTCTCTCTCTCTCTCTCTCTCTCTCTTTCTCACACACACACACACACACGCACACTCCCCTCCCCCACCCCCCCCCACCTACATCCTCCCATTCTGCCCCTCCCTGCCCCTTTCCCACCCCCTCGCACGCCCCTCACCTCCCACCTCCGTGCAACTGGTTTCCCCCCTATGGTGCCACCCTTGCATCGCTCGCCCCTCTGCTCACCCTCTGCCCGCCCCTTTTCCGTGCCCTCAGTTGGCCCAGCCCCTGCCCGTTGCTGCCCCTCCCCTTGCCCCCTCAACTCCCCTGCCCCCTGTACACCCCAAGTCCCATCCAACCGCCCCCACCCTCCCCCGGCTGCCCGTTTCCGCTCTCCACCCCCGCGACCGTGTGCGGCTTCCAACCGCCCAACGGTGGTGCGCACGGGGCGTTTCTTCGCATGGGCAAGCCTCCCCGGGGGCCCCCCACCCCGCTGGGTCGTTGTTTGGGCAAAAAAAACGAAAAGAAAAGAATCGGACGCGCTAAAATCGTCCTTTCTTTTTCCCGCTTGCCCCTCCCCCGGCACGTGCCGAGCAAGGGGCATAAATGGGTACAACACGAGGACTTCCCGGGAGGTCACCCAGCCCAGTACTGCTCTCGCCCACCGGCGCTTAGCTTCGGAGTTCTGATGGGATCCGGCGTAGTAGCCTGAGGTATGATCGTACCACGTCAACCTCGTGCCCCGACCGCTACACACCCCTTGCCCGGGTCCCCCCCTTCATAGTCACACCCCCTGCCCCCTCATGCCATCCGCTCCCCCCGCCCCTACCCTCCGCGTGCCCGCTCCCTTGCCGCCTCTTTTGACCCTCCCTGCCCCCCCTCGCCGTTTCCCACCGCCCGCCATTCGCTCCTCCCCGCCCGTGCGCTCCCCTCCTTTACCTTCTCCTCCCCCCTCCCCTCCTCTGCTGCACGCCTCTTCCTTCCCCTCGCCGACCCACTCCACTCCCTGCCCCTCCTCAATCCGCACCCTGCCCCTCGTATCTCGCCCCCCTATGCTTGGTTTCTCCCCTCCCTGCCCCTCGCCGCCTTTCCCCGCTCCCCACCTCCCCCCTCTCCCTGCCCCCCCCACTCTCCCCCCCCCTTGTCCTTGGCTTCCTACCTCCCTGCCTCACCTTTCCCCCCTCCGTGTGCTCAGCTTCTCCCCTCCCTGCCCCTCCCTCCTCCCCGCCCTGCCCCTCATTTTCCGCCCCCCCCCCCCCCACGCCCGGTTTCTCCCCTCCCCGCGCCTCCCTTTCTTTCTCCGTGCCTCTCCTTTGCTCCCTCCCTGCCCCCGCCTGCCCATGCCCCTGTCTTTGGCTTCTCCCCTCCCTGCCCCACGTTTCTTCCCTCCCTGCCCCCCGTCTGCCCCTCCCTTGTTTTCCCCTCACCCATTGCTTCTCTCCTCCCTGCCCTTGATTTCCCACACCCCTGCCCTCGTTTCCTATCATCCATGCCCCTCGTTTCCCCCCTTTGTACGTTCAGCCTCTTCCCTCCCTGCCCCTCCCTTCCTCCCCCCCTGCCCTTTGCTCTCCCCTCGTTACGCTCCCTTCTCCCCATCCCTGCTGCCCTCTTACCACCATCAGCCCATCCCCACGACCAGCCCCCCTCCCACCCTTCAATCCCCCCCTCCCTCTCTCTCTCTCTCTCTCTCTCTCTCTCTCTTTCTCACACACACACACACACGCACACTCCCCTCCCCCACCCCCCCCCACCTACATCCTCCCATTCTGCCCCTCCCTGCCCCTTTCCCACCCCCTCGCACGCCCCTCACCTCCCACCTCCGTGCAACTGGTTTCCCCCCTATGGTGCCACCCTTGCATCGCTCGCCCCTCTGCTCACCCTCTGCCCGCCCCTTTTCCGTGCCCTCAGTTGGCCCAGCCCCTGCCCGTTGCTGCCCCTCCCCTTGCCCCCTCAACTCCCCTGCCCCCCGTACACCCCAAGTCCCATCCAACCGCCCCCACCCTCCCCCGGCTGCCCGTTTCCGCTCTCCACCCCCGCGACCGTGTGCGGCTTCCAACCGCCCAACGGTGGTGCGCACGGGGCGTTTCTTCGCATGGGCAAGCCTCCCCGGGGGCCCCCCACCCCGCTGGGTCGTTGTTTGGGCAAAAAAACGAAAAGAAAAGAATCGGACGCGCTAAAATCGTCCTTTCTTTTTCCCGCTTGCCCCTCCCCCGGCACGTGCCGAGCAAGGGGCATAAATGGGTACAACACGAGGACTTCCCGGGAGGTCACCCAGCCCAGTACTGCTCTCGCCCACCGATAGTGGCTGTGCTTGAAACGCTGTGCCCGTGCGGTCGTGCGGGTTGCTGCCGTGTTTTGGTCCTTTGGTGCTTCCTCCTCCTTAGTCTCTCTCCCTCTCTCCTCTTTTCTTCCCACCTCCCTCTTTCTGTTCCCTTCTTCTATCCTTCCCTTCTCTTCCTACCGCCCTCTTCTTTTCCCTACCACTTCTTCTTACTCCTTCATCCTTCCTTCCTTTCCTTTCTTTCCCCCTTTTCCTACAAAATATATATACCGTCCTCATAGCGATTAGGCTATGTCGAAATTTCCTAGTCTTGGAAAAACCATTATATTCGGCTTGTATTTGCTCTTCCCCTATTAATGAATAACTGCTCTCGCCCACCGGCGCTTAGCTTCGGAGTTCTGATGGGATCCGGCGTAGTAGCCGAGGTATGATCGTACCACGTCAACCTCGTGCCCCGACCGCTACACACCCCTTGCCCGGGTCCCCCCCTTCATAGTCACACCCCCTGCCCCCTCATGCCATCCGCTCCCCCCGCCCCTACCCTCCGCGTGCCCGCTCCCTTGCCGCCTCTTTTGACCCTCCCTGCCCCCCCTCGCCGTTTCCCACCGCCCGCCATTCGCTCCTCCCCGCCCGTGCGCTCCCCTCCTTTACCTTCTCCTCCCCCCTCCCCTCCTCTGCTGCACGCCTCTTCCTTCCCCTCGCCGACCCACTCCACTCCCTGCCCCTCCTCAATCCGCACCCTGCCCCTCGTATCTCGCCCCCCTATGCTTGGTTTCTCCCCTCCCTGCCCCTCGCCGCCTTTCCCCGCTCCCCACCTCCCCCCTCTCCCTGCCCCCCCCCCCCACTCTCCCCCCCCCTTGTCCTTGGCTTCCTACCTCCCTGCCTCACCTTTCCCCCCTCCGTGTGCTCAGCTTCTCCCCTCCCTGCCCCTCCCTCCTCCCCGCCCTGCCCCTCATTTTCCGCCCCCCCCCCCCCACGCCCGGTTTCTCCCCTCCCCGCGCCTCCCTTTCTTTCTCCGTGCCTCTCCTTTGCTCCCTCCCTGCCCCCGCCTGCCCATGCCCCTGTCTTTGGCTTCTCCCCTCCCTGCCCCACGTTTCTTCCCTCCCTGCCCCCCGTCTGCCCCTCCCTTGTTTTCCCCTCACCCATTGCTTCTCTCCTCCCTGCCCTTGATTTCCCACACCCCTGCCCTCGTTTCCTATCATCCATGCCCCTCGTTTCCCCCCTTTGTACGTTCAGCCTCTTCCCTCCCTGCCCCTCCCTTCCTCCCCCCCTGCCCTTTGCTCTCCCCTCGTTACGCTCCCTTCTCCCCATCCCTGCTGCCCTCTTACCACCATCAGCCCATCCCCACGACCAGCCCCCCTCCCACCCTTCAATCCCCCCCTCCCTCTCTCTCTCTCTCTCTCTCTCTCTCTCTCTCTTTCTCACACACACACACACACGCACACTCCCCTCCCCCATCCCCCCCCCACCTACATCCTCCCATTCTGCCCCTCCCTGCCCCTTTCCCACCCCCTCGCACGCCCCTCACCTCCCACCTCCGTGCAACTGGTTTCCCCCCTATGGTGCCACCCTTGCATCGCTCGCCCCTCTGCTCACCCTCTGCCCGCCCCTTTTCCGTGCCCTCAGTTGGCCCAGCCCCTGCCCGTTGCTGCCCCTCCCCTTGCCCCCTCAACTCCCCTGCCCCCCGTACACCCCAAGTCCCATCCAACCGCCCCCACCCTCCCCCGGCTGCCCGTTTCCGCTCTCCACCCCCGCGACCGTGTGCGGCTTCCAACCGCCCAACGGTGGTGCGCACGGGGCGTTTCTTCGCATGGGCAAGCCTCCCCGGGGGCCCCCCACCCCGCTGGGTCGTTGTTTGGGCAAAAAAAACGAAAAGAAAAGAATCGGACGCGCTAAAATCGTCCTTTCTTTTTCCCGCTTGCCCCTCCCCCGGCACGTGCCGAGCAAGGGGCATAAATGGGTACAACACGAGGACTTCCCGGGAGGTCACCCAGCCCAGTACTGCTCTCGCCCACCGGCGCTTAGCTTCGGAGTTCTGATGGGATCCGGCTAATAGCTGAGGTATGATCGTACCACGTCAACCTCGTGCCCACCGCTACACACCCCTTGCCGGGTCCCCCCCTTCATAGTCACACCCCCTGCCCCCTCATGCCATCCGCTCCCCCCGCCCCTACCCTCCGCGTGCCCGCTCCCTTGCCGCCTCTTTTGACCCTCCCTGCCCCCCCTCGCCGTTTCCCACCGCCCGCCATTCGCTCCTCCCCGCCCGTGCGCTCCCCTCCTTTACCTTCTCCTCCCCCCTCCCCTCCTCTGCTGCACGCCTCTTCCTTCCCCTCGCCGACCCACTCCACTCCCTGCCCCTCCTCAATCCGCACCCTGCCCCTCGTATCTCGCCCCCCTATGCTTGGTTTCTCCCCTCCCTGCCCCTCGCCGCCTTTCCCCGCTCCCCACCTCCCCCCTCTCCCTGCCCCCCCCACTCTCCCCCCCCCTTGTCCTTGGCTTCCTACCTCCCTGCCTCACCTTTCCCCCCTCCGTGTGCTCAGCTTCTCCCCTCCCTGCCCCTCCCTCCTCCCCGCCCTGCCCCTCATTTTCCGCCCCCCCCCCCCCACGCCCGGTTTCTCCCCTCCCCGCGCCTCCCTTTCTTTCTCCGTGCCTCTCCTTTGCTCCCTCCCTGCCCCCGCCTGCCCATGCCCCTGTCTTTGGCTTCTCCCCTCCCTGCCCCACGTTTCTTCCCTCCCTGCCCCCCGTCTGCCCCTCCCTTGTTTTCCCCTCACCCATTGCTTCTCTCCTCCCTGCCCTTGATTTCCCACACCCCTGCCCTCGTTTCCTATCATCCATGCCCCTCGTTTCCCCCCTTTGTACGTTCAGCCTCTTCCCTCCCTGCCCCTCCCTTCCTCCCCCCCTGCCCTTTGCTCTCCCCTCGTTACGCTCCCTTCTCCCCATCCCTGCTGCCCTCTTACCACCATCAGCCCATCCCCACGACCAGCCCCCCTCCCACCCTTCAATCCCCCCCTCCCTCTCTCTCTCTCTCTCTCTCTCTCTCTCTCTCTTTCTCACACACACACACACACGCACACTCCCCTCCCCCACCCCCCCCCACCTACATCCTCCCATTCTGCCCCTCCCTGCCCCTTTCCCACCCCCTCGCACGCCCCTCACCTCCCACCTCCGTGCAACTGGTTTCCCCCCTATGGTGCCACCCTTGCATCGCTCGCCCCTCTGCTCACCCTCTGCCCGCCCCTTTTCCGTGCCCTCAGTTGGCCCAGCCCCTGCCCGTTGCTGCCCCTCCCCTTGCCCCCTCAACTCCCCTGCCCCCCGTACACCCCAAGTCCCATCCAACCGCCCCCACCCTCCCCCGGCTGCCCGTTTCCGCTCTCCACCCCCGCGACCGTGTGCGGCTTCCAACCGCCCAACGGTGGTGCGCACGGGGCGTTTCTTCGCATGGGCAAGCCTCCCCGGGGGCCCCCCACCCCGCTGGGTCGTTGTTTGGGCAAAAAAAAACGAAAAGAAAAGAATCGGACGCGCTAAAATCGTCCTTTCTTTTTCCCGCTTGCCCCTCCCCCGGCACGTGCCGAGCAAGGGGCATAAATGGGTACAACACGAGGACTTCCCGGGAGGTCACCCAGCCCAGTACTGCTCTCGCCCACCGGCGCTTAGCTTCGGAGTTCTGATGGGATCCGGCGTAAGTAGCCGAGGTATGATCGTACCACGTCAACCTCGTGCCCGACCGCTACACACCCCTTGCCCGGGTCCCCCCCTTCATAGTCACACCCCCTGCCCCCTCATGCCATCCGCTCCCCCCGCCCCTACCCTCCGCGTGCCCGCTCCCTTGCCGCCTCTTTTGACCCTCCCTGCCCCCCCTCGCCGTTTCCCACCGCCCGCCATTCGCTCCTCCCCGCCCGTGCGCTCCCCTCCTTTACCTTCTCCTCCCCCCTCCCCTCCTCTGCTGCACGCCTCTTCCTTCCCCTCGCCGACCCACTCCACTCCCTGCCCCTCCTCAATCCGCACCCTGCCCCTCGTATCTCGCCCCCCTATGCTTGGTTTCTCCCCTCCCTGCCCCTCGCCGCCTTTCCCCGCTCCCCACCTCCCCCCTCTCCCTGCCCCCCCCACTCTCCCCCCCCCTTGTCCTTGGCTTCCTACCTCCCTGCCTCACCTTTCCCCCCTCCGTGTGCTCAGCTTCTCCCCTCCCTGCCCCTCCCTCCTCCCCGCCCTGCCCCTCATTTTCCGCCCCCCCCCCCCCACGCCCGGTTTCTCCCCTCCCCGCGCCTCCCTTTCTTTCTCCGTGCCTCTCCTTTGCTCCCTCCCTGCCCCCGCCTGCCCATGCCCCTGTCTTTGGCTTCTCCCCTCCCTGCCCCACGTTTCTTCCCTCCCTGCCCCCCGTCTGCCCCTCCCTTGTTTTCCCCTCACCCATTGCTTCTCTCCTCCCTGCCCTTGATTTCCCACACCCCTGCCCTCGTTTCCTATCATCCATGCCCCTCGTTTCCCCCCTTTGTACGTTCAGCCTCTTCCCTCCCTGCCCCTCCCTTCCTCCCCCCCTGCCCTTTGCTCTCCCCTCGTTACGCTCCCTTCTCCCCATCCCTGCTGCCCTCTTACCACCATCAGCCCATCCCCACGACCAGCCCCCCTCCCACCCTTCAATCCCCCCCTCTCTCTCCCTCTCTCTCTCTCTCTCTCTCTCTCTCTCTCTCTTTCTCACACAGCCACACACACGCACACTCCCCTCCCCCACCCCCCCCCACCTACATCCTCCCATTCTGCCCCTCCCTGCCCCTTTCCCACCCCCTCGCACGCCCCTCACCTCCCACCTCCGTGCAACTGGTTTCCCCCCTATGGTGCCACCCTTGCATCGCTCGCCCCTCTGCTCACCCTCTGCCCGCCCCTTTTCCGTGCCCTCAGTTGGCCCAGCCCCTGCCCGTTGCTGCCCCTCCCCTTGCCCCCTCAACTCCCCTGCCCCCCGTACACCCCAAGTCCCATCCAACCGCCCCACCCTCCCCCGGCTGCCCGTTTCCGCTCTCCACCCCCGCGACCGTGTGCGGCTTCCAACCGCCCAACGGTGGTGCGCACGGGGCGTTTCTTCGCATGGGCAAGCCTCCCCGGGGGCCCCCCACCCCGCTGGGTCGTTGTTTGGGCAAAAAAAACGAAAAGAAAAGAATCGGACGCGCTAAAATCGTCCTTTCTTTTTCCCGCTTGCCCCTCCCCCCGGCACGTGCCGAGCAAGGGGCATAAATGGGTACAACACGAGGACTTCCCGGGAGGTCACCCAGCCCAGTACTGCTCTCGCCCACCGATAGTGGCTGTGCTTGAAACGCTGTGCCCGTGCGGTCGTGCGGGTTGCTGCCGTGTTTTGGTCCTTTGGTGCTTCCTCCTCCTTAGTCTCTCTCCCTCTCTCCTCTTTTCTTCCCACCTCCCTCTTTCTGTTCCCTTCTTCTATCCTTCCCTTCTCTTCCTACCGCCCTCTTCTTTTCCCTACCACTTCTTCTTACTCCTTCATCCTTCCTTCCTTTCCTTTCTTTCCCCCTTTTCCTACAAAATATATATACCGTCCTCATAGCGATTAGGCTATGTCGAAATTTCCTAGTCTTGGAAAAACCATTATATTCGGCTTGTATTTGCTCTTCCCCTATTAATGAATAACTGCTCTCGCCCACCGGCGCTTAGCTTCGGAGTTCTGATGGGATCCGGCGTAGTAGCCGAGGTATGATCGTACCACGTCAACCTCGTGCCCCGACCGCTACACACCCCTTGCCCGGGTCCCCCCCTTCATAGTCACACCCCCTGCCCCCTCATGCCATCCGCTCCCCCCGCCCCTACCCTCCGCGTGCCCGCTCCCTTGCCGCCTCTTTTGACCCTCCCTGCCCCCCCTCGCCGTTTCCCACCGCCCGCCATTCGCTCCTCCCCGCCCGTGCGCTCCCCTCCTTTACCTTCTCCTCCCCCCTCCCCTCCTCTGCTGCACGCCTCTTCCTTCCCCTCGCCGACCCACTCCACTCCCTGCCCCTCCTCAATCCGCACCCTGCCCCTCGTATCTCGCCCCCCTATGCTTGGTTTCTCCCCTCCCTGCCCCTCGCCGCCTTTCCCCGCTCCCCACCTCCCCCCTCTCCCTGCCCCCCCCACTCTCCCCCCCCCTTGTCCTTGGCTTCCTACCTCCCTGCCTCACCTTTCCCCCCTCCGTGTGCTCAGCTTCTCCCCTCCCTGCCCCTCCCTCCTCCCCGCCCTGCCCCTCATTTTCCGCCCCCCCCCCCCCCACGCCCGGTTTCTCCCCTCCCCGCGCCTCCCTTTCTTTCTCCGTGCCTCTCCTTTGCTCCCTCCCTGCCCCCGCCTGCCCATGCCCCTGTCTTTGGCTTCTCCCCTCCCTGCCCCACGTTTCTTCCCTCCCTGCCCCCCGTCTGCCCCTCCCTTGTTTTCCCCTCACCCATTGCTTCTCTCCTCCCTGCCCTTGATTTCCCACACCCCTGCCCTCGTTTCCTATCATCCATGCCCCTCGTTTCCCCCCTTTGTACGTTCAGCCTCTTCCCTCCCTGCCCCTCCCTTCCTCCCCCCCTGCCCTTTGCTCTCCCCTCGTTACGCTCCCTTCTCCCCATCCCTGCTGCCCTCTTACCACCATCAGCCCATCCCCACGACCAGCCCCCCTCCCACCCTTCAATCCCCCCCTCCCTCTCTCTCTCTCTCTCTCTCTCTCTCTCTCTCTCTTTCTCACACACACACACACACGCACACTCCCCTCCCCCACCCCCCCCCACCTACATCCTCCCATTCTGCCCCTCCCTGCCCCTTTCCCACCCCCTCGCACGCCCCTCACCTCCCACCTCCGTGCAACTGGTTTCCCCCCTATGGTGCCACCCTTGCATCGCTCGCCCCTCTGCTCACCCTCTGCCCGCCCCTTTTCCGTGCCCTCAGTTGGCCCAGCCCCTGCCCGTTGCTGCCCCTCCCCTTGCCCCCTCAACTCCCCTGCCCCCCGTACACCCCAAGTCCCATCCAACCGCCCCCACCCTCCCCCGGCTGCCCGTTTCCGCTCTCCACCCCCGCGACCGTGTGCGGCTTCCAACCGCCCAACGGTGGTGCGCACGGGGCGTTTCTTCGCATGGGCAAGCCTCCCCGGGGGCCCCCCACCCCGCTGGGGTCGTTGTTTGGGCAAAAAAAACGAAAAGAAAAGAATCGGACGCGCTAAAATCGTCCTTTCTTTTTCCCGCTTGCCCCTCCCCCGGCACGTGCCGAGCAAGGGGCATAAATGGGTACAACACGAGGACTTCCCGGGAGGTCACCCAGCCCAGTACTGCTCTCGCCCACCGATAGTGGCTGTGCTTGAAACGCTGTGCCCGTGCGGTCGTGCGGGTTGCTGCCGTGTTTTGGTCCTTTGGTGCTTCCTCCTCCTTAGTCTCTCTCCCTCTCTCCTCTTTTCTTCCCACCTCCCTCTTTCTGTTCCCTTCTTCTATCCTTCCCTTCTCTTCCTACCGCCCTCTTCTTTTCCCTACCACTTCTTCTTACTCCTTCATCCTTCCTTCCTTTCCTTTCTTTCCCCCTTTTCCTACAAAATATATATACCGTCCTCATAGCGATTAGGCTATGTCGAAATTTCCTAGTCTTGGAAAAACCATTATATTCGGCTTGTATTTGCTCTTCCCCTATTAATGAATAACTGCTCTCGCCCACCGGCGCTTAGCTTCGGAGTTCTGATGGGATCCGGCGTAGTAGCCGAGGTATGATCGTACCACGTCAACCTCGTGCCCCGACCGCTACACACCCCTTGCCCGGGTCCCCCCCTTCATAGTCACACCCCCTGCCCCCTCATGCCATCCGCTCCCCCCGCCCCTACCCTCCGCGTGCCCGCTCCCTTGCCGCCTCTTTTGACCCTCCCTGCCCCCCCTCGCCGTTTCCCACCGCCCGCCATTCGCTCCTCCCCGCCCGTGCGCTCCCCTCCTTTACCTTCTCCTCCCCCCTCCCCTCCTCTGCTGCACGCCTCTTCCTTCCCCTCGCCGACCCACTCCACTCCCTGCCCCTCCTCAATCCGCACCCTGCCCCTCGTATCTCGCCCCCCTATGCTTGGTTTCTCCCCTCCCTGCCCCTCGCCGCCTTTCCCCGCTCCCCACCTCCCCCCTCTCCCTGCCCCCCCCACTCTCCCCCCCCCTTGTCCTTGGCTTCCTACCTCCCTGCCTCACCTTTCCCCCCTCCGTGTGCTCAGCTTCTCCCCTCCCTGCCCCTCCCTCCTCCCCGCCCTGCCCCTCATTTTCCGCCCCCCCCCCCCCACGCCCGGTTTCTCCCCTCCCCGCGCCTCCCTTTCTTTCTCCGTGCCTCTCCTTTGCTCCCTCCCTGCCCCCGCCTGCCCATGCCCCTGTCTTTGGCTTCTCCCCTCCCTGCCCCACGTTTCTTCCCTCCCTGCCCCCCGTCTGCCCCTCCCTTGTTTTCCCCTCACCCATTGCTTCTCTCCTCCCTGCCCTTGATTTCCCACACCCCTGCCCTCGTTTCCTATCATCCATGCCCCTCGTTTCCCCCCTTTGTACGTTCAGCCTCTTCCCTCCCTGCCCCTCCCTTCCTCCCCCCCTGCCCTTTGCTCTCCCCTCGTTACGCTCCCTTCTCCCCATCCCTGCTGCCCTCTTACCACCATCAGCCCATCCCCACGACCAGCCCCCCTCCCACCCTTCAATCCCCCCCTCCCTCTCTCTCTCTCTCTCTCTCTCTCTCTCTCTCTCTCTTTCTCACACACACACACACACGCACACTCCCCTCCCCCACCCCCCCCCACCTACATCCTCCCATTCTGCCCCTCCCTGCCCCTTTCCCACCCCCTCGCACGCCCCTCACCTCCCACCTCCGTGCAACTGGTTTCCCCCCTATGGTGCCACCCTTGCATCGCTCGCCCCTCTGCTCACCCTCTGCCCGCCCCTTTTCCGTGCCCTCAGTTGGCCCAGCCCCTGCCCGTTGCTGCCCCTCCCCTTGCCCCCTCAACTCCCCTGCCCCCCGTACACCCCAAGTCCCATCCAACCGCCCCCACCCTCCCCCGGCTGCCCGTTTCCGCTCTCCACCCCCGCGACCGTGTGCGGCTTCCAACCGCCCAACGGTGGTGCGCACGGGGCGTTTCTTCGCATGGGCAAGCCTCCCCGGGGGCCCCCCACCCCGCTGGGTCGTTGTTTGGGCAAAAAAAACGAAAAGAAAAGAATCGGACGCGCTAAAATCGTCCTTTCTTTTTCCCGCTTGCCCCTCCCCCGGCACGTGCCGAGCAAGGGGCATAAATGGGTACAACACGAGGACTTCCCGGGAGGTCACCCAGCCCAGTACTTGCTCTCGCCCACCGATAGTGGCTGTGCTTGAAACGCTGTGCCCGTGCGGTCGTGCGGGTTGCTGCCGTGTTTTGGTCCTTTGGTGCTTCCTCCTCCTTAGTCTCTCTCCCTCTCTCCTCTTTTCTTCCCACCTCCCTCTTTCTGTTCCCTTCTTCTATCCTTCCCTTCTCTTCCTACCGCCCTCTTCTTTTCCCTACCACTTCTTCTTACTCCTTCATCCTTCCTTCCTTTCCTTTCTTTCCCCCTTTTCCTACAAAATATATATACCGTCCTCATAGCGATTAGGCTATGTCGAAAATTTCCTAGTCTTGGAAAAACCATTATATTCGGCTTGTATTTGCTCTTCCCCTATTAATGAATAACTGCTCTCGCCCACCGGCGCTTAGCTTCGGAGTTCTGATGGGATCCGGCGTAGTAGCCGAGGTATGATCGTACCACGTCAACCTCGTGCCCCGACCGCTACACACCCCTTGCCCGGGTCCCCCCTTCATAGTCACACCCCCTGCCCCCTCATGCCATCCGCTCCCCCCGCCCCTACCCTCCGCGTGCCCGCTCCCTTGCCGCCTCTTTTGACCCTCCCTGCCCCCCCTCGCCGTTTCCCACCGCCCGCCATTCGCTCCTCCCCGCCCGTGCGCTCCCCTCCTTTACCTTCTCCTCCCCCCTCCCCTCCTCTGCTGCACGCCTCTTCCTTCCCCTCGCCGACCCACTCCACTCCCTGCCCCTCCTCAATCCGCACCCTGCCCCTCGTATCTCGCCCCCCTATGCTTGGTTTCTCCCCTCCCTGCCCCTCGCCGCCTTTCCCCGCTCCCCACCTCCCCCCTCTCCCTGCCCCCCCCCACTCTCCCCCCCCCCTTGTCCTTGGCTTCCTACCTCCCTGCCTCACCTTTCCCCCCTCCGTGTGCTCAGCTTCTCCCCTCCCTGCCCCTCCCTCCTCCCCGCCCTGCCCCTCATTTTCCGCCCCCCCCCCCCCCACGCCCGGTTTCTCCCCTCCCCGCGCCTCCCTTTCTTTCTCCGTGCCTCTCCTTTGCTCCCTCCCTGCCCCCGCCTGCCCATGCCCCTGTCTTTGGCTTCTCCCCTCCCTGCCCCACGTTTCTTCCCTCCCTGCCCCCCGTCTGCCCCTCCCTTGTTTTCCCCTCACCCATTGCTTCTCTCCTCCCTGCCCTTGATTTCCCACACCCTGCCCTCGTTTCCTATCATCCATGCCCCTCGTTTCCCCCCTTTGTACGTTCAGCCTCTTCCCTCCCTGCCCCTCCCTTCCTCCCCCCCTGCCCTTTGCTCTCCCCTCGTTACGCTCCCTTCTCCCCATCCCTGCTGCCCTCTTACCACCATCAGCCCATCCCACGACCAGCCCCCCTCCCACCCTTCAATCCCCCCCTCCCTCTCTCTCTCTCTCTCTCTCTCTCTCTCTCTCTCTCTTTCTCACACACACACACACACGCACACTCCCCTCCCCCAACCCCCCCCCACCTACATCCTCCCATTCTGCCCCTCCCTGCCCCTTTCCCACCCCCTCGCACGCCCCTCACCTCCCACCTCCGTGCAACTGGTTTCCCCCCTATGGTGCCACCCTTGCATCGCTCGCCCCTCTGCTCACCCTCTGCCCGCCCCTTTTCCGTGCCCTCAGTTGGCCCAGCCCCTGCCCGTTGCTGCCCCTCCCCTTGCCCCCTCAACTCCCCTGCCCCCCGTACACCCCAAGTCCCATCCAACCGCCCCCACCCTCCCCCGGCTGCCCGTTTCCGCTCTCCACCCCCGCGACCGTGTGCGGCTTCCAACCGCCCAACGGTGGTGCGCACGGGGCGTTTCTTCGCATGGGCAAGCCTCCCCGGGGGCCCCCCACCCCGCTGGGTCGTTGTTTGGGCAAAAAAACGAAAAAGAAAAGAATCGGACGCGCTAAAATCGTCCTTTCTTTTTCCCGCTTGCCCCTCCCCCGGCACGTGCCGAGCAAGGGGCATAAATGGGTACAACACGAGGACTTCCCGGGAGGTCACCCAGCCCAGTACTGCTCTCCCTTCTTTATCGTAACCCTAATTCGAAGAGCCGCGCGTTTCCAAGCACGCTTTCTCGTCGCCTATCATGTTTAGTCATGCACTCGTTTTCCCCGCCTGTTCAATCTAGCCGCGACGTAGACGGAACCGCGCACGGGGCGCTTACCGCCAGGGAAAGGCAGCGCGGAGGGAGGCGAAATTGCTACGTTCGTAGCGATTAAGCAGCCCTCCCCTTGCGCGCCTCCCGAAGCGCGTTTTCTGCCTAGAGCGTTTTAGCCGCCCACGTTTGGCACACAAGCCGCCCCACTCCCCTTTTGCTCACTCCCACCCTGCCGTGCCTCGTCGCGCACTCGTGCATGCCACCCACACGTCGTAATTTTACCCCGTCGCCACCCACATAGTCACCTCCCTGCTCACACCGCCCCTTTCCCCCTCACACAGCGCGCTTTAGCCACCCCGCCACCTAACCTCTTTCCCTAACGGCGCTTAGCTAGCAGAGGCCGCCCTGTTTCTGGAAACCGTAGGAAATAAGAGGAAACAACTTCAAGGAAAAAGAAAAGAAAAAGAAATTCATATAAATCCGAAAAAACCAGGAAAAATCAGAAAGGCAGCTTACACCTTGTTCTCCCAACCCTCCAGGGCCCCACCCAGTCCGCCACCCCCCCATTCTGTTTCATCATACTACACCACAACCCTCCCCTTTTGCCCACCAGCATTACCGCCCCTCTCCCTTATCCCCCACCACGCCCCCAAGCAGGCCTTTCTCCCCCCAGCCTCCCGTCTCCCTGCCCTTAGTACCGCCGCGCTCTGCCCGTGCGTCACCCTTGCCCACTTCATACCACCTCCCCCTTCTCCCCCCCCCCCGGCTTCTCCCTATCATCACCCGCATGTTCCCCCACTCCCCTGTCCACAACGTCCCTCCACCCCCCTTCCTGCTTTCCCCACTCCCACTCTGCCCCCCACACCTCTACGAGCCGTACTTCCCCCTCCAGCCTCCCTTTCCCCCCCAGCTACTTCCGCATCCAGCGTGGGCTGCACCTCTGCATCCCGCCCTGCCAGGCCCTTCGGTGACCCAACTGCCGCCACCTGGCACCACGCCGCCTTTCCCACCCCCATCCAATCTCTACACCCCCTGCCCCTGCTCCCTGCGCAATCCAGCCACCTACCCCAGCCTCCCTCTACCTCTCCCTAACTCCACACCGCCGTTCCTACCCCCAGCCAAGGTCTACACCCCTTGCTTTTGCTCCCTGGGCTGTGCCGTCCCCAACCTCCCTCCGCCTTTCCGCGGCACCAGACCGCCTCTCCCTCCCCCAGCCAACTTTTGCACCCCCTGTTCCTGCCCCTTGTGCCCTCCAACACCCTACCTCAACCCCCCCCAGTCTCCCCCTTCTCCAACACCCTCCATATTTCCTCCCCCCTGGGGCTCGCCCATCCGCAGCTATCACCCTTCATCGATTCCCCAATTCCCTCTGTCCCCTGTTTCCCGGCCCCGCATCCTATCCTGCATTTACCACAGCACCTCCTTTCGGTGCCCTCTCTGCCCTCCCACGTTCTCACCCCCCGCCTCCCAACCTTCTCATTACCCGCTACCAGGCTCACGCCAACTCGACTACCCACTACCCTTTGCCCCTTCCTCTCTGTTCCCCACCCTTCCTTTCCCACCTGGCTCCACCTGCCCACCCCCACCTCCCGTGGAATTCTGCCCTGCCCTCCCCACCTCTGGCCCACCACCTGTCCCCACACCCTGCTCACCCACCGCTACACCACCCCCGCCCCCCCACCTCCACTACAGCCCGCCAACACTTCCCCTCTCAATCGGCCCCCAGCCCGCCCCCCCCTTGGGCCCCAATCCCCTCCAACTGTCAGGCCCCCTCTACCCTCTCTTCCACCCACTGCGCACCGCTTTCCCCACCCTTTTCCCCTTTCCCCAAGCTAACCCCCCGCACCCCGGCCTCTGCCAGGGAGTTCCTTCCCCCTTTGACGCCCTCTTGAGCCAACCCCAGCAACTCACACCGCCACCGCCAGGCATGCTGCCTCTGTAACAATGCCCCAGCACCCCGCGAGTGGGGGAAAGGCAGGCCCGGGAGCCCCTCGGCGATCTGGGAGGTCCCGCAGCCGAGCCACCCCCTACTCTCCCACTCCCCCCACTTCAACAGTCAGGAAGAAACAACACACACCTGACCAAGCGAAAACACTCACACAATCTGACCCTAGGGGCCAGAAGCGTACCTTTGAAGAGGATGGAACAGAGGAACGCCAAGCCCCACTGGAGGAAATACACGAGGAGGAGCCAGCACGCTCAAAACCGCGCCCTACCCCCGCTGCCCCATCCCAGTCTACCCCCCCTTCAGGTGACAGCGGGGGCGGCACCCATGCATGCTCAGTAGAGAGATCCTCCAACTCACTCGCTACCTCCCATTCGCAAACCAGATTACTTGTGAAAACACTTAATCCTACCCGCACCCCCAAGCACATAGAAGCGGGAGAGGGCAGAGCCAGGGGGGAACTTGCAGCTGACACTGCACGGGAAGGGGTAAGTGAGTTTGTGTGTGAAGGAGCAGCAGAGGCTACAGAGGATGGGGCAGCAAAGGCTGCACGGGAAGGGGCAATGGGGGTTGTGGGGGAAGGGGCAGCAGAGGCTGCAGAGGAAAGGGCAGCAGAGGCTGCAAGGGAAGGGGCAGCAGCGGCTGCACGGGAAAGGGCGGCAGGGGCTGCACGGGAAGGGGCGGCAGGGACCGTGACTCTGGCCAGGCAAAGGGCAGAGGCCATGGAGACAGGTTTTGCAGGAGTAGGGGCCACGGAACCTGCTGCTGCGTCGGCTGGGGGAACCGCAGCAGAGGAGGCTATAGGGACCGCACCAGGTGAGGCCGCACAGACCACAGCAGGTGTGGCTGCAGGGATCACAACGGGTGAGGCTGCAGGAGGGACCATGGCAGGTGAGGCCGCAGGGAGCGCAGTAGGTGAGGCTGCGGGGAGCGCAGCAGGTGAGGCTGTAGGGGGCGCAGCAGGTGAGGCTGCAGAGAGCGCAGCAGGTGAGGCCGCAGGGAGCGCAGCAAGCGAGGCTGCAGGGAGCGCAGCAGGCGAGGCTGCAGGGAGCGCAGCAGGCGGGACTGCAGGGGCCACAGCAGGTGAGGCTGCGGCGGACGCAGCAGGTGAGGCTGCGAGGGCTGCATCATGTAAGGTTGGGCAGACTCTAGCAGGTGAGGCTGCACAGTCTACAGCTGGTGAGGTCGCATGGACTGCAACAGGTGAGGCCGCAGGGACTGCAGCAGGTGAGGCGGCAGGGACCACAGCGGATGAGGCTGCAGGCGGGACCATGGCAGGTGAGGCCGCAGGGAGCGCAGCAGGTGAGGCTGAAATAGCCGCAGCAGGTGAGGCTGCAGAGGCCGCAGCATGTGAGGTTGAGCAGATTCTAGCAGGTGAGGCTGCACAGACTGCAGCAGGTGAGGCCGCAGGGACTGCAGCGGGTGAGGCTGCAGGGACTGCAGCACGTGAGGCTGCAGGGACTGCAGCACGTGAGGCTACAGGGATCGCGGCTGGTGAGGCTGAGCAGATTACGGTAGGCGAGGTTTTACAGACTGCAGCAGTCGAGGCTGCAAGGACTGCAGCAGGAGCGACAGAGGCCACAGCGGGGGCTGGTATAGGGGGAGGTGCTACGGGTGCAGCGGGGAAGGGGGTAACGGGGACTGGTGCGAGGGAGAGTGCCGCCCCGGCTGTAGCAAGAGAGGGTACGGCAGGGGCCTCAAAGGCAGAAGGTGAGGCTGCAGCTGAAGCAGCAGGGAGGGCCATAGCACGGCCAGTAGGGGCGGCAGGGGCCGCAGCAAACTCGGGGAAACACACAGCAGGGCCGGCAGGGCCGGCAGAGACTGCAAAAGGGGCTAGCAGTAAAGCGGCAGCAGGCGGGGTGGGCTTGGGGGACATAGGGGCAACAGGGGAAGGAGAGGGGAGGGTGGTCCCGACCGGGGTGGGCACTGAAGAGGGGGATGTGATAGCGATAGAGGAGGATGAGGGAGAGGATGTGATGCACATTGACGGGCCACTGGCCCAATACCTCACGCTTGACGGTGAGGCCGACCCGGCCCCCCTGCAGCCTCACGTCGAGGTTCCCCCTCTACCCCCCATGCCCGTCCCCATGCTAGCAGAAGGACCGATGGAGGGGCTGGGGGAGACCTTGAGGACAGAGCCGCGCGAGGGAGCCCCCATCCTCACCTCCCGTCCTCCAGCCCACCAGCCCCCAGGAGCACCACTTCCCCACCCCCACCCTCAGGTCCCGGTAGTGTCCAGGGGGGCAGCCAAGGCCCTGGCCTTCTTGGCGGAGCCGTGCTCCCCGACCCCCACGCTGCTCCATGGCCAGCCCCCCTCTCCGTCCCCAACGCCTGACCCCACGGTTGCAGGCGGTCCACCGGGAGAGCACGCGGGTGCGACAAGAGCAGAGTCACCCGAGGGCACCCCTTCTCTCACCTCTCACCCCTCCCCGCCCCTTCCCTCACTCCTTCCTTCACCCCCAAGGGCAGCACACCTCTGCCCCCACCCTCAGGGGCTCCTTAGAGCACCACGTGGAGCAGCCAGGGCTCTGGTCTTCCTAGAGGAGCCATGCTCCCCGACTCCTACCAACACCCAGCCACCCCTTACCGGCCCACTACCCCCTCCTCCACCAGGCCCCCCCCCACCCGGTAGTACACACATCTCGGAGGTTGAAGCATCTCTGCGGCCAAATCCCTCTCCCACACGCTACAGGCACCCAAACCACCCGAGTCGCCGCACAGCCCCAACACGCCCACCCAACAGGCTGCCCTCCCCACACCACCCCCCCCAGGCAGCCGAGACCCACCCGCAAGGGCTTGCGCCCCAGGCTCATGGGAGCGGCGGCACCCGGGTAGAGGGGCCCACAGGAGAGGCCACCACAGAGCCCACACAAATCTCTCTCCCCCCACCGTTTGTACCTCGCTCTAACCTCCACACTGGCCCAGCCCCTCGACCCCCACCTCCAACCCCCTCTCCCGGCCGGGTTCCCCACGAGTGGCCCCGTTGGGCAGCCATCACCCCCCACACACAGCTTGCCCGATCTGTTCCCACGGAGGGGGATGTTTCGAGGAGAGTGGGGATGCACACAGAGCACCCCCTGCCTGGCGAACCACCCATCCTCCCTCCACCCACCCCTTTGGCCCCACAGCCCCCCCTTCCTTCACAAACAGGCGCGGACAACCAGGTTGGCCGCCGGCGGAAGAACAGGGGCAGAGGAGGCAGAGGGTCAGCCCACGTACTCCCCCCTCCCTCCCTCCCCCACCAAGAGCCCCTCCCCACCTCACATCCCGTTGAACAATTACCAGGCCCTACCTCTACAGCCCGTCCACCAAACCTACACTCCCGCCCCGCTCCTGCACCTCCACAGGGCCATGGGAGCGGACCAGCCCACTCACCCCCATTCTGCCCCTCCCGTGCTGTGTCCCCCTCCCAGGTGGCGGCGGCCGCGATCGCTACTGGGAGGGGGGCCGTCGGGTTGAGGGATGCGCCCATGGCAGACGCCACCGACTCCCCCTCCCATCCCTCCCACCCCTTCCATGTCGACGACCCCCTACCGCAACCCATGGTGATTGGGGAGGGCCAAGGGGGCCTTCTAGGGCAGGGTCCACACCCGAGCTCCGCTCAGCCAGCACGCCCCACTCCACCCTCTACCCTGCCAGCCCTCCTACTCTCACCTACAGGCAGGCAGGTCTTCGAGACCCCAGAGGAGGTGAGGGCTGGCATTTCAGATTTGCTGGCGATACACCGCCTGAGCAGCTCTCCGGCTGCCCCCACCCTTCCAGTCCCACAGGACCGGACCCGGACGTATGCGGAGGTCACCCGGTCTGTCCCTTCTTTTATCCCCCCCGCCACTCAGCCAGGCGCGTCACTCCCGACCCCAATGGAGACGGACCGGGGTCTGAGGCCGTGTCACTCGCACCTAGACGGGGTGGCGCCTCCCCCCGTTCAGCCCGTGGCGCAGGAGGTCACCAGCAGTAGGGATGAGGCATCCGCCCCTACCGAGACCCCTCCGCCTGGGGTAGCAGAGCCGTCACTTGAACCGCACCCCGCCGAGGGGCAGGAGCACACCACGGCACACACTTCAGGCTCACCTCCACGTCCCCCCTCCCCAGCTTCAACACCGGTGCCGGCACGAGGCCCGGCCCTATCCTGTGCGACACCACCTCTATCTTCGCTGACACCCCCCCCGCGCGGGGCTGGTGAGTCGTCTCCTCCCCTCATCCCAGGCGATCCTGTCGGAGCTCAGGCCGCCCACGGGGTCCCCTCTACAGCCAGTTCCGACGCCACGGCCCCGATTGACCCCGCCGACACGGCGACATCACCCGACCAGGTCGTGAGTTGCCCCACCTGCAGGAGCTCTCTCGCGAACCGACGCGCGCTCCAGCACCACATTCCCTTCTGCCATCCTGCGGACGCGGCTCGCAGGGCGCAGGCTGCCCATGATACCGCCTCGATCATCCCTTCCCTCTCACAGCCCCGTGCGACCGGGATGCAGTTCACCGACGCACAGTGGCAGACGCTCGACTCGGTGGACTGGACAGAGTACTTCTCGCCCGAGCGTATCCATACACGCCCTCTCCGACGTGTCCCGGAGAGGGTCCGCGGAGGATATCTTGACGTCCTCAGTGCGATCCTAGTCCGCATTGCCCAGGACCCGGAGGCTGCTGGCCCTACCTTCCTCCTCGCTGCAGCGCCGACTCTTTTCCTTGTTCCAGCGACGCCACCCGACCGCTCGCACACGGCTGCCATTGCAACGCGCATCTCTCGCTTTGGTCGAGGTGAGTGGGCTGAGCTAGTCTCAGATGCACTAGGCCGTCGCACACCCCTTCCTCGCCGCACAGGTCACCGGTCACGCACCGCCACCGATCCCTCTGCAGCAGATGAGCGCCGCATTGCACGTTGCCTTCGTCTGGCAGCGTGCAATGAGACCTCACGGGCGTGCGCGGCTCTCGAGTCCGCGGAGGCAGCCCCAGATACACAGGGGACGATACAGCGCCTGCAGTCGAAGCACCCCAACGCGGAGAGGCCGACCCCAGCTTGGCTGTCTGGCTTCCAGGGGTCCCCTCTCGTGCTCTCGGTGGATCACTTACGCCGCGCGATTTTCACAGCTCCGCGGGGCTCTTCGGGAGGACCGTCCGGTTGGGTCGCTGAGCACCTGCGAGACACTTTCCTAGCTTTCCCTCAGAGTCTCCATTTCCTCCTGGCCGTGTACCAGCAGTGGCTCCGAGGCCGTTGCGCTCCAGCTGCGCGCTCCTTGCTAGCGTCCTCCACCCTCGTGGCTCTGGCGAAGTCGAACATGGATGTTCGGCCGATTGCCATCGGCGAGGTTTTGGTCCGCATTCTTTCTCGGGCAGTTTGTCTCCAGCTACGTGACCAGATGGCGAGGGTCTTCTTGGCATCACAGCAGTTTGGGGTGGGGGTTACGTGCGGGACAGAGGTCGTAGTTAGAGGCGTCCGCCGCGCTCTGGCTGACCACCCAGACTGGGTGGTCCTGCAGCTAGACGTGGCGAATGCCTTTAACTCTTTCCACCGAGACAGGATGTTTCAGGCGCTGCAGGCCAGTCCGGAGTTTCAGTGTCTGATCCCCTTCATCGGCCTCTTCTACGGGACGCCCTCGGATCTCCACTACAGGTCAGGCACGGGAGTGGTCACGATGCACTCGGAGCGGGGCACTCGCCAGGGAGACCCTCTCAGCCCCTTCTTGTACGCTCTGACACAGCGTCTTGCTTTGGAGCCGGTTCTGGCGGAGGGGGATGTCCAGCTCTGGTCGTACGCCGATGACACGTACGTGCTAGGTCCCCCAGACAGGGTGCTGCACCATTTTGCCGAGATCGTGAGGCGCTTGGGCGAGATGGGCCTTGCAGCCCAGCCGCACAAGTGCCTCGTCTACCAGACAGAGTCCTTTCTGTCCAGGGATCTGGAGGCTTTCACGGGCCTAGGGATCGAGGTCGCACGCCGAGGGCTCACCGTGACAGGCGTACCGGTAGGCACCGTTTCGTTCGTGGAGCAGAGTCTCCCGGATCGTCTCGAGAGGATGGGGCGGGTGCTACCTTGGCTTCCGAGGTTGCGCCAGCCCCAGACAGCTGCCCGCCTTCTTTCGGCGTGTGTCAGCACTCGTCCGCAGTACCTGTCGAGGACCGTCCCTCCTTCGCCCGCAGTGATCTCCAGTTTTACACGGTGGGACGCACGCCTGGGAGAGACTTTTCAGCAGCTTTTAGCTTCAGGGACCTGGGCTTGTCGCGAGGACGTCCGAGAGGCCGCCCTAGACCAGATCTTCCTCCCCATCCGTCTCGGGGGTTTCGGCATTCGTCGCATGGCGCGCATGGCCCCGGTGAGTTTCGTGTGCTCCTGGGTGCAGTGTGCACCCATTCTCTGTTCTCTCCCTGCGTGTGGCGAGGTGTTTCGGCAGAGCTTCGCTTCAGGTGAGCCAGAGCAGATCGACCGGGCTCTGCAGACGGCGCTAGAGGGTCTCCCTCCTGACGTTCTCTCTCTCCTTCCCCCCTGGCCCTCTTGCGCTTCTGCCTCCCCCGATTCCCTTTTTGCAGGAGCGAGCCGTCTTCTGGAGGCGCATGCCTTGGAGGCCGTGCGTGCCCGTCACACCTCTCCCTTGCACCTTGCCCGTTTGACTTCCCTTCAGGGCGGAGGTGCAGGAGCGTGGTTGACGTCGGTGCCGTACGCCGACCCACTGCGCATCCCGGAGGCGCTGTGGCAGGCGGCTTCATCTTCTCGTCTTGGTCTCCCTATCCCCCAGTTAGCCCTTGCAGGTCAGTGCTCCTGCGGACAGGCGATTGACGACATGACGGTGCCTCATCACGCGGTTCGGTGCCCGCGTTACGGGGTCGCCACTACCATCCACGACACGGTGAAGTACATGCTTCGAGACTTTGCGGTCGAGGCGGGCTTCGCGGTAAAGGTGGAGGACTCTACGCTGTTCACACAGTTGGAGGCGGCTCGAGCGAGACTACTGGGACAGCCAGTGGTGGGAGAGGGGACACGGGCTGAGGGACCGGGGGAGCGGAGAGGCGAGGCGGGACAGCCGGGTGGCGGGGGACAGTGGGGACGGCACCAGCTGCGGGGTCAGGTGGAGCGAGGGACAGGTGGGCAGAGGGGACGGCAGGGGGAGCAGACGGGCCAGGACGGGGAGGGGGGACGGCACAGGCAGCAGCAGGAGAGCCAGTGGAGGCCGCGGGCCCAGGGCGCCGCGCCTCCAGGTTCGGCCTCGGGGGCGGGGCAGGGGCGGGAGCAGCAGAGAGCGGACGGAGGTACAGGAGGGGCAGCGGGATTGGGAGGGGAGGGCCAGGGAGTGAGAGAGGCAGCAGGGGATGGAGCAGGGGGGTCGGGAGGTTTGGGGGAGGGTAGGGAGGGGGAGGGGAGAGGACAGGTGGATGGAGGAGAGGAGAGGGGGAGAGAGACGATCGGAGAGGGGGCACCAAGGGACCAGACAGGGCAGCAGCCAGCGCAACAGCAGGGACCAGTCGGACGCACAGGCCGTGTAGGCACCGCCTCCCGCATTCCAGACCTCACCTGCCGCGACGTTGGCCAGGGTCTGATGGTTCTTGTGGATGTCTCCATAGCGGATCCACAGCGGGAGGGGAACGTGCAGCTGAGACGGGCGACCCCCACACAGATTGGAGTGGCAGCAGCTAGGCGGGTGCAGGAGAAGCTGCGTCACTGGGGGCCGCACTTAGAGGGGCTGCAGCCGGCACCACACTTTTACGCGTGCGTGGCGGAGACCTTTGGCCTTCTGAGTGAGCCGCTGCGTCAGTTTCTGGGGCTCTGCGCAAAGAGGATAGCACAGCGGAGGAGGGATAGAGGTGGGGGGGATGACGGATCGGCACGGATATTTGAGGCAGGACTCACTACACGCCTCTCCGTTGCACTGCAGCGCGCGCAGGCTCAATGCATGATCCAGCATGCGGTGCGGCAGTTAGGGAGGTCCGACGACGGGTGGATGCCCGCACCAGTCCCACTGGGTGCGGGGCAGGGAACTTGGCACCACGTCACAGGGTGCTTCGAGAGTGTGGCTGATATGCAGTATATATATGATGCATATGTGTAAAAAACAATAGTGGCTGTGCTTGAAACGCTGTGCCCGTGCGGTCGTGCGGGTTGCTGCCGTGTTTGGTCCTTTGGTGCTTCCTTCTCCTTAGTCTCTCTCTCTCTCTCCTCTTCTCTTCCCACCTCCCTCTTTCTGTTCCCTTCTTCTATCCTTCCCTTCTCTTCCTACCACCCTCTTCCTTTCCCTACCACTTCTTCTTACTCCTTCATCTTTCCTTCCTTTCCTTTCTTTCCCCCTTTTCCTACAAAATATATAAATCGTCCTCATAGCGCTTAGGCTATGTCGAAATTTCCTAGTCTTGGAAAAACCATTATATTCGGCTTGTATTTGCTCTTCCCTTATTAATGAATAACTGCTCTCGCCCACCGGCGCTTAGCTTCGGAGTTCTGATGGGATCCGGCGTAGTAGCCGAGGTATGATCGTACCACGTCAACCTCGTGCCCCGACCGCTACACACCCCTTGCCCGGGTCCCCCCCTTCATAGTCACACCCCCTGCCCCCTCATGCCATCCGCTCCCCCCGCCCCTACCCTCCGCGTGCCCGCTCCCTTGCCGCCTCTTTTGACCCTCCCTGCCCCCCCTCGCCGTTTCCCACCGCCCGCCATTCGCTCCTCCCCGCCCGTGCGCTCCCCTCCTTTACCTTCTCCTCCCCCCTCCCCTCCTCTGCTGCACGCCTCTTCCTTCCCCTCGCCGACCCACTCCACTCCCTGCCCCTCCTCAATCCGCACCCTGCCCCTCGTATCTCGCCCCCCTATGCTTGGTTTCTCCCCTCCCTGCCCCTCGCCGCCTTTCCCCGCTCCCCACCTCCCCCCTCTCCCTGCCCCCCCCACTCTCCCCCCCCCCTTGTCCTTGGCTTCCTACCTCCCTGCCTCACCTTTCCCCCCTCCGTGTGCTCAGCTTCTCCCCTCCCTGCCCCTCCCTCCTCCCCGCCCTGCCCCTCATTTTCCGCCCCCCCCCCCCCACGCCCGGTTTCTCCCCTCCCCGCGCCTCCCTTTCTTTCTCCGTGCCTCTCCTTTGCTCCCTCCCTGCCCCCGCCTGCCCATGCCCCTGTCTTTGGCTTCTCCCCTCCCTGCCCCACGTTTCTTCCCTCCCTGCCCCCCGTCTGCCCCTCCCTTGTTTTCCCCTCACCCATTGCTTCTCTCCTCCCTGCCCTTGATTTCCCACACCCCTGCCCTCGTTTCCTATCATCCATGCCCCTCGTTTCCCCCCTTTGTACGTTCAGCCTCTTCCCTCCCTGCCCCTCCCTTCCTCCCCCCCTGCCCTTTGCTCTCCCCTCGTTACGCTCCCTTCTCCCCATCCCTGCTGCCCTCTTACCACCATCAGCCCATCCCCACGACCAGCCCCCCTCCCACCCTTCAATCCCCCCTCCCCTCTCTCTCTTTCTCACACACACACACACACGCACACTCCCCTCCCCCACCCCCCCCCACCTACATCCTCCCATTCTGCCCCTCCCTGCCCCTTTCCCACCCCCTCGCACGCCCCTCACCTCCCACCTCCGTGCAACTGGTTTCCCCCCTATGGTGCCACCCTTGCATCGCTCGCCCCTCTGCTCACCCTCTGCCCGCCCCTTTTCCGTGCCCTCAGTTGGCCCAGCCCCTGCCCGTTGCTGCCCCTCCCCTTGCCCCCTCAACTCCCCTGCCCCCCGTACACCCCAAGTCCCATCCAACCGCCCCCACCCTCCCCCGGCTGCCCGTTTCCGCTCTCCACCCCCGCGACCGTGTGCGGCTTCCAACCGCCCAACGGTGGTGCGCACGGGGCGTTTCTTCGCATGGGCAAGCCTCCCCGGGGGCCCCCCACCCCGCTGGGTCGTTGTTTGGGCAAAAAAAACGAAAAGAAAAGAATCGGACGCGCTAAAATCGTCCTTTCTTTTTCCCGCTTGCCCCTCCCCCGGCACGTGCCGAGCAAGGGGCATAAATGGGTACAACACGAGGACTTCCCGGGAGGTCACCCAGCCCAGTACTGCTCTCGCCCACCGATAGTGGCTGTGCTTGAAACGCTGTGCCCGTGCGGTCGTGCGGGTTGCTGCCGTGTTTTGGTCCTTTGGTGCTTCCTCCTCCTTAGTCTCTCTCCCTCTCTCCTCTTTTCTTCCCACCTCCCTCTTTCTGTTCCCTTCTTCTATCCTTCCCTTCTCTTCCTACCGCCCTCTTCTTTTCCCTACCACTTCTTCTTACTCCTTCATCCTTCCTTCCTTTCCTTTCTTTCCCCCTTTTCCTACAAAATATATATACCGTCCTCATAGCGATTAGGCTATGTCGAAATTTCCTAGTCTTGGAAAAACCATTATATTCGGCTTGTATTTGCTCTTCCCCTATTAATGAATAACTGCTCTCGCCCACCGGCGCTTAGCTTCGGAGTTCTGATGGGATCCGGCGTAGTAGCCGAGGTATGATCGTACCACGTCAACCTCGTGCCCCGACCGCTACACACCCCTTGCCCGGGTCCCCCCCTTCATAGTCACACCCCCTGCCCCCTCATGCCATCCGCTCCCCCCGCCCCTACCCTCCGCGTGCCCGCTCCCTTGCCGCCTCTTTTGACCCTCCCTGCCCCCCCTCGCCGTTTCCCACCGCCCGCCATTCGCTCCTCCCCGCCCGTGCGCTCCCCTCCTTTACCTTCTCCTCCCCCCTCCCCTCCTCTGCTGCACGCCTCTTCCTTCCCCTCGCCGACCCACTCCACTCCCTGCCCCTCCTCAATCCGCACCCTGCCCCTCGTATCTCGCCCCCCTATGCTTGGTTTCTCCCCTCCCTGCCCCTCGCCGCCTTTCCCCGCTCCCCACCTCCCCCCTCTCCCTGCCCCCCCCACTCTCCCCCCCCCTTGTCCTTGGCTTCCTACCTCCCTGCCTCACCTTTCCCCCCTCCGTGTGCTCAGCTTCTCCCCTCCCTGCCCCTCCCTCCTCCCCGCCCTGCCCCTCATTTTCCGCCCCCCCCCCCCCCACGCCCGGTTTCTCCCCTCCCCGCGCCTCCCTTTCTTTCTCCGTGCCTCTCCTTTGCTCCCTCCCTGCCCCCGCCTGCCCATGCCCCTGTCTTTGGCTTCTCCCCTCCCTGCCCCACGTTTCTTCCCTCCCTGCCCCCCGTCTGCCCCTCCCTTGTTTTCCCCTCACCCATTGCTTCTCTCCTCCCTGCCCTTGATTTCCCACACCCCTGCCCTCGTTTCCTATCATCCATGCCCCTCGTTTCCCCCCTTTGTACGTTCAGCCTCTTCCCTCCCTGCCCCTCCCTTCCTCCCCCCCTGCCCTTTGCTCTCCCCTCGTTACGCTCCCTTCTCCCCATCCCTGCTGCCCTCTTACCACCATCAGCCCATCCCCACGACCAGCCCCCCTCCCACCCTTCAATCCCCCCCTCCCTCTCTCTCTCTCTCTCTCTCTCTCTCTCTCTCTCTCTTTCTCACACACACACACACACACGCACACTCCCCTCCCCCACCCCCCCCCACCTACATCCTCCCATTCTGCCCCTCCCTGCCCCTTTCCCACCCCCTCGCACGCCCCTCACCTCCCACCTCCGTGCAACTGGTTTCCCCCCTATGGTGCCACCCTTGCATCGCTCGCCCCTCTGCTCACCCTCTGCCCGCCCCTTTTCCGTGCCCTCAGTTGGCCCAGCCCCTGCCCGTTGCTGCCCCTCCCCTTGCCCCCTCAACTCCCCTGCCCCCCGTACACCCCAAGTCCCATCCAACCGCCCCCACCCTCCCCCGGCTGCCCGTTTCCGCTCTCCACCCCCGCGACCGTGTGCGGCTTCCAACCGCCCAACGGTGGTGCGCACGGGGCGTTTCTTCGCATGGGCAAGCCTCCCCGGGGGCCCCCCACCCCGCTGGGTCGTTGTTTGGGCAAAAAAAACGAAAAGAAAAGAATCGGACGCGCTAAAATCGTCCTTTCTTTTTCCCGCTTGCCCCTCCCCCGGCACGTGCCGAGCAAGGGGCATAAATGGGTACAACACGAGGACTTCCCGGGAGGTCACCCAGCCCAGTACTGCTCTCGCCCACCGGCGCTTAGCTTCGGAGTTCTGATGGGATCCGGCTAATAGCTGAGGTATGATCGTACCACGTCAACCTCGTGCCCCGACCGCTACACCCCTTGCCCGGGTCCCCCCCTTCATAGTCACACCCCCTGCCCCCTCATGCCATCCGCTCCCCCCGCCCCTACCCTCCGCGTGCCCGCTCCCTTGCCGCCTCTTTTGACCCTCCCTGCCCCCCCTCGCCGTTTCCCACCGCCCGCCATTCGCTCCTCCCCGCCCGTGCGCTCCCCTCCTTTACCTTCTCCTCCCCCCTCCCCTCCTCTGCTGCACGCCTCTTCCTTCCCCTCGCCGACCCACTCCACTCCCTGCCCCTCCTCAATCCGCACCCTGCCCCTCGTATCTCGCCCCCCTATGCTTGGTTTCTCCCCTCCCTGCCCCTCGCCGCCTTTCCCCGCTCCCCACCTCCCCCCTCTCCCTGCCCCCCCCACTCTCCCCCCCCCTTGTCCTTGGCTTCCTACCTCCCTGCCTCACCTTTCCCCCCTCCGTGTGCTCAGCTTCTCCCCTCCCTGCCCCTCCCTCCTCCCCGCCCTGCCCCTCATTTTCCGCCCCCCCCCCCCCACGCCCGGTTTCTCCCCTCCCCGCGCCTCCCTTTCTTTCTCCGTGCCTCTCCTTTGCTCCCTCCCTGCCCCCGCCTGCCCATGCCCCTGTCTTTGGCTTCTCCCCTCCCTGCCCCACGTTTCTTCCCTCCCTGCCCCCCGTCTGCCCCTCCCTTGTTTTCCCCTCACCCATTGCTTCTCTCCTCCCTGCCCTTGATTTCCCACACCCCTGCCCTCGTTTCCTATCATCCATGCCCCTCGTTTCCCCCCTTTGTACGTTCAGCCTCTTCCCTCCCTGCCCCTCCCTTCCTCCCCCCCTGCCCTTTGCTCTCCCCTCGTTACGCTCCCTTCTCCCCATCCCTGCTGCCCTCTTACCACCATCAGCCCATCCCCACGACCAGCCCCCCTCCCACCCTTCAATCCCCCCCTCCCTCTCTCTCTCTCTCTCTCTCTCTCTCTCTTTCTCACACACACACACACACGCACACTCCCCTCCCCCACCCCCCCCCACCTACATCCTCCCATTCTGCCCCTCCCTGCCCCTTTCCCACCCCCTCGCACGCCCCTCACCTCCCACCTCCGTGCAACTGGTTTCCCCCCTATGGTGCCACCCTTGCATCGCTCGCCCCTCTGCTCACCCTCTGCCCGCCCCTTTTCCGTGCCCTCAGTTGGCCCAGCCCCTGCCCGTTGCTGCCCCTCCCCTTGCCCCCTCAACTCCCCTGCCCCCGTACACCCCAAGTCCCATCCAACCGCCCCCACCCTCCCCCGGCTGCCCGTTTCCGCTCTCCACCCCCGCGACCGTGTGCGGCTTCCAACCGCCCAACGGTGGTGCGCACGGGGCGTTTCTTCGCATGGGCAAGCCTCCCCGGGGGCCCCCCACCCCGCTGGGTCGTTGTTTGGGCAAAAAAAACGAAAAGAAAAGAATCGGACGCGCTAAAATCGTCCTTTCTTTTTCCCGCTTGCCCCTCCCCCGGCACGTGCCGAGCAAGGGGCATAAATGGGTACAACACGAGGACTTCCCGGGAGGTCACCCAGCCCAGTACTGCTCTCGCCCACCGGCGCTTAGCTTCGGAGTTCTGATGGGATCCGGCGTAAGTAGCCTGAGGTATGATCGTACCACGTCAACCTCGTGCCCCGACCGCTACACACCCCTTGCCCGGGTCCCCCCCTTCATAGTCACACCCCCTGCCCCCTCATGCCATCCGCTCCCCCCGCCCCTACCCTCCGCGTGCCCGCTCCCTTGCCGCCTCTTTTGACCCTCCCTGCCCCCCCTCGCCGTTTCCCACCGCCCGCCATTCGCTCCTCCCCGCCCGTGCGCTCCCCTCCTTTACCTTCTCCTCCCCCCTCCCCTCCTCTGCTGCACGCCTCTTCCTTCCCCTCGCCGACCCACTCCACTCCCTGCCCCTCCTCAATCCGCACCCTGCCCCTCGTATCTCGCCCCCCTATGCTTGGTTTCTCCCCTCCCTGCCCCTCGCCGCCTTTCCCCGCTCCCCACCTCCCCCCTCTCCCTGCCCCCCCCACTCTCCCCCCCCCTTGTCCTTGGCTTCCTACCTCCCTGCCTCACCTTTCCCCCCTCCGTGTGCTCAGCTTCTCCCCTCCCTGCCCCTCCCTCCTCCCCGCCCTGCCCCTCATTTTCCGCCCCCCCCCCCCCACGCCCGGTTTCTCCCCTCCCCGCGCCTCCCTTTCTTTCTCCGTGCCTCTCCTTTGCTCCCTCCCTGCCCCCGCCTGCCCATGCCCCTGTCTTTGGCTTCTCCCCTCCCTGCCCCACGTTTCTTCCCTCCCTGCCCCCCGTCTGCCCCTCCCTTGTTTTCCCCTCACCCATTGCTTCTCTCCTCCCTGCCCTTGATTTCCCACACCCCTGCCCTCGTTTCCTATCATCCATGCCCCTCGTTTCCCCCCTTTGTACGTTCAGCCTCTTCCCTCCCTGCCCCTCCCTTCCTCCCCCCCTGCCCTTTGCTCTCCCCTCGTTACGCTCCCTTCTCCCCATCCCTGCTGCCCTCTTACCACCATCAGCCCATCCCCACGACCAGCCCCCCTCCCACCCTTCAATCCCCCCCTCCCTCTCTCTCTCTCTCTCTCTCTCTCTCTCTCTCTTTCTCACACACACACACACACGCACACTCCCCTCCCCCACCCCCCCCCACCTACATCCTCCCATTCTGCCCCTCCCTGCCCCTTTCCCACCCCCTCGCACGCCCCTCA